TCTGATTTATCTTGGTAACTTGGCATCTCTCTCAATGTCGGACAACATGTCATGTCCTTGTTGGTGGCTGAGGACCGGGCTTTGTTCTTGCGTGGAATGATTTGTTGGTAAGAGCTCTTTTCTTTTACCTTTACTTGGGGATTTTGATGCTTATATTGATCTTGTGCTGACTCTATTCGCTGTTACTATATAGGTATATAGGTATATTCATCACTCGCAACGATAAACCAGGATATAATCCAGGCACGGCTTGCCCTGCTTGTGTATTAGTATGTGAAAGCCTTCTACTTGCTATACTCGCTTTACACTACTTATTCAATGACTTCCTCGCTTATATCTGAGGCCATCAACACTGACAGCTCATTCATCTACAATCAAATGAGAGCGCTCAAATGAAGACATGGTGGAGAACCCTGACAGCTAGTTCCAGGCTGTGGAAGTCAAAGTTGTGGTGAGCTATGAGGACAACATCATCCAATTTTGGTTCGCCACCGGAATTGCTCGCACATTCGCAGTCGAGGGCCTTATCTGTTCGGCATCTCTACATAAGAGTGACAGGAAAGTGACTCTTATTTTGCATCGGCGACAAGACTGGCCAGCGAACAATTGAGATAATGTATCTAAGGACTCATTCCCTACTACTGCGAGTATGCAAATTGAATAGAAATAGAAATTCATCTCGGCTATCGGTACAAGTACAGAGCATGGTATCAACGGGGCCGAAGCCCCAAACAGAGCAGAACAGAACAGAACCGGGGGGAAAGAAGAAAAGGGGAAAAGAAACGAAACGGAAAACGAAAAGGAAACGCAATTGACCGGGCAACAACGAATATAGGCAAGGCACGCAACGCTCTGAACGAAAATGATATTACAGGGAACGCACCATCCCCATCCCCTCGTCAGTTCATCAGATTCTAGATCTCAATTTTTCGTGTCTGAGGATTAGTAGCGACGAGGGGGAGGGGGGGGGGGGGTGCGAACCCGGTGGGGGAGGAGGAAAGTACAGGGAGGGTGGCGGGGCAGGGTGTCCTGATGGGGGTGGGAGGTAACCACTTGGCAAGGGGAGGCGCGCGAAGTTCGAGCCTGGGGGCGGCGGCAGCTGTGGCGGGCCGGTCATTGCGAAGGGGTCTGGGAGACCCAAACCCAGCTGGCCACGGGCTGGGAGGAGACGGCGTGGTTGCTGGGTTGGAGTTGGGCGGGGGAGGATGAATGAGCGGGGGTCTGTTGGTCCATGTGCTGGTCCTGGAACTGGGTGCCCGTGGCCGTGGTGGGCATGGGCGTGAGAGAGGTGGTGAGGTGGAGGATAGGGGGTGCGGTGAGGAGGGAGTGATGTTTGCATCTGAGGTAAATGCGTTGGGGGAGGCTCTGAGAGGGCTGCGTCGGCTAGAAGGGAGAGAGAGCGTGGGTGGGGGTCCACGGGGTAGTCGGAGGCACCGTCGTAGGTGAGCTGTTTGCCAGTTGTTTCCGAGGAGCTGACGGCAATTACTGCTTCGAGGAGACTGTCGAAAGCGAGGCCGGGGTAGATGACTCCTTCCATGTCCGCTGGCTCTGATGGCTGAATTTCCTCGTTGATTTTGCCCATGCGTGCTTTTTGATAGAAGTCGTCCCAGCCTTCGTCGGCTTGTGTGTAGTCAAGAGCCCCTTCGGGTTCCCGGACTGCCTCGGCGAGGAACCCACGCTCTACTTGGCGGATGGCTGTGTCGCCGATTCTGAAGAGGAATTGCTTTTCAGCTTGTTCCGAATCAGATGTATCGGTCTGGGTTGTTAGCCTGGTTCGTTTCTGGTGAAAGTGGGAACTCACCTCCGTATGTTCATCATCCTCTGCTGCTCTGCGGCCAATGATCGCCGACATGAACTTGCCCATGAGAAGAGTGACCATCTCATCTTGAATCTCCTTGAGAACATTCTGTATCCAGTTAGAGATATCCCGTGCCAGACATGAATATAACTTACATTGGCATGGTCCCTGTGGTTGTAAAGATCGACGTCGCGCTTTTCTTTGATTAATTCCATTCTCCACTTGTGATCAGCGGTCAACCGATCAATCGCCTTGCGTTGGTACTCGGCCAGATCCTGCTGGACTTGAGCAAACTCAGGGCAATCCTTGTGGGCATTCTTTTCGCGGGCAAGTTTGTGCATGGACTGTTCAGACATGAAACCTAGCGCAATCTGTTGCGCCTGGCCAATCTTTTTAAACAGAGTCGTCATTTCCTCTTGGCGGTTTTTCGTTGGTAGTGTGTCAGGTGTAGGTGATGGAGTGCGACCACGCCAGTTCTCAGCATCCCAGATCTCATCTTCGATCTTCTTGCCACGTTTGATAATGGTGGTCTGGCGAGCACGACCACGTCCTCGACCGCCACGAGGCTTGGGAACTGTAGAGCGAATTGGACCGACAAATCCTCCACGGCTGCCGCGACCACGGCCTCGGCCACGTCCCCGACCTCGACCGCCGCGGGATCCTCGACCTCCACGGCCTCGAACAGTGGGAGTAAAAGCGGGGGCATCAAATTCATCAGAGGGAACAGGAGCATCCTCAGGTGTTGTTTCAGCCTGAGTTTCCATTCCATTTCCATTTTGCATGGGGCTTTCGGCAGCCTCTTCAGTTTCGGTTTCATCAGTTCGCAACTTTTTGCTGGGGACTTCCTCAGAACCAACTTCCGGGGTTTCATCTTGCATGTCCAGTGACTTGCGCTTGCGAGAAAGTCGAGGGGACACAGTTCCGAATGGAGCTTCTTCAAATTCGGCCATTTTGGGACTTTCAGTGACAGCTGGGTCGTCCTTGGCTTTGGTAGGCTCAATATCATTGAATTGATCGTCGGCCATCTCATCAGCTGCGCTGTGAGTAGCTCCAGGCGAGGCTGGGGCAGAAGCAATAATGCGAGGCTGAGGAGATTGAGAAGTTTTGCGAATGGCAGGTTCTGACTTGAGATCTTCATCGTAATTTGAGTCCGTGTCATCATCTGGCTGGCTGGTATCAGTTTCCATAGATTTGGCGGGCGACACTTCTTCATAAGTGCCATCGGCATTAGGCTTGAGTCTGGCGGACTGACGGGTAGTTCGCGAAGACTCGGGCACAGCCATGGCACGACGAGAACGTCGGATGCGAGGGGTCTCCGGATTGCGGGAGACAGCGCTGGTTGGAGCGCTTTCATCATCATCATCATCATCAAAAGCATCTTCTGAGATAGCACGTTGGATTAAAGAAGGTATTTTCAGCTTGACAATGTGCGAGCGCACTGGGCTGCTCGGAGTTTCAATGCTGGAAGGCAGACGACTAGGAAGACTTGCCCGACCACGGCCGCGACCACGTCCTCGCCCGCGACCTCTCCCGCGGGTGGGCGTGGGAGGGATGACATCTACAGGATCAGCATTGGACGGAGTCGACGGAATTGCAAACTTACCTTGAGCAGTGCGCCCCGAGCGCGTCGAGATACTAGGGGTACGAACAAGCTGAGCAGCCGCTCCCTTTTCTTTCTTCCCACCATCGCTGTTGTTGGGAAGTTGTCAGTCGGGGAAATCCAGTAGCAGCAAGGGGGTGTGGTGAGCCCAAAGACACAGGTATTACGAAATCATGGGAAAAGAGAGGCAAAAGGGAGAAGTATGAAGCAAAGAAGAACAGAAAAGGGAAAATGGAGTCGCGTGGGGGGAGAGAACGTCAAGTACAGATGAAGATTGGGGAAGAGGAAAAAAGGACGCGATCATCAAAAACGTAGATCAGTGCACTGGGGAAACAGGGTTTTTGAGGCGCGCGCCAGCAAAGACATACGAGGATGAGCCAAATCGGTGGAGACAGGAAGGGATTGCAGCAAGTCGGAGCCTCAAGAAAAACGCGATCACTTACCGATGGGGAATGGAAATGTCTACAAGGAGATGTAGAGAAGAACAGCAGAACAGTAGAACAGCAGAATGGTAGAATGGCAGAATGCAGAACAAAAATACTAGAATGAAAGGTAAAGAGAAGAGAAAAGCGAAGAGGTGAAGAAAAGAAGAGAAGAAGAGAAGAAAGTAGAGAGATGGGAGAGATGGAACGGTGTAGAGAGAGATTGAAGAAGATGAGGAGAGAAACCTTGAAAAGGTCTGATTAGCTGAGATCGGCCAACGTCTATACCAACTCAACAGACAATGCAGATGCAGAGTCTGAATAGAACTGTTAAACTGTTTGAATGAGAGATGATCTTATTGTCTCATTTCTTCCGCCAAGGTCCATTGGCCCCATTTCGACCAGCTATGTCCCACTGGTAGTAATAATGTGCCTATACCATACACATTGAGCACTATACACTATACCATAGACACAGCACTAGAATAAGAACATTCTCCTATTGAGCTGCCTCTGTTCTCTATGAACTACGCCTTGATCAAGTTACACGGACCTGTCTCGAGGCCTACGTGTACAGTAACTTCGATCCCAGCCACACATTCTTCTCTATGCCGAGAGTCATATAACTTATTTAGTACTATACTATATTGTACTATTCTGTTTTAATATACTATCACTTACCTTTCTACTCTCTACTCTCTCCTCCTGTACTCGGAAAAAATAGTTGTCCACCGCCAGTCGACCCACCGGATAATCCAGGGAGATGATTTACGGCGAATACGATTGGCTACTCGATGCTGTATGATGGAATCCTGCTTAAAGGGGGTAGCCAATCTACCATTTCATCTGTATGGAGTACTACTCCGTATTTTCTTCTCTTTTACCTTTGGGTTTCTTCGCTTTTGTGATCGCACTCTATGTGTCTGCATTAGGAAACTCGGGAGGTTCGGCACTTTTGTCCGCATAGTGGGCCTCATACAAAACCGGAATTTCATTTGGAGATGACAATGTATATCCTATCCAATCACCATGTTCATTTGTACGTTATTCCTTCATATACACGCAGAACTAAACACAACCAAAACACAAAACACGCACAAAATATGCACGAAAAAACATACAAGTCGTTCAGTTAGAGTCAAGTCAAGTAAATCAAACCAATCCACCCAGATTAACCCATTCACTTTTCGTAAGGGGATTCGTTCAGTTCATATCTCTCGGATTGAGTAGTGGTAAAGCTCCCTCGAGCCGGGTCCTTCCTCACCCGCGGCAACTCGTCCAATTCGACACCCGGCATAGGTGAAGTGGCACGAATACTCTGCTCGCGTAAAGACCGAGCCGAGCGCATGCGCGTAATCGTCCCCTTGGTGAGGGTCTGACCGGCAGATGGGGAGGCTTTGAGCATTGTGCCGGGGGCGGTGGTGGGTGAAGGGCATGGGCTGGTGGAGCGGAAGAGAGGGTGGATGTTTGTATCTTGGAATGGGTTGTATTCCCAGGTAGAATGTGTCGAGGTCGAGGCTGGTGTTAAAGTCGGGGTGCTGAAAGTTGATAGGGTTGGTGAGTCGAGGTGGAGAGTCGAGGCTGTTGGGGAGCGTTGGACTAGGCTGTCTAACGAGAGATGGGTTGGTGGGTTGCGGCGGAGACTGGGCATGCTACGGATGCTGTTGTTGCCTCGGAGAGGGAGGGAGTGATTGGGTTCAAACGGTGCTTTGTCTGTTGTTGGAGAGTGGGTTGGGGTGGATCTTGTTGATGAACTGTCGATTGACGCACGCTTGGCTTCTTTGGTGCTTTGGCAGAGTGTTGCGTCTGAGAAGCGATTGGAGCGACGGGGGAACTTGCGCAGGGAGGAACGCTTTGGCTCGAATAGTTCTGACAGATCACATACACGTGGTGGTGATGGAAGAAGTTGAGGACTCTGAGGGATAGACTTGAGTTCCTCGGGGTATGAACGGGGCCACTCGGGGTTCTGTCTTTCTTGGAACAGAGGCATAGAAATAAATCCGCAGTATAGACCTTGGGCGAAGACTGCAAAGGCCCAGAATACAGCGCGGGTGACGAACACGGAGGCTTGGGGACTCGATGTCATTGCTCCAGCAGAAATTGCGGAGGCAATAAGTAGATATCCGCCGGTGATGCAGGTCCATTGTAGACGGCCCTGGATGTCTTTGTGGTGGAGCACACTGAGCATAACCAAAGCCAGGCAGCTGGTTGCACTCAGGATGAGTGGGGCCAGGTCGGATAAGGCTTTTGAAGTTGCAAAAGAAATACCATTGAGGATTGTAACAATGAGTGTTGAAAGTAATGAGGCTCCCGCCAGTGTATAAGGTAGAACCGTAGACATGGTGGAATGAATGTATAGACTGTAAAGAATGTGGAGTGTCAACGTTGGCAGAATGCCAAAACGTTCACCAAAGCACAATGAGTGTAAGGAGTATGCACTTCACCTCAAGGGGGACGTCGGTCTGATATATGTTCGCATCCACGCGCAAAGTTCGCACACGGGACGGGACGCATCTCAGCGTGGCTTCAAAGTATATCGGGGAAGCAGTCCGTCTGAACATATCACTTCTGCTAGGATCTGATATATCAACCCGACATGGTGGTTAGAGTCTGCAAATAAGACTCGATCGAAAATCAAATCTATTGGGCGCGGAAGAGATTTGTGGTCTTTGCATGATGTTCCTGGGTAGTGGAAAATGACCTGTAGTCAATGGAAGTATATAGGCTGAGACTCTGGGGTATTTGGGAGGCCTGGACCCTGAATATTCAAATTCAATAGTGCAGACTATCTCGCAAGAGACGCTATTCATCTGATCCATCAGACTGTGGATCATTCCGATGTTCTGGTGAGGGCGGATCCTCGATCTCAATAGTGCGTCCCAAATGTGATATATCGCATCGCTCTCGCGAGTAAAAACCCCCGCTCCTCTGATCTTCGGCTAGGCTAACATCATTTTATTCGAGCTTTCAAGCGAAGTTTATAGATCGAGATGCTCAGATATCTCCATAACCGACAGACGGGAAATCCTAGTCTGTCCTGCAGGAAGTCGTATCCAGGTTCGCGGATCTGCAACCTATTCCGAGTCTGGGGAAATCCACTGTGATAATTTGTCACTGCAATTTATGCATTTCTCATATGTAATCAATATTCTTGTCCACCTCTGCGCAGGTGTGGGTACATTGGTATGTCCGTGCTAATGTATGTATTTCGAAGGCAATGGCGCTTCCTATAGGTATGTACCTCGGTCAGCCCCAGAAGAAAGGGTTATGTGCTTTGAAAAATCGATCCAGTTTGATCAGGACATAAATTGATATCTTCGACCTATCAATTGGCTCTGATTCGCGCTTGTCTTGAATGTTGTTCAGGCTGCCCATGCTGCCAACAGGCAATCCAGTTGAGATCGAATCACCATGGACCTCACCCTGCAGGGGTATTCCATGTATAAGGCACGGCTCGAGTGCCTCTGGACACAAACACAAACAATATCATTGCCTAGGTAAAAGAAAAAGGTAGAAGGTAGGAACGTAGGTGGGAGGTATACTGTGAAGGCGGTCAGATGTTCTACCCGCACTTTGCATCATCGTCACTCTGGTCCCCTCACTCTTTTCTTTCTTCGACTTCATCGCTTGGAAGATCCACAAATCTCGATTTTCTCTCTCTCCCATCTCGGATCTGTGATCTTACCCCCCGCTCTTTTCTATCCTCTTCCTCTGCGGCGGCAAAATGAAGCTCACCTTCAAGGTACGTGCTCTGGGTTCCCCACCTAACCATCGCTGACAATCTCGACAGGACCTGAAGCAGGAGAAGTTCGTCATCGATGTCGAACCTTCTGAGACTGTATGTCATCTTTCCAACAGGCTTATCATTATAGGGCTGATTTACCCGTCTAGGTTCGCGAGGTCAAGGCCAAGATCGCCCAGGAGAAGGGCGAATATGAGGCTGAGCGTATGAAGGTCATCTACTCCGGTATGTACCTTCTTTCCAAATCGATTCAGCAGTGCCTAACTATTCTTCTCCCTGTAGGAAAAATCCTTCAAGATGATAAGACGGTCGAATCCTACAACATCCAAGAAAAGGATTTCCTAGTTTGCTTGCCTTCGAAGGTATGAAATCGACATTTTCTTTGCTTCACTGGCTCAAACTGACAATATCATCACAGCCCAAGGCCGCCCCTGCTTCCTCCCAGCCTAAACCCCCCTCGACTCCCGCTGCCCGAGCTCCTGCGTCGACCCCAGCTGCTCCTCCCGCTCCTCAGGCTTCCTCTACCGCTGCCCCAGCTGTTCCCGCTACCCCTACTCCGGCCAGTGCGACACAGTCCAGTGGACCCGCCTTTGGAGATCCCTCTGCTCTCGCCATGGGTTCTGCTGCCGAGGGCGCAGTTGCTCAGATGGAGGCTATGGGTTTCGCACGAAGCGATATCGACCGTGCCATGCGCGCTGCATTCTTCAACCCTGACCGTGCCATTGAATACCTCTTGACTGTGAGATTCTCGTTCGAGGTTATACAATTTCTTCACTAATCATGCCACAGGGTATCCCCGATAACATCCAGGAACAGCAGCAGCAGCAACAACAGCAAGAAGCGGCAGCACCGGCTCCTGCTGCTGATGCCCCTGCTCCTTCCGGCGGCGAAGAGCCTCTTAACCTGTTTGAAGCCGCCGCTCAGGCCGGTGAAGGTGGTGGCCGTGGTGCTCGCGGTGCTGGGGCTGGTGCTGGTGCTGGGGCTGGTGGTGACGCTGCAAGCCTGGAGTTCCTCCGCAGCAATCCCCACTTCCAACAGCTCCGTCAGCTCGTCCAGCAGCAACCCCACATGCTTGAGCCTATCCTGCAACAGGTCGCTGCCGGGAATCCCCAAATTGCGTCTCTCATCGGACAGAACTCCGATCAGTTCCTTCAGCTTCTCGGTGAGGATATTGACGAAGAGGAGGGATCTTTGCCGCCTGGTGCGCAGGCCATTTCGGTTACGGAGGAAGAGCGGGATGCCATTGAACGAGTATGTCTCCTCTCCATGACATTTGATACATTTCTAACCTACCCCAGTTGTGCCGTCTGGGCTTCCCTCGGGACCACGTCATCCAGGCCTATTTCGCCTGCGACAAGAACGAAGAGTTGGCCGCCAACTTCCTCTTCGACCAACCGGACGAGGATGAGGAGTAAATTTGATTTTCTTGCCTTTTAAAAGAAACGTCTGCTTGCTTTTTCTCCTCCCGATACGTCCTCCTCTCCTCCGTTATGTTCTTGATGAATACCTCCAAGCATGCTGCTTTGATTCCCCTGTCTCTCCCCCTTTCCCATGAATATGAACCAGAATCAGATCAGAATCAGAATCAGTACTCAGCCTGGCGTCTTGTTCCTCACTTGTGGACTTGGCTTTCTTGCATTCTCCTGTTTCCCTCCGACTTCGACTCCGACTCCCGTCACGACTGTCATGTATCTAACTAATGGGTCAATGGGACTTGTTGGCTGATTAAGATTTGCTAAACTAGTGTAGAATGTAGATCAATAGCGTAGGGCCAATAGTAGATGAGTGTCGATCTGACCCCGATGTCTTGTAGATCGGTCATAGGATATATCATAACTTTTAGTACGGTCATGCGTAGCTATATATACATTCTGCATAAACCCAAATACAAAAGATACAGATGACCGGTGTCGAAGTACCCGGGGAAGTACATGGATCGGAAAGTATATATCTCCACTTCCATAATACCACCACATCAGATACATAACCAGTAAAACGGGAGTACCCTCTATGATATAAATGCAGACATAATCTACTAGCTACAAAGATCTACACTGAGTTACACAAAGGTAGGTCGTACAATCTCTCCCCCTTCCATTCCCTTTCAAGTCACAAGTGGAAGTATAGTCACCAGATCCCCCACACCAGAAGCTTCGATTCAGTTCCAGCTGACCAGAACCCAAACTGGGCTATTTGATAGGGATCATTTATATGTGCAAATGCCAATGTATAAGCTCTACACTAAGATATACAATCACCAATGAAGTACAGTATAGAGATTGTAACAATTCAATTCAATTCAATCACGCCTACCCAAAAGGCCATGCAAAAAGGTATCTTGTATCCAGCCATCCCGACACATGCAAAATATATGAGATATGAGAAAAAAAAAGGGAAAAGAATAGAAAGTAGAAATTAACATAGACAACCGAAATAGCGAAATCCACATGCAAATCAACATACCATTCCAAACCAGGGAGATGGGAAATGTATAGCTGTACTGCACTGCTTGACTATTTGCAAGATCGATGCACAGCCCAAACGCCCAATCCCCGACGTCCAATAACCCGCTTTAGAGTAGGGAGGATCCCGTCTTCCGCGAAGTCGAGATCATCTAGGTTGAGATGTTGCCGGTAGGACCATAATGGGTGGAGTTTTATATCCGGAGATTGGTCTGCAGGTGTAGACGCAGACGCGGAGAGGGCGTATGCATCTAGGAACTCGGCTGATGTAGGTGCGACGAGGAAGATTGATGAAGGGGAAGAGGAGGAGCAGCTTGGTACTGCTGCGTCGAGGTGTTGGATCATTTCCAGGCCTGGTATTCCCATTAGATCCTGCGTGAGGATTTCTGTTGCGTTGTTTCCATCTGTGTCCGTGCCCGTGCCCAGGAGCCATAATGGTGGGGAGTAGGTTTTCCACCAGAAGACTGTTGCGTCGGGTATGTATGGGCCTGTACTGGCTGAGACGATGCCGCGCATTGCTAGCTGGGTGGGGACCACGCCGCCTTGGTGGTAGACGCCCATTAGGAAGCCCATTGCTGCGTTGAAGAGGACCCAGATTGCGAGGAGGAGGCGGGAGCGGCGCATGCGCACGCAGCTTAGGAGGAGGGGGACGCAGGGGAGGAGGAAGCGTGGTTCTTGGTGGGGGAAGAGGGAGAGGAGCATTGTTGCTGAGAGGGCGGAGAGGGCGCGCACGTTGCGCATCCAGGATGGCACGAGCGGATAGCTGAAGAGGGAGACTATCATTGCTATGTAGGCTGGACCGAGGAGTTGGAGCAGGTTTGCTGTGAAGTGTTGGTGGTGTGGGTGTAGGCCATGGACTGCTAGGTTTGCGGTATCGGTGTTGTAGAGGAGGTTGTTTAGCGGTGTTATTATTGGGTACCGGAGAGCTGAGAGGAGGGTTGCTGTTGGCCGGTAGAAGACGGTGTCTGTGAAGACTGCTATTGTCGCGAAGAGGAGGCCGGAGGCGAGGAAGGCGAGAAGGGAGGTTGGTCTGGACGTGTCAGTTACGTGTCAGTCTGAGCGGGCTTCAGCTGAGGACTTGGAGTACGTACTTGCGCTGGAAGTGAGGCAGCAATTGCAGGCCCGGGACTATGAGGAAAGCCGGGAAGGTGATGCGGTTGAAGACGCCCACGACGGCGATGAAGGCGAGCACAACATGGGCGAAGAAGGAGGCGCGCTTCTGTATAAAAGTCAGCGCAAGAGCCTGCATTAGGTCTGTGCTATCTTTACCTTATTCTCGACAATGCGCCGAATCAAAACCAACCCCCAGGCAACCAACAGGGTCTCGAGGGAGTTGGAGAAGGTGTGCGTCTGATATGTCCAGGTGACATACGACGAGGCCACCAGCACCACCGTCGCGCGCCGATGCCGCGGAGAGGGCACTAGCTCATAGATCGCCCAGTCTTCCAGCACAAAGCTCAATAGGAACATTCCTCCGCGCAGCGCATAGTAGACCAGTTGTGGTGGTGGGCTGCCGGACCCGATCTCGGTATAGAACCATTTCAACAGGCTCATCGGCAGCTCGTAAGTCGCCCATAATGGGAAGATGCTGCGAATGGGGTATTCCACTGTGAACTCCCATGGTAGTTTCGACGGGTATGAGAATATGCGACCTAATTTGGGGCGATCTGGTCAGTGTTTTTTTTTCCCTCGTATAGGGGAGCGCGGGTGTTGCGAATCGCGTTCGGCCATTTCGAGGAGCGGAACGCGTATAGAAAGCGCAATAGAAAAGTGCGTCGCATTAAAGCCAGGAATTGGGCGTGAACTGGGCAACTGGACATACCTGCGAAAACCTCTGGGCCTTGGAAATTCTCATCTGGATGGAGATAGCTGGGCGAGAGCGCAAAGTAGACGCGAATCACGAGTAACAATAAGTAGGTTCTTCTCCACATTGTTTGAGGAATCCAGGGACATCATTAGAATGAATTAAAATATCAAAGGAAATGGAGCTGAAAAGGAGTGGAAGGGGGAAAAGCAACGCGTAGCGGAGGCAATGATATCACAGGTTGATGCTTAAGTGGTTAACCCCTATCAGCCCTCCAGGGCTGTCTAATTTGCAGCTTATGTGCTCTACTGTACACTGTAATTGCTATACTATAACTACTCGTATAACTGCTAGCATATTCTAGTTTTGGATAGGTCAAGTTAGGGGTACACATGGTCAAGGCAGTATTTAGCATTGTAGCGATATGACTCTGTATAAATGTTATATAGTTCCACCTCCCAAACTTCCTAAAGAAGCCTAGGAAGCCTAGAAATTCCCCTGGGCCCAAGGATGATCTGTTCTTTACTAGAACGAATCCGGCCGTCAGAGTGGCGTACTGTTTGCAACTTATTCATAGGTCGAATACCGTAGAAGAATAGTGAAATAAAAGAATAAAAGAATAAAGACACTCGGAGATTCAACGCAACAAGTCAATGCGAGTCAAACTAGGCAGCCATTCAGACATTCTAGGCTTAAAGAGAGAAAGAGACAAGTACAAAGCGTCAGGACGACGTGGGGGCCAAGCCTCTTAGTAACCAAACTTCATAACGTGAACGTCCCGCTCATCTTGACACTCCAACTTTCACTGTTTTACTTCTCTTCACACAGCTTATTGTCTCTGGTTTTAATACTTCTCTTTTGGAAGTCACTACACCGCTTGATCTCCTTTCACACGGCTCACCAAAACGACTTCAGAGTCATTATCACAACGCCAAAATGTCTTCCGGAACCATCACTCTCACCAGCTCCGATGAAGTCGACATCACCGTCGGTAAGTCGAACATCTGAGTCAAGTCTGAAACTGCCTATCGCAAGATGATAACTGACCTTTCAACAGACCGCGCCGTCGCTGAGCGCTCCGTCCTCATCAAGAACATGCTCGAGGATCTTGGTGACTCCGGCGAGGCCATCCCCATCCCCAACGTGAGACATCACCCTACCTCCCATACGATCCAGAGCAATACACTGACATTCCTTCGCTAGGTTAACGAGGCCGTCCTTAAGAAGGTGATCGCCTGGTGCGAGCAGCACAAGAACGACCCCGCCAGCGCCAACGATGACGACGACAACCGTCGCAAGACCACCGATATCGATGAGTGGGACCAGAAATTTATGCAGGTTGACCAGGAGATGCTGTTTGAGATCATCCTCGTACGTTTACGTCTACGTCATTGTTATTAAGACTCAACTGTCTGGACATGTACTGACTGCCACAGGCTGCCAACTACCTCGACATCAAGGCCCTCCTCGACGTTGGCTGCAAGACCGTCGCCAACATGATCAAGGGCAAGTCCCCCGAGGAGATCCGCAAGACCTTCAACATCCAGAACGACTTCACCCCCGAGGAGGAGGACCAGATCCGCCGTGAGAACGAGTGGGCTGAGGAGTAAGTCTTGCTCTGAATCCATGGGAGATATTTGCTAACTGTTGACTCTCGCAGTCGGTAAATGGGTGGCTTAACCTTCTTTTGCTGAATATGGAAATGGATATCCCTGCGCGCTCGCCATAACACGATTTTGGGTTGCAAATCAAGAGCGGGCTATTGCTTGATCGGGCGTTTTTTGCTTTTACTTCTTGAAAAGACATCTAAGTAGACTGGATGTCAATGGGACATGCTTGCAACGTCTTTAACTGAGTAGAACTGTACTATCGGAGTGTGGCGACTAGATATTGCCGCTAGCGGGGTAATTACTGAGCTTGGGCATATCGCATATCCGCTATGACGACTGCCACTAAGCTGTTGCCTGCAAAGTGCCCAGATGTATATGCCGAGGCTCTTACGGAGTACATAAACAGTTGGAACCTTGGAAGCAACTGACATGGGTGACTCGGTCACCTACAGATAAGATGCAAGGCAAAGGACATTCAATTCGACCATGAAATTTTTGTATCAAAAAAGAAATCCTCCCCCGCGCCGTCCTACAAGCCCGCCCCCAGCAAAGAGACGATCAACCAGACACACACGCGCGCAATGCAATCAAATCCGGGCCACTCAAGTTCACATACAAGTAGAACCCAAGCACATCAATCTCTCCATTCGGAACCCATGGAGAAAAAAACGAAGAATGAAGAGTAAGATTGGCCGGCCACCCCCGGAGATGTATTTTGAAAAAATGTAATTGTTGCAAAAGACTTGAAAGTAGTTCCACATCCACTAGCGCTCTCAAGTCCGGTCGGCGCATGGGTTTTTCGAAAATATTGATATTCGGTGCGGGCGTCACGTCATAAGAGGTTGGACGACTCTACACCGTAATGTAGAACCCGTTGATTTCCAACCCCCGATCAAAACACACATAAGACATCGCGAGACGGGATATCGGATGGCTGCACGGAAGGTGGGGTGATTCTCCGAGGAGAATTTAGACCTTCAGGGTCGACTTGCGCCAGTGTCGTCGCTTGGCGTTGTATCTGTGAGTTGTCAGCTATTGTTCTGACTATTTCTTTGTGCTTGTAGTCCTTCCTCCCGGGATGGTGCTTCGTGATGGGTCGATGGGTTGATGGCGTGGTATTCCCTCTCCTTCCTTCCCATTCACTCCCCACGGCCCGGACTGGATTGGATTGGATTTTGGTATGGATAGATTCGAGCGATTTACCTGATGGTGTTGCCGGTACGCAGACGGATCCACTGGGGGATGGGACGGTTCTGGCGCTGAGCTTTGGCAAGCTTTTGCTTGGTGCGGAAAGTCTTGTGGCTCTGTAGGGAAAAAAAGAATTAGGACACGTTCTGAAAATCCTTTTTTGACGAGGAGAGGGACGATGGCGAGTAATTCAATATGACGGGTAACGGGTATAGGCTGGTACATACCGGCATCTTGAAGTGTTGATCGCGACGGCGAGCTTGTTGGATGGACGGATGAAGTTGTCGACCTTCGGGTGTGGATGGTTTGTGTGCGGCAGGGCTTGGCTTCGCTTCGGTTGGGTCAGGTGATGTGAGTTCCAGCCTGAGAAAGTGGGCCACAAGGCAGCAAGGCAGAAACCAGAATCCGGAAAATCCATATCTGCCTCAGGCCATATATGCACGTGTCCACATGTTCACCTGTCACTTTCGCATTGGTCTCTCTCCGTACAGTATCATGGCTTTACTAGGATTTGCCACTGTGCTAAAATGCGGTGACTGGACATGCAGTGAGTCATATCGCGTCATTCACAGTCATTATCTCAGATACAGTTCAAAAATCAGACTCGACGTGTAATTTGCTAGTTCCCTCTACCCCAATCAGGTATGTAGAGCGGCAATCGGACCAAAAAATAGCCGACCTCCAGGCATAAATGGTGGCATACGCACGGGCGAATGTTCCAGACGGTCCACTCGCAACTACAGAAATACCCCGAATCGCTGCCACATTACTGGTGGATCACGGACTATTCGAGTCCTGATTTCGGTTCGAAGCTATCGTTTACGGCGAACGGACGTAAGCGATGTTTTATAACTCGGGTCAGGACGAAAATTCGGTCGAAAGAAGTTGACGCTTATCACTGTCGTATTCGGCCCCGTATTCCGAAGAGTTGTCCAATGATTTCAGCCTGGATAACAACATGTATTGTATCCACAGGTGTTTCAAGGCTTGTAGTTTCATACTTTCATTCGAGTCCAGGAGTTCGGAGTTCAGAGTTTTAAAGGGGGAATGAAATCTGAACGCGGAGTTAGAAATGTTCAGATTCCCGTTCTCAATAATTAGGCTACAACCTGACAAAGCGAGGGTAATATAATGTCCAATCCCAATAGTCGGGGAACAAAAGGAGTTGCATAAAGAAGCCGGAGTCAGCAGTCTCCGGCCCACCGACGGCAAAATTTAAGATATTAAGACATTTGAGGTCCCATTTAACATTTAACTACTCCTTATATCTCCTTATATGACTTATTATGCCTGTTAATCTTTACTACTTTAATTTTTAATTCTCCTCCCTTATCGAGTTATCGCGGTAGACTCCGCAGTCCCATCTACAGCACTCTTTCATGGACTAAGACTACTCGGCATACATTCACCATGCAACAGCCCGAAGAGGGCGTAACCGCCGTGGAGAAGGTGGCGGAGGAGTCTCAACCTAACGAGAAGCCTGTTTCGAGTTCAGCTTCAACTCTGGCAAAAGAAAAGGAGACGACGACTTCGGTATTGAACGATGACGATGCGCTCTATGCCCACCTACCAGCCCACGAGAAAGACATCTTGAAGCGACAGTTGGATGCGCCTCCAGTCAAGATCTCTTTTTTCGGCCTCTATCGATATGCATCCCACATGGATATCCTCATTATCGTGGTTAGCGCCCTTTGTGCTATTGCCGCCGGAGCTGCCCTGCCTCTATTCACTGTGAGTATACTCGTCGCATGATGGAGACGTAGCTAACAACCCCAGATTCTATTCGGATCCTTGGCAAACGATTTCACAAAGATCACTTACGGCACAATTCCCTATGAGCAATTCTACCACGCGCTCACTCGCAACGTCTTGTACTTTGTCTACCTCGGCATTGGCGAGTTTGTCACTGTCTACATCAGCACTATCGGATTCATCTACACTGGTGAACATGTCACCCAGAAGATTCGTGAGAACTACCTTGAAGCTATCCTGCGCCAGAACATCGCCTATTTTGACAAATTGGGTGCTGGTGAGGTCACCACCCGCATCACCGCCGACACCAACCTCATCCAAGATGGTGTCTCCGAAAAGGTCGGATTGACCCTCACTGCCATTGCTACTTTCGTTACTGCCTTTATCGTCGCTTATGTCAAGTATGCTCCGCTGGCTGGTATTTGTACCTCGACGATCGTCGCCCTCGTGCTGATCATGGGGGGTGGATCCACCTTCATCGTCAAGTTCAGCAAGCTCTCCCTAGAGAGCTATGGGGCCGGTGGCACGGTGGCGGAAGAGGTCATCAGTTCAATTCGCAATGCAACTGCATTCGGTACCCAAGACAAGCTGGCCAAGCAGTACGAGGTGCACTTGGCGCAAGCGGAGCGCTGGGGCATGCGTCTGCAGATGGCTCTCGGAGTGATGGTCGGCGGTATGTTTGGAATCATGTTCTTGAACTACGGTCTTGGATTCTGGATGGGCTCTCGATTCCTGGTTGACGGCAAGGTTGATGTCGGCCACGTTTTGACTATCCTGATGGCTATTCTTATCGGTTCTTTCAGCTTGGGCAACGTAAGCCCGAACGGCCAGGCTTTTACCAATGCTGTGGCCGCTGCTGCTAAAATCTTTGCGACTATCGACCGCCAATCCCCGCTGGACCCTACTTCGGATGAAGGCATCATTCTTGACCACGTGGATGGTCACATCGAGTTCCGTGATGTGAAGCACATCTATCCTTCGCGCCCTGAAGTTACTATCATGGAGAATGTCTCGCTCACTATGCCTGCCGGAAAGACCACTGCCTTGGTTGGTCCCTCGGGCTCTGGCAAGAGTACCGTCGTTGGTCTCGTTGAGCGCTTCTACCTGCCTGTCGGTGGCCAGATCTTCTTGGATGGACACGATATCCAGACTCTCAACCTGCGCTGGTTGCGCCAGCAGGTCTCGCTGGTTAGTCAGGAGCCTATCCTCTTCGGTACCACTATCTACCAGAACATCCGCCACGGTCTCATTGGAACCCGTTTCGAGTACGAATCTGAGGAGAAGATTAAGGAACTGATCGAGAATGCTGCCAAGATGGCCAACGCCCACGAGTTCATCAATATCCTTCCGGAAGGCTATGAGACAAATGTGGGTCAGCGTGGATTCTTGCTGTCTGGTGGCCAGAAGCAACGTATCGCCATTGCCCGTGCTATCGTCTCCGACCCTAAAATCCTCCTCCTCGATGAAGCCACTTCCGCTCTCGATACCAAGTCTGAAGGTGTCGTCCAGGCAGCGCTTGACCGTGCTGCCGAAGGTCGCACTACCATCGTGATTGCCCATCGTCTGTCTACTATCAAGACCGCCCACAACATTGTTGTCTTTGTCAACGGATCCATCGTCGAGCAAGGTACTCACGATGACCTGACCGAACGTGATGGTCCTTACTACAAGCTCGTCGAAGCTCAGCGCATTAACGAGGAGAAGGATGCCGATGCTTTGGATGATTCCGAGGACGAGGACAGCGCTGAAAATATGAACAAGGCGCACATCGCTCGGGTCAAGTCTGTTGCTAGTGGTTCTTCGGCGATGCTCAAGGAGGAGGCTGTGGCCTTTGAGGCGGACATGCGTCGCCTCGATTCTCGCAAGTCTGTATCCAGCGTCGTCCTTTCTAAGCGTCCTGCTGAAGGAGGCCACCACAAGTACTCGCTCTGGACTCTGATCAAATTCATCGCCTCCTTCAACAAGGAAGAGTGGAAGTACATGATAATCGGTCTGTGCTTCTCCATCCTTGCCGGTGGTGGTCAACCTACTCAGGCTTTCTTGTACGCCAAGGCCATCAGTGCGTTGTCTTACCCAGCGTCTCAGTATGCCAAGTTGCGCTCGGAGGCCAACTTCTGGTCCCTGATGTTCTTGGTTGTTGGTATCGTTCAGTTCATCACCTTCTCAGTCCACGGTATTGCCTTCGCTTTTAGCTCTGAGCGATTGATTCGCAAGGCCCGTAGCCAGGCTTTCCGCACTATGCTCCGTCAGGATATCAACTTCTTCGATCGCGAGGAGAACAGCACCGGTGCTTTGACTTCCTTCCTATCCACCGAGACCAAGCACTTGTCTGGCATCAGTGGTCAGACCCTCGGAACAATTCTGATGACGTCTACCACTCTTATTGCTGCCATTGTGATCTCGCTGTCCTTTGGTTGGAAGCTTGCTCTTGTTTGTATCTCGGTCGTTCCGGTTCTCCTGGGCTGTGGTTTCTACCGGTTCTACATGCTCGCGGCCTTCCAGTCTCGGTCCAAGGCTGCCTATGAAGGATCTGCCAGCTATGCTTGCGAGGCCACTTCCGCTATCCGCACTGTTGCTTCCCTCACTCGCGAAAATGATGTGTGGTCGGTGTACCATGGTCAGCTCGATTTACAGGGCCGTGCCAGCTTGATCTCCGTCATTAAATCCTCGTCCTTGTACGCCGCGTCCCAGGCCCTGGTCTTCTTCTGTGTTGCCCTTGGCTTCTGGTACGGAGGAACCCTGCTCGGCAAGCACGAGTACAGTATATTCACGTTCTTTGTCTGTTTCAGTGAGATTCTGTTCGGTGCGCAATCCGCCGGAACAGTTTTCTCCTTCAGTCCGGACATGGGCAAGGCCAAGAACGCCGCTGCCGAGTTCCTGAAGTTGTTCGAGCGTCGCCCGACTATTGATACTTGGTCTGAGGAAGGCGAGAACCTGGAGCACTGTGAGGGAACCATCGAGTTCAAGGATGTCCACTTCCGCTACCCTTCCCGTCCCGAGCAGCCTGTGCTCCGTGGTCTCAACCTCAGCGTCAAGCCCGGTCAGTACATCGCCTTGGTCGGACCCAGTGGATGCGGCAAATCTACAACAATCGCCCTCCTCGAGCGTTTCTACGATGTCCTATCCGGTGGTGTCTACGTCGACAATAAGAACATCGCCGACCTCAATGTCAACTCCTACCGCAGCCACCTCGCTCTGGTCAGCCAGGAGCCCACTCTCTATCAAGGCACCATCAAGGAGAACATCCTCCTCGGCCGTCCCAACGAGGACCCCTCCGAAGAGGAGCTCATCAAAGCCTGCAAAGATGCCAACATCTACGACTTCATCATGTCTCTCCCGTAAGTCCCTCCATCCTATCCCACCGTCAGTCAATACTAACCAAATCCAGTGAGGGCTTCGAAACAGTCGTCGGATCCAAAGGTGGCATGTTATCTGGCGGCCAAAAGCAGCGTGTAGCCATCGCCCGGGCCCTCCTCCGCAACCCCAAGATCCTCCTCCTCGACGAAGCCACTTCCGCTCTGGATTCTGAGTCCGAGAAGGTCGTCCAGGCTGCTCTGGATGCTGCTGCTCGTGGTCGTACTACCATCGCTGTGGCTCACCGTCTCAGCACGATCCAAAAGGCTGATATCATCTATGTCTTTGATCAGGGTAAAATCGTTGAGAGTGGTACCCACACTGAGCTGCTACGCAATAAGGGCCGTTACTTTGAGTTGGTCAACCTCCAGAGTCTGGGCAAGACTCATTGATTTTGATTTGTTGTACACATATCCCTACCTTCTTGTCTCTTCAAACTTTTCTCCCTCTTATCTACTTTATTACCCTTTCAGCCTCTCTTCTCCCTTCTCTATCTTCTATATCAATCTCCATTCGATGTATCTTCTACCTTCCCCTCTCCACCTTTATCTCATCCCAACCTCCTCCCCTCTCATTTTCTTTTGATATGCTCTCCCCTATCGTGATAGATCAACCGGCGTTGGCGGCAAGAGCCGGAGTATCCCTCTTGACAAAAGGAGAAAGATAAAAAAACGCGATTTCCCATTTGATGTAGGAATAGATGAATGATACAAATGAATTCTCCATTCAACAGATTCCATCCAGTCCAGTTCCCTTGCCCTTAACTAAACAACATGAAACATAATGATAGATTAACACAATTCAATATCAATCCTTGTCCCCAACTCCAAACTCCCTCTCAACTTCAATCTGTCGCACACCCCTGCCCTCAGCAATAAGTCCCATCAATCCCTGTCCGACATCTTTGATTTCATTATATTCATGTAAGAGGCGGATGTGGCGTTTGACTGTTGCTGTGGGGTCATTTCTGGAGAGGCGAGGAGAGTTAGAATAGTTCCCAGTAATAGATCTTCTTGATATCATAGCTCCGAATAGCTCAGATCTCATATCTCATAGCTTGATTCATATCCATTGGATGGGAATAGCACATACTTGAGTTGGGAGGTTGTCGAGGCTAGTTCTGATTCCAGTTGCGCCTGCTGGGTTTCTAGGTTGGCGATGGATTCGCGAAGGGAGGTCTGTGGTTTTTTAGTTAGGTGTAAAATTGGACAGAGAATTGGTACATACAAGTTTCTTTTCTTTGGCTTCGGATGCATCCATGATGTTCTTACATGTATGTTGAGGGAGAGAGTTGTACATCTACTTCCACGTGCAGGGCCAATCATAACCCAGGCTGAATAATCCCACGCCCCAAGGTTGGACTTCTGTTCATTCAACCTCAACTACAGAGTAACTTATACTTCAACTATACTTCACCTATTCCGTGTGTTTATATCGTGAAGTATCCTATCCACATATAAAACCCCTGTCAACGCGGCACGCCGATCCCGCATAATCGGATGCTCCGGATTGGGTCCTGATACCCGCATCTGTTCTTTTCTCCCTTTCACACCTCCCCCCAACACATCATGAATACATTCAGTCGGTCCATGTGGACTCTGTTCTTACTATTCGGCGCTGCCGTCGCCCACGGCGGCCATGAGGCTGTTCCGCAGGGCGAGTCTGTGTCGAAGGATCCTATCGTATGTTCCCATTACGCGTACTTGAGGGACATCGACTAACTTGTGCAGGATGGGATCCTATGGACGCATATGATTCTGATGGGGTTCGCTTTTGGAATTGTCTTTCCGCTGGGTATGGTTCTCGGGGTATGTACTTGATTCTATTCTGTTATTCTGTTGGTGTTATTTTATGCTCTGTTCCCCTTCATTACCTCACATCAGACCATGTCCTAACACACACTCTCTAGATCGTTCGCTCTCGCTGGCACGTTCCCGTTCAGGTCGTCGGCACTGTCGTCGCTGTTTTGGCTTACTTCCTCGGCCACGCCCACAAGGGCCGCCAATTCGACAAAAACCTCCACGCCTCATTCGCAAACTGGCTGATGCTCATGCTGATCGTGCAAGTCGTTCTGGGTGCTTACCTTAAGCTGCACCTCGAGAAAGCAGGACAGGGTCGCATCCGTTGGATCTTCGTGTTGGCACACGGTATCGTTGGCAAGATCATGCCCGTTGTCAGCTGGGCGCAGATGCTCTTTGGTGGTATTGCCGCGCTGGGCTTCTGTCGTGGCGATCACCTCGGCCAGTGTCTGGCTCATTTCATTATGGGTAGTGCATTCATTGGGTATGGTGTTTGCTTGACTATTCTCCTGCTCGTTGGCCAGTTCTGGTTGCGCAAGACGGGTCGCAGTCAGGAGTTCTTCGATTCGTTGATTATCGCTGCTTGGGGCTGTGTCAATACCTTCACTGAGCACCGCTGGGGTACCGCTTGGGTGCATAATGACCTCCAGCATACTACTATGGGTATTGTCTGGTGGTGTGCTGGTCTGCTGGGTATGTGGTTGAGCCGCAGCCGCAATGGCCGTCCCAAGCGCAACCTTATTCCTGCTCTTGTTATCTTGATGACAGGATATGCTATGTCTGCTCATCCCCAGGAGCTGATGATCAGTACTATGATTCACTCCATCTTTGGATATACTCTCATGGCTGCGGGTCTCACCCGTATCATTGAGATCTCATTTGTGCTGAGGGATAAGCCTGCGCTCTCCGAGCCGAACAGCTTCCAATACCTGACCCCCTTCGTATGTCCTGTCAATCTGATATCTTGAAACAATAACTGACTCTCACAGCTGCTCTACGCCTCCGGATTCCTCTTCATGGGCGCCACAGAGGAACAAATGCTTCTCCTCCACAACGCAGGAGTAACCCACGTCTCCTACGTTCTGATTCTATATAGCATCGCTTTCATCTGCTTCCTTTGTAAGTTTATCCCCGGTCCGACTGAAGTGCCTTTGTGGACACCCACTAACCCCAAACCTCGCAGTCGTCAACATCCTCCTGCACATCTACGCCGTGCACGCCTGGCCAAACTCCGAGTCCACAGACCAGGACGGTCCCAAGTACTCCTCTCTAAACGGAAACGCAAACGGCCACGCACGCTCTGCCTCGCAGCAGATCCAAGATGCGGAGGCTTTCGAGCTTCATGGTTTGATTTCTGATGATGAGGAGGGTCCTTCTGTTGGACCGAGAAAGAACAGTGATGAGGAACTTGGGAAGGACGAGTCCCGTCATTGAATTCATATACTTTCTGGTAAAAGATCGAGTTCGTCTGCATTTTGGACTGTTGGATGGCGTTTTGTTATAGGGCTTGATGGCCTTTTGGCTGTTTGGGTAGCTAATAAATAGTCGTGTACTCTGTATCATGGCAATATTGGACATATTTCTCTACATTGTTGGCATAACTTATTGACCGAAACTCAAGTTATCGTCTATCGTACATGAAAAGACCCAGATCAAGTCCGGGTGCAGAAACCGCGAAACCAAAGAAATTCGTAACCATGCAGTAAACGAAGCGCATTCTATCTCCATATCCATCTCACTTTCCATCTACTGCCCATTCTGACCGATTACCCCATCAACAGGAACAGTCACCGGATTCCGAACAGGTGCAGCAGCAGCCATCTCAGCTCCAGCGCCCAGGTCAGGGAAGAACGGGTGCAGAGGATAGATAGGGCCAACGGACTTCTCGCCATCAAACAGCAGAATATTCTGTAGTGGCTGCTCCCTCGCCGAAAGAACATTGATCACATCCTGTGCTAGGGCTCCACCTAGGAACGCTGCAACGGGGCTCAACTCGCTTCCCAGGTTCTGTAGGAATGTTCGCAGGAACTCAGCTTCTAGAGTTACAGGCTCTAGTTTCAATTCTTGATGTCTGTCGCGCGACAGTCGGGTGAAAAGTTCCAGGTCTTCGTGTGTGAATGTTGGGCGGCGGCCGAGGAGTTTCTCGAATTCCCAGAGGGCACGGAGACAGCTGAGTAGAGGGGTTACTTGCTTGCGGCGACGGGGGAAACGAGTGTATTCTTCTGGAAGAGGGGATGTGTTTGCGAGGATAAGAGGGGAGTAGATTTCCCGTTTTGTGACGAGCTCGATGGCCTTGTCGTTTTCTTTTTTGGTGCTTGTGGAGATTATGCTGCGGGTTGCTGTTTCCTGTGTCGTGGTGTTCACGTTGGACTTGGCGCGCTCGATCACAAAGTCATGGCTAATGAGGTCTGCGAACGCGTAGCCGTAGAATCCGTGTAGCCCGGCTGCGTAGAATGGTCTGTTGGCCAAGCGGCAGGCAGCGTTGATTGTGGTGTTTGTGAGGAAGTCTTGTTCGGTGGCGATTGTGAGATCGAATTGCGCGAAGAAGTTGGGTTGTTTCGTCTTGACGTCTTCGGTGTCGATGTTCAGCTTCACGCGCGGGTTCATCTTGTGGATCTGAGGTCCTGCGACTTGCGCGCGCTGGTGTCAGGCTTGTCAGTATGTGGTAGTGACTTTCGTTGGACATGAGTCACTCACATTTTTGCCAATCACATCTCCCTCGCTTTGCGCCTCTGTAATGAAGAACTGCGCACCCAGATCCTCTTCCGTGACATCCTGGTGGTCGAGGATCGTGAGCGAGCCGATGCCCGCCAGGACGAGGTTCTTGGCCACTTCATTGGCCAGGGCTTTCACAGAAATAAGGAGGATGTTTGCTGATCGGATCCTGGTCATGTTAGAATTGTCCGGCTTGTTGCGACACGAGTTGCTCACTTTTCTTGGGCTTGGACTCCCCAGAGTCGGATCTGTCGGTCATACAGCGCAATTTCATCTGGCAGTGGTGTAAGCAAAGATCAGTGAGACCCAATGGCATGCTTACCAGCGCTGATCGACTGCATGTTGTCCTGCTCCGCCATGGTCGGCGAGTTCGGCAGTGATAAGAGTTAAAACTTGCGGGTGGCTTGGCTTGAAGCTTGCCCCGCACTTCCGCTCGAGGTGGTCGGAGTTATCAAAGTGACGAAAAAAATAACGAAACGCAAAAGACAATGTGCAATGCAACGAACTTAGAGCTGTAAGTGTGGAGGTGTGAAGAGAAAGAGAACTAGAAGGGAAGGGAGGTTGTCATGTGACCCGGGAGCTAAATGTGGGGGGCGTGGGGACACGAAGTATACAAGTGTCTGTGTTTACTCTACTCCTACCTCTGGGATATCTGTTTGCTGTGTATTTTATGCAGCTTTTCTCAGAGATCTATTCTATACTAGAGCATGTGTTAACGGTCAGCTATTACACAGAGAAGGGATTATAGCTGAGTGCTTGGTGAATAGTGGATATAAGATATAGGTGCTCAAGATAGTGCTCCAGTCCTTAGCAATTAGGCAAGCATGTCTCTTGCAATCTAGCTTTTTCAAAGTTTGACTGAAAAGGTGGAATCTTGCAGCTCATTGGTTTGCTGTCCACTGATGCTCTAGAGTGCAATGAGAGGAGTGTATTGACAGGATGCTAGAGAACCATACATTTGCAGTAAGTGTGCAGCTGTGTCAAAGCATAGTCTCGGTTGGTGATATTCCTGTACAACTTACAAGGCTCTGCCCTGTATCAAGTGTCAGATACTATTATTGAAGCCGATGTCTCTGCGGGGTCCTAATGCGCACTCGAGTCCCTCTTTAGAGATTTGAGTCTTGTGTAGCCATATAGTGCAATCGCATTTCGCCTTGAAATGTATGAACAATATGAAACAAAGATTCATTGAATATAAGCCATGCCACCTTCATGAAGTGAAGAGAAAGTGGGGAGAAACCCCGTGGACGGGAATGCGGAGCGATGATCTAATCCCATCACGTGTGTTATCAACTACCAGGTCTCTTTGGACATTCGGCGTTGTGACTCTTTAAGTATTTCGCCCTGGAATTCTTCACTGTTCCTACTCGGGTTGATGCCCAAAGATACGGTATCCTCTCGACATAGGTTCATTAGCGGTAACCCGAATGATGGTATGTTTCATGGCTCCTCCACCAACTGATGTCTCACCTCTTTCTAGTCAGGAAACTACGACTACCCTCCTGCGTCTTCTTCGTCCCGCCGTTTTTCCCGCCCGACTGCGCCCACCGAACGAGGCCCCGACGTGCTCCGTCTCCAGCATCTCCGCAACCTAGTCAACGAACGCAACCGCTCCGGTGCTTACAACACCTTCAGCGCTACCCGTGCCTTATTAACATTGAATCAAGAGATTCTAGAGCACACGCTTGACCGAGCTCGAGACCGAACCAACTTTGAACAAGCCCGGGCCGCCGTGGATCGCCAGATCCAACAGCTCCAGTCCGAGATAGCTAGCCCACCAGACCTAATTCGGAGCATTTGGGCAGACCAGATTCACTCGGAACGATCCCTGAGTCCCCTCTCTCCGGACTCTCAGTCTCTTCGACGTCGACTCCCCCGGCCACCAAATTTTCCTCCAAGCCCAGACGGTTCATCATCCAGATCACCATCCCTCATGCCACCAGGCTTGTCGGGCCGTGATGGCCAGGGACGCCTGAAGCGTCGGAAGCTAGACGCCGATGATAACCGCGAAGAATTTCAAGGGTTTAACTACGGGCGATATGGACAAGTCTACCCCGGAATGCTGCAAATGGAGATTGCTAGCTGTGACGGAGGTATCTATGATCAGGATGAGGGGTGTTCGCGCCCGGAGAACGTCCTGGAAAACAACCAAAGCGTTTACTCTACCAAAGAAGATCGTTGCAATCTGATACTACGTCACCGGGGCGAGGCGCCTTTCTGTCTAAAAAAGATCGTGATCAAAGCACCCCAGTGCGGCTTCGATGCCCCGTATGTATCTCTGTTCTCTCGTTGAGCCCTGACTAACAGAAGTAGAATCCAAGAAGGCATGGTATTTGTCTCCATGTCATCTGACGAGCTTCTCGATCGCACCGCACGCTACCAGATTCAATATTCCAGTTCTCGATGGCGCCGCCGACACCGCCGGCATGGCCTGCAGCCGTCTCAGGAGTACCTAAATTCATACCGGTCACCACTACAAAACCTCGAACGCACAGTTCTCATGGGACCGAATTCAGACAGTTCTGCTTCTGATACAACCGAGGACCCACAAAGACAGTTCCGCATTACCACGGAATACGATGAAAACAGCGAGGAAAACAGTAATTCTGGAAACGACGACACCACCTCCCTCACCGACCTTGAAAGGGCCTACCTCACAGAGCTTGAAAGAGCCCAGGATGATCAGAGTGATCAGGGTGATCAGATGGAAGATCTTTTGACGGAAACCGATGAGACACCGACCGATGATGAGGATGATAATTCAAGGATACTCCGCCGTGGGCGGATTCAAATGAATCGACGACAGAACATTCTAAACCGCCTTGCTGAGCAGAGCAGGCGTCGAAACCCCACTCTTGTGAATCCCAATCCACCACCCGAACCCAATCCTCCGGAAGTCTTGAAACCACATGCGCGATTCTTCATTGAGCGACAGAAGAGCATGGTCACTATCAAATTCGATCCACCTCCGTAGGTATTATCTACTAGAGGCGTATTGATGTATGCTAACGTTACCAGATCCGGCCGTTTCATTCTGATCAAGCTATGGAGCCCACGACCTGATGGGAATATCGATATTGAAAGCATCATCACGCATGGTTATGCTGGTCCGCGGTTCTTCCCAAGTGTTACTCCTCGCTAGGTCGAATATTCCAACAGCTTGTGTCTGGTGATGCTTGATCTTTGAGCAATGATACCTTTTCTTTGGCTGCACCTCAGTGAGGCAGCCTGAGTTCTCTTTTTACTAGCGAAACGACGATACGAATGACATGGGATATGATTTGTATTTTATGATTGCTTTCGGGGTAGTCCGTTAGACCAACTAGACGAGATCTCGATGCTGTCTGTGTAAAGGGAAGAGTTGTAACTTAAGGCTCAATCGAGACATGGTATACGTATTCCCATCCGATGGCCCTGGGGGAAGTCCCCTATAAATACACACTCACCCTATCTTTCTCTTCTCTTCTCTTTCCCTCCTCCATCCCCACCACGGGGTTTCGCAACCCATTCCAGTCCTTTCCACACACTGTACGCCTGATGCCTTTTTACTCTCACTGTGTGCACAAGCCTTACGTTACGCACGCACAGCCACGGATCTCACGCGAATACACCAGGAAGGTTGCTTCAGTCAGTTCCAACCGCCTCCGGCGCTATTTGAATCGAAAATAGAAATAAGAACGGGATGCAAAATATATGAAAGGGCTGGAGATTGATACTCGACGATCTCAGAAGCGCGGCTTTGACTGGGTGCTAGCAACAAGTTGCAACTGATCACACATGGTTCATCCTGCATGTTTAGCGTGAGATGTGTAGATCTGTTGGTTTTCAAACAAAAATAATCCAGTCCAGCAAAGAAAGAAACTAACAAAACAATATATTCCTTTCACTACCAAATTAAACCCTCCGTACATAAGCCCAAGTGTAATACCCCAACGTAGAAACAGTAGCAACCAATGAAGCAAGCGTAATAAGACCACCAGTAATAATCCCCTGCTCAAAGAATCCAATCTTAAAGCCTGGTCTTTGCTTTGTCGATGCCAACGGTGCAATAGCCTCCCGCCACAGTGTATCGGCCTTGCTTGCATTGTTATCAAGGATAACTTGCACTGAGCTGGACACTGGGGTTATTAGTTGTGGGCGTGGGAGCTCGAATTGAGTCTTTGTGTAGCGGGTTTTGCTGAATGGGGCTGTGTTCTTAGGGATGGCCGGACCGACTATCCATTGGTAAGCATTTTATCTTTAGTTTAGGTTGCAAACCTGAGGTATTCTTACTGAGCATGTGGCTGGGGATATGGTTAACCCATGAAACATGAGCATCGATGAATTGGGTCAAGTATTTGGCTGAAGATGGGGCTGCAAAGGCATAAGTCGCTGCCAGGGTTTGGTTGCTATTGATATGTTAGATGTATGCATGGATAGGAATAGGAATAGATGGGGTTGGAAACATACAAGTTTGTATCAATAGCATCATCCAAGCTAGAGAATGGATGAACAAGCAACACTTTCTCTGCAATCTTCTTCTGCAGAAGTGGTGATTTCCTATCATCTTACTGTTAGAACAATCGTATCCAGTATCTGTGATTAGATCTGATATAAAACTCACCGATCGTGAACCTCAACAACACCCCAATTACTCCCAGAAACAAGAACCCGCGCACTTCTATCCTTCTGGATAGAGTCCAATAAAGCAGATTTCCTGGAAAGAGATCGCACCTCTCCATTCTCACCAGCAAGATACTTTGACGCGTGTTTAATAATAGCCTCGACAAATGGTTTCATAGCGAATTCGTGCACGAGCACTAGATCCGGACTATACGGTGACCGGCCACCAAGCGCGAACCGCGCTGCTACCAATTCCTTTGCGGCTTCGTTGATGTTGGCTGTGCGGTCGACGATAGCTACTGTTCTTGCGGTTGCCGGTGAGACTAGACCGCCGTTGGCGTTCGACTCTCCGGTTTGGTCGACTATCAATGCTTTGTTCAGGAATGAAGGATCCGGTCTTTGGGCTGTGATGGTGAATGTGTCATTGTCCAATGCTTCTGGTAGGATCTTTCGTAGGAGGGCTGGGAGAGCGCTTGTTGTTTGAGGAAGCTAGGTAGTATAGTTAGTACTTGGGTTTCTATGAAAGGAGAAGAGAGAAACATACCTCGAGGACGACACAATTCCCCGCGGCGAGAGCAGCACTCAACGCCGAGATAACGGAATAGAACAGTGTATGCATATTCGGTATGATGTATACAATACCGTTGCCACGCATGCCGTCTGCATTGTCTATACCACGCGCAATGCGATACTCAGCCTCGAGATCCTTCTCCAGACTCACACTGGAGTAATGGGTCCGGATATCCTGCAACGCCAGCACAACCTCGGCGCGAACCTCTGCGCGCGTGTGACCTGAGTCTGAGCTTATGGCATCTTGGATTGAGGCGATGTGCTTCACTAGGTTTGATTGGAGCTTTTGGAATTGGGATTGGCGGTAGCGGGCGTTTTGGGTGCGGCCGTCGACATTCGCGGCCAGGATACGGGATAGACCCATTTTGGATGGGATAGAGATTTGATATTTCGGTATTGGGATCTCCTAGAATGAATATAGAATAAATGGACATCGGAGTAGGAGTAGCTCGGACATAGTATACAAGTAGATATGTCCGAGTCGGGATGTGGACATGTGGGGGAGTTGCCAAGCCCTAAGTCTGGGGACTCGGGACTTCTTTTACTTCATAGTCATACTCCATGTTTCATACCTAGGTAGTCCATACTTGCTTCTCTCTTGATTCTTGCTTGTCACAGCTCATCATGGCAACTACTACTACAACAACCCAAACCCTTTCCATCCTCGCGGACTACGAAGTCCATCACAGCGGAAATGACAACCATGACGTACAGGAACATGCCTCCCCCATAACCACACGGCAACCCACAGACTGGCCAACAGACCACCGTCGTATGCCAGGCTACCGTCCCACAAATCGCAATCTGCCTTTCGAGGAGAGGCCTGGGGGTAGTAATCCGGCGGAGATGGTGTTTATTCAAGTTATGTTGCATGGCGTGTGGCTTAATGCTGTTGGTTCTCCTCTATGGTGTTGTTTATATCCGATATTAACTATGTACAGGCTGTTTCTCGACTCTGGAGGTTTACTGGGGGGAGGATTAATGATAAGATCTTTCATTATGACGTTGGTGGAGAGTGGTAGATTTGGGTATTATATTGGTTGACAATTGGGATTTATCAGTTTGGAGTACAACTTCTTTTGATTTTTGCTGCTTCTATCCAAGTTATTACACAATCCCGCGCCTAGAAAGCGTAAGAGCTTGTTTGAACATCCTCGGGTTTGTTTTGATACATCATGCACTCATACAACACGTAAAGAAAACAGCAACATCAACGTCAACGTCAACAATCCCACATCCGTATGTCGAGAGAAATGATAACTGCACCTCTATCAATTCGCCCGTCTGTAAGTACTCTTGACAAGCACAATACAGACACCTCCCGGAAAAGATTGACATGAAGTAGGCAAAGCGATGCAGCTACGTAATTCCTCTCATCGATCTCGAAACCTGGCGGAAAGTCCAAGTCATAGAGTCCTAATCACAATGAGAGAGGGGCGTGGACATCTTTATGGCAAGCCACGAAGTGCGAATTCTCGAAGAGGAAGAGCTTGAAGAAGAAGGCTGTATTTATAATAAGATCGTTTGACTCGTTTGCTAAGAACGAAAAGCTGGTCTTTCCCATTTATCGTATTTAATGTAAATGAATGTCAAGTCAAGTACATACAAATCAAGTACTAGCCCGAACACCGATACCATCAACAACCTCCCCCAATCGACGTCCATCAATTTCAATCTCCTCCGAAGGCTGGAGAACATACAACATCCTAGCCCACTGACCAGTCTTCACACCATTCTCATCAACAACATCAGGAGTGACATTTCTCCAAGCATGATTCGTCCCACGCTGCACAGCAACATCGCCACGCTTGAGCAGCCGCACTTCACCCGAATCAAGCACGAGCTCAACCTCGCCTTCGAGGACGACACCGTAATCCAGAGATACGGTGCGGTGCATGGGACTCAGGGCTCCAGGGAGCATATCCACAATCCGGCAGACTGTTCCGCCTGAGACGACTATGCCTGGTGGGCTCGTCAGGTAGTTTGAGTATTCGGTTATGTCCGTTTTGTTGTTTAGTTGCGCGGGAAAGTGGTCTGATGTGTAGGCTAGGCTGAAGTCGGCGCCGTCGGTTATTCTTTGGACAGGCATTAACTCCGGGAGGTCGTTTGAGAAGATTGCTTTGCCCGTTTCATTGTGGGTTGTTATGAAGCGTTTGAGGGGGCGGATGTTTTTGGGGGTTTCGTTGGCCATTTTTGGTTGTTTGTTCGTGGAATTGGATTTAAATGAAGATTGAGAGTGCTGTAGTATGATTTATGAGGGCTTGTACAGGAATTTTGTCCTATCTATATCTTGTTTCTGCTCTCCCCACGTCGGGTTGTTGTCCACATCGGATAGATGTGGGAATTCGGACTCCAACTTTGGAGCCGAGGTCGGACAGAAAGGGAAATTAATAATGTAATGAGCTGGCAATTAACAGGGGTAGGGGCTAGCTGGGTGTTGTTACATATGGCATGGCTGTTAAGTGAGGGTAGAAGTCCGTTAGGGATTGCTCAATTGGGAATAATCCGATATAGTTTGAATCTCAATTTACATGCATTCATTCAATTCTATACTATTTACTTCTAAACTCCTAAGCAGACGGAATAATAGGCAGAGTAACATAGTTCTCCGCAAGACCAAAGTGAATATGATTCTGTCCCTGGAAGCGTTCAACAGACCTGCGGACACCACAATTAGCCAAAATCACCTCAACACAGGAAAAGAAGTACTAACCGGTCTTCAGGCGAGTTATGCTGGAAGATCCCAGAACCCTGAGTATCACCACTACTAATCTCCAGAAGAATTTTACCGCCCTTCTCGACAACCACATTCGTCGGCCAAACCTCCACATCAACAGGATAGACCTCACCAGGAATCACAGGCTTGGCATCAGTTGAGTAGTAGTTCCGATGAGGCAAATAATGCCGGTGCTTCGGGTTCTCGGTATCAACCTGTCTCATCGAAACACGTAGCCAGCCCTTGCACAATGGCACAGGGTCACCAGCCGTACCAGTGTAGAAGACTTCCTTCCCAGCGGGCGAGATGTACCGCAATGTCACGAACAAATCCAGATCCTGGGGGTTTCCGAGCCCGGGTTCGCGCTCATCGATACATTCAAGTGTGCGACGATGTGGCCCGTGATCTCGGTCTCGGTCTCGAAGGCGTCAGTGGTGAACTGGACCAGCTGGGGATTGTCGAGGTTGCCAAGTGCCTGGTAGGAGATCTTTGTTGAACGGGATTCTTTTGGTGGCGATGTGACGAGCCCGTTGTCCGAGGTCAGGTGGAACTTCGTGTACTGCGTACGAGCAATAGGCCACTCCTGCTCCACGCGGCGTGGGAAAGTCTTCTCGGCTTCGGCGTTGTTGTGTCCGACATCACCCTTGCGCAGAACCATATCCACCTTCGGAGCAGTGCCATTCGCCCACCCGGCGCGGTCCTCGCCTTTCAGGAAAGCGTCCAGGAAACTGCGCTGCAGCTCGACTTCCTCTTTGTAATAGAAGGGCAGATCATGTCGGCCAGTGATGAAGCGGAGATACTTCAACTCCGAACCAGCATGTGTATACCCCTCCACATTACCACGGAGATGAAGGAGAATCCCACCCCAGTTCGCAACAGACAACAACGGAACCTTGATATCAGACATACTATACTCCTTCGAAGCATAGTACAAATCATCCCGGAACTTATTGTTCACATTATCAACTGTCTGATCCTGTCGATTCTGCACAAGCGCTTCTTCAGGCAAATCCCCTTCAATACTATCAGGGCCCCAGTTCCGTGCTGCACGTCCACCAAGTCCATACTGGTTACTCACGACCTGCCGATCCCACCAGAACTTGATAAACTTGTTCGACAGGATTCCGCCATGCCGACAACGGTCTCGGTAATAGTCTGACATTCCCTCCCAGGGGATAATGCACGAAAGACCCTTCGGTTGACGCGCTGCCACCCGCCATTGACTACCGGCGTAGTAGCTAATTCCGAGGAGGCCGACTTTGCCGCTGGACCACGGTTGCTCGGCAGCCCATTCGACTACGTCGAAAAAGGCTTCACTTGTGCCTCGGGACATGGTGTCTAGCTTGCCCATTGACTGGCCGGTGCCACGCTCGTCGGCGCGGACAACAGCGTAGCCGTTGCTAGTCCAGAATTTTGGGTCTGGGGTCTCCCAAGCTGAGTGCTCGGAGCGTTGCTCTGGGTTTACTTCGCTGAAGCTTTGGGGATGGAAACTAGGTTTGTTAGTATGGCATTGTTGTATTGGAGTGGGTATGATACTCACGCTTCATAGCTGATATCCTTGCCGTAGGGTCCATATGTGACGAGAACAGGGACCTTCTCTGAGGTCTTGGGACGGTAGACATTGCAGCGGACAAGACCCGAATTATCTTTGAGCGAGATGGTTAGGTTCTGCTCGAAGATGTAGGAGAACGAGGTCTCGTCGCGAGTGGCGATGTCTCTGATCTGGTTGGGCATTTTGATCCAGAATACAATTGTAACAAGATTGAAAGCGAAAAAGAACAAAGTATCCATATGAGTTTCTATGAGTTCATATAATGCGTGTCGTTCCCCTCCCTATGTGGAGCCGAAATGGACATCCGAGAGATGCGAAACGACCAAGTCCCGAACGGGAAGAAAGAGTGGCCATAAATAACACTCTGGTCTCTGGTCTCTGGTCTTTGTAGTCGCAAAAAAATATCATCATGACGTTCAAAGATCTGAACGAGACACAAGGACTCCGCGTCTTGATCGTCGGCGCTGGCATCGGCGGTCTAACCGCCGCGATTGCATTGAGACAACAAGGACACCGTGTGGAATTGTTTGAACGTTCGCGCTTTGCAAATGAAGTCGGAGCTGCAATTCATTTGTCGCCTAATGCGAATGGTGTGTTGCGCCGACTGGGGATTCAGGCGGAGGATTTCGGCGCTGTAGAGGCCGAACAGGTGAGACACAGAATCTATACCTCGATATAGAAACATGAACTGACACATGTAGCTGCGAGAATACACACCAGCCGGAGAGGAAGTGCACATCACAAATCTCAAGCAGCACGCAGCAATGTGGAGACACGTACGAGCCCTAACTTACCTCCATCTATACATTTACACAACTAACAATTACAGCGCTGGCTCCTCGTCCACCGCGCACACTTCCACGAGGGACTCAAGAAAGCTGCTCAGGGCCCGGGAAAGGGCGCACCAGCTCTCCTTCATACAGCCAGCAAGGTCGTCGATGTCGACCCCCATGAAGCAACAGTTACTCTGGAAAACGGCCATGTCATCAAAGGAGACGTTCTCCTCGGCGCAGATGGCGTGCACTCCCTAACTCGGAGTAAGATCTCTAACGTGAAACCCGTTAGCTCTGGCAGGAATGCCTTCCGCTTCTTGATAAGTCGACAGGAAGCACTGGACGATCCCGAGACGAAGAGTATCGCGCAAGACTTTGGAGCTCTTGATATGTGGGAAGATGAAGAGCGACGCGTGGTGATCTACCCGTGTTCTAACAACGAATTGTTGAATTTCGTTTGTCTCCATCCTGATACTGATACGACTATCGATACCGCGGGTGATTCTTATAATCAGCATATCGGTAAGGACGCCTTGCTGGATGTTTATAAGCACTTCAACCCGCAGGTGCGTAAGTTGTTGGCCAAGGCCGATCCGCAGTCTTTGAAGCTGTGGCCATTACTTGATATGGAAACGCTGCCTACGTGGGTTGAGGGGCGTTTGGCGATTCTTGGTGATGCTGCTCATCCTTTCTTGCCGTATCGGGCTTCTGGTGGTGCCATGGCTATTGAGGATGCTGTCTCTTTGGCTGTGATGCTTCCTGGTGATATTGAGAAGGATCGGGTGCCGGAGAGGTTGAAGGTCTATGAGAAGGCTCGTTTTGAGCGTGCTACGACTATTCAAGAAATGACGCGTCAGTCGAGCAAGCCGATTTCCCCGGAGACGGGTATGTTTCATTCCCCCTGAAGATTGATAGGAGCATAACTAACTGTATTAGCAATGGGGATGGTGGTCTACATCTACGGCCACGACGAGTACGACCACTCCAGCCAGGTCCTCCGCAAGCACCTCTGGTCCCAGAACCCACACATGTACTGGCGTCAACCCATCGTCTTTGGGCCAATGCCTGGTCCCCGACAGGACTGGATGGGCCGGGACAGAGCTTTAAAGTCAGCCCAGTCCACCTTCACAACAGCTTCCATCAAATTCAAGACCAGCCGGACTCTTCTGCAGAACCTCTTCCCGTCTGATCGGTATAGCTTCATCTCACCCAGCACCGTGGCCCGAGCCAGTTTCTCGCAGACTACCCTTGGCGGTATGGACTGGCTGGGTGGTGGTGGATATCGCCATATCGGACTTTATATCCACGGTGTGCAGTGTACCAAGGAAGATGGGACGGTGTTGAAGGGAACATATATGCCTATTCTGTTCGAGAGTTTGGCTGATCCTATTGTTTCGGGGAGAGAGGAGTTGGGTATGCCCAAGCTTTATACTGCTATTGATGTTCATCAGCGGAATGAGTCTTACCGATTGCAGACTAGTTGGCAGGGGGCTGTGTGGGGACATTTCGAGTTGGAGGGGTTGGAGGATCAGGATCCTGCGGCCGATGCTGGGACTATCGGAGGTGAGGCTGATGATGGTATCCTGGTTTATCGGTATATGCCGAAGATTGGGAAGGAGTGCAAGGGTCAGGCTGAGGCTGAGTATCCCGTTTTTGTGCCTCATGCTGCTGAGTCCAAGGTTGTGCCGTCCAAGGTTACGCGGTTGCAGCGGACGAAGAAGGCTAAGGTTGAGATTCAGGGTCTAGACTGGGATGCTTTGCCAACACTTCACCATGTTATCTCTCGGTTGGGTGAGATTCCCATTGATGAGATCATTGATGCCAAGGTTGTTAGTGGAGTTGGAGTTCCTGACGTATCCTCGGCTATGCGCATTGAATAGTTAGTGTCGGCAAATTGTATATACGATCTTCAATTTACTCGGCACTTTCGTTGGGGATTTTCCGACTCCCGTAGAGTCTAATCTGCCTGCGTTTGAAGACATAGATAGACGGTCGTATTCGGCGTGTCCGGTACTCCCGCACAGCCTATAGCCACATCCAGTCAGGCACAAAGATACGGGACTCGATCTGCACATGCCATTTCAACGAGGCTTGAGGCAGCAGTCTAGGCGGGGTAGACATAGTAGGAGTCATCGACCTCCCCGAACAGGCGCCATGCTTGATCAGCCGTTAGGGTTGAGCCGGGAGCCAATCTGAAACGGTAACACTAATGCACGCCTCTGGAAAGGGAAAAAACGGTTACCTACCGGGAAGTACCGTGTCGGACCGAAAGAAGGCTTCTCTTGCTCTGTTGGCAGTGAGTGTACATGTGGAGGGGCATGTCATATGCAAAGATCATACCTCTGTCGATCCGTGCGGCAGTGTTATGCGGCGAAATGCAGGTCAGCACCGGCAAGGTTGACAGCACTGTGCTTGACGTTGAAGCCAACATTCTCTCGAGACCAGAGCGGGGGACTGATCAGGCCACGACGTTAGCTGTGTGGCTGAGGATCTCGTACTTTTGACCCTCAACGGTGATCACGGACTGTCCTGCCTGCACTACATAGATTGATGCTGTGAAGCCGTGGCTGTAGACTGGAAATGAGACAATGCGTCCCCGGCGTTGTAGGCTGACGCGGATCTAGCAGATCAATTAGCTTACTTACAGTAGTCCATGTAGCTGCGGAGACTAAGTGGAGATATGTAAGGGAGTGGAAGAGGAAGAGAGCTCGGCTTGCCCACTTTACTCATCCACTTCCCTTTCCCTTTCACCTTTCTCCTTCTCTCTCTCTCTTTCTCTTCTCTTCTTTTTCTCCCTTTCTATCCCTCTCTCGTACTCTCACCTACCTTTACCATGCGTATCACCGTCAGCGTCATCCGCCCCGAGGCGGACTCGGACATCATCAACCTAGAAGTCGGCGGTGACATGACGATCGAGCTATTGAAAGCCATTGTCGAAAGCGAAACGGCCATCCCCCCACAAGCCCAACAGATCGTCTATAACAACCAGCTCCTCGGGAACCCCTCACAAACTCTCGACCAAGTCGGCATCACCGAAGGCGACATGCTCGGCGTCCACGTCACCCTCCGTCCTCCACAACAGCCACGACCCTCCCCCTCTGCCTCCAGCTCCGTCGCTCCCCGCCAGGCCCCACCCCGCCCGGGTATGCAAGACCCGGAGACTATCCGCCTACATATCCTGGGTGATCCCCGCGTGCGCGAAGCCGTCCGCCGGCAGAACCCCGAGCTGTCTGACGCGGCGGATAATGCCCAGCGGTTCCGCGAGGTCCTGATGAGGCAGCAGCAGAGGGAGGCGCAGCTGGAGGCGGAGAAGGAAGCTCGCATTGCTATGCTCAATGCTGATCCTTTCAACCCGGACAACCAGAAGGAGATTGAGGAGATCATTCGCCAGAATGCTGTTACGGAGAACCTGCACAACGCCATGGAGCATCATCCCGAGTGTATGTCTACCCCACACCATTGCCCGCTACCCATTATATCTGGAGTGACCAAGCTAACAAGTTACTAGCCTTCGGCCGCGTTACAATGCTCTACATCCCCGTCGAAGTAAACGGTCACCGCCTAAACGCTTTTGTCGACTCTGGCGCCCAGGTCACAATCATGTCGCCCGAATGTGCAACAGCATGCAACATCATGCGGCTAGTGGACCGCCGCTACGGCGGTATCGCCAAGGGAGTCGGCACCGCCCCAATCCTCGGCCGCGTCCACTCGGCCCAGATCCGCATCGGCGAGATGTTCCTCCCCTGCTCGTTCACCGTGATGGAGGGGAAGCAGATCGATCTGCTCCTTGGGCTGGACATGCTGCGCCGACACCAGGCTTGCATTGATCTCAAGCGGGGCGCCCTCGTCATCCAGGATCAGGCTGTGCCGTTCCTGGGCGAGGCTGATATCCCGCGCCATCTAACTGAGGAGTTTGAAGCCGAGCCTACGGTCAAGGGCGCTGATGGGGCGGAAGTTGGAGCTAGGACTGGGGCTGTTACCCATAAAGCCGGTGGTGAGGAGGGAAGCAGCAATGCTACCAGCAATACTGCCTCTGCCTCTGCACCAGCCCCAGCTCCTGGGACATCCCAACCGCGAATCAATATCCGGCCTGCACCTGCATCGCCCGCCTCGCGCTGGTCGCAAGACTCCATTGCCAAAATCACCGAGCTGGGCTTCTCCCGCGAAGAAGCCGTTCGAGCCCTTGACATGGCGAATGGGAACCTAGACCATGCGATCGGGTTTTTGATCTAGAGCTAGGTGTTTTGCATTTCATTTACAGTGGCGTTGGGATGGATGGGTTTGGCTATAGGACTTGTATTAGCGATTTTTGATCGAGCACTTTAATGATGTGTACGATTATCACATAACGTTAGCATATGGTATGTATTTCTTCTGGTTAGAGTAAGTGTAAGTAGGTGTAAATAAGTATACAATAGTGGCTTATTCTCGCTTATTCTTCGGCATAAGTCTCCCCCGTAACCGGAACACCATGTCCAAAGCCATGAAAGCACCTAAACAGAGTCAGATCACATCCACTTCTACTTCAACTGCATTGTATCCACTTACCCAACGCCACATAAGGCCCATAAAGCATCGTAATCTGCTGTTTCTGCTCCGTCGAGCGATCAGTCCAACTCCATACATCCACCAGACAAGTCAGCGACGTGAGGAAGGCTTGGATGCCGAAGACGAGAAGGTGGACTGGGATGAGGGGGTGATCTGGACAAGATTGAAATTAGTTTCCTTTCTTTTCTTGGTTTTGTTTGTGATAATGCATTCATGCTTCCAATGTTTCTTCTTCCGGTGTTCCATAGGGCTGGAGCTATGATTTGCCGGATAGGGTTCATTGCTGACATCTGACATATCATGTCTGATATCCGGTGCCATATCTGGTGCAATACAGGTGTGTTGGATGGGATTGAAATATCCGATTGTGTAGGGAATGTGTATAGGGGTAGCGTAGGGATACCTCTCAATAACCCCCGCACTGCCCAGATAGATGCGGGAACATGGTATATCAGTTCCATCCAGATGAAGACGGTGAACCATGTTGGGGCGGGATCTTCGAAGAATTTGTCATGGTAGGTGTCTATGTAGAATTGGCGGAGGGTGTGGGAGAGGTTCGTTTGGAGGAATGTTGGTTGCAGGGGGACTGTGTCGATTACTGCCAGGTGTCAGGTAAGTTGATGTCAATTGAACAAAGGAATAGGAAAGTGGGTAGTCTGTATCCACCGTGTACTCCGTAGAGACAGGTGGATAGTGTGATAGATGGGTACCCGGGTACGGGGGTTAACGGGATGGGGGGAATCATACGGAAGATGATGGGGATGTGGGTTACAAAGAACACCAGATAGGCTGTGTCGCGTTTGAGCATGGCGAAAGATAACTCGACGAGGTTGTGCTGGGTCATATGCAGAGTCAAGGACAGAAAGAGAGAAAAGATATCAGGTCAGGTGACCTATAGATCGAAGTGCAATTAAGACGCAACTAAACGCATCTTTGCTTTTTTCTGGTGGGCCAAGTCAAGTCCCGAGCCAAGGTACCTTGGAAGGTTCCAAGGTTCCATCCCATTTTATCCACTTAGTGGGGGAGTTCAAACGTCTCTCTATCCCTTCTAGAAATTACGTAGAACCTCACACCGCTGCTTCTCATTTTTGAGATTCGGAGAGGTGGCCTGACTGAATCCTTCCTGGAAGTTGTCTCCCCGAGGGAATTATGACATTTTCTATAGCATGCACCGTCTACCGGCCCGATCCCTGCTCCACAAGGACCTTGGGATTAACTAGTACAGTGGACTATACATACTCCAAGAAGTGATAGCCCGAATTACATCAGGATAAGGTACGCATGCAGCATGGGATAGGTCTGAAAGGAGCTGGTAAATCCATGCAGACCGCAACATCCGGCCAATCGCACAGGCTGTTTCGAACTTCCCGTTCCCATTACGCCGAGGCAAAGATGAACCCACTGCATGCCTTATCTGGACAATTGAAGCGGTGAATTGAGTGTTCCAAGGGGTCGGGTTACTCCGGGATTTGTGTATTATTTTATTTAGGGGGTTTACTGTAGGGGTTTGGGTGTTTTAGGTTGGGGAATAGATTAAATCGCTTCGATCTTGACCGCTGTTCGGAGATTGAGTGTCTATATAAGACTGTTCCCATCTTATCTTATACTTCATCTACTCCATACTTCATCTCTATACCCCATCCCTATACTTCCCATTCCACTTCTACTTCACAATGCCCTCCTCCGCCCCCCTTCGCGAAAAGAAACCCAAACCAGAACCCCCAATCAGCTACGACATCAACATCCCCTATGTGGACGTAGAAAAACAATCCAAAATCAACACCAAATACCCCCAATACCTCCCCAGCTGGGATCCAATCTGGTTCGACCCCTAACCCCATTCGAATACAACGACCCAGCCCTGCGCGTCCGCGACAAATCAAAGCGCAATCTACTCAATGAGTCCTCCAAAATCTCCCACATCCAACCAAACATCGGCTCAGTGGTTGAAGGCGTGCAACTCTCCTCCCTGACCTCCGCAGGAAGAGACGAACTTGCCCTCCTCATTTCCGAGCGCAAGGTCGTCGCCTTCCCAGAGCAAGACCTCATCGACGCAGGCCCAGACGCTCAGGAGGAATTCATGCGCCATTTCGGTAAACCAAATTACCAGCCTGTTTCGGGCTCTATGACCGACCATCCGGCTTTCCATATTATTCACCGGGATGGCAACCGTGAGGAGATTTCTCGTTTCCTCGAGCAGAGAACCACTACCACCCTCTGGCATCAGGATGTCAGTTATGAAATCCAGCCCCCGGCTATGTCATGCTGGGTCTGTTGCAGGGTCCTGAGGTTGGGGGGATACCGTCTTTGCCGCGACGGATATGGCGTATAAGCGGCTTTCACCTACTTTTACCAGTTTCTTGGATTCGTTGAAGGTTACGCATACTTCGTCCAAAATGATTAACCACACGCGCTTGGCTGGCGGTCTTGTTAGGAAGGACCCTGTTGATACCGTGCATCCGCTTGTGCGGGTTCATCCTGTTACCGGGGAGAAATGTCTGTTTTTGAATGGGGAGTTTATTACGAGGATTCAGGGACTGAAGGACTCTGAGACGAAGTGGTTGTTGGATTTCCTTATGAATCATTTGGTTACTGGGCATGATTTCCAGGCTAGGGTGCGCTGGCAGCCTAGGACTATTGTTATGTTTGACAACCGGTCGACTATTCGTGAGTTCTCTTGTACTTCTTGGATATGGCATATACTGACTACTTATACTCTGCAGACTCCGCCATTGTCGACTACTTGGATGACGACTATGGTGCCAAAGCCCGTCATATCTTCCGTCTCATTGCTCTCGCTGAGAAGCCAATCCCCGTCTACGAGGATTTCTCTGAATAGACTGGGACTCGGGACTCATAGATGGCGTTTGGATTAGTATAGATTTAATGGATAATTTCGGATTGCACTCCATGAAATGTAGCATGTAGCATTGTCTATGGACTAACATTTGTGAATTCGTTTTCATTACCATCCCACGCCTAGAGTACAAAGTGCAAACACCGGAACGAAAAACAGAAGAAACATCGTCGCATATGATATGTCAAGCGGTGGAATACTGTATCCTCGCAGATCATCTGCACATGCCAATACATCACCGCAGAATATCATCAATCCGCGACCGCAACTCAATAGCCGTAGTCAACTCATCCTGGCTGAGGACATTGCTACTCTGTTGCAGGATCAACAACATCTCTGAAATCCGCTCGGCAACCACATCCGACCCGAACACCATACCGCCCAGGCGCACGGTCTCCTGGAACCACACAGTCAGCAGGTACAAGAGATCGCGGGCAATATACCGCCGGTTGGTGCCGTGGAAGGGGGCTTCGTCGGTGTAGTACATGGTCTCCAGGACGGCGTACAAGGACTCGTGCGCCACGCCAAGATCCAAGAAGAGATCCACGACCCAGGTGGCTGGGCCGACGTTCCGTTGGAATTCGAGTGCATAGCGCTCGAGCATGGGGACCAGGTCGCGGACTGGGAACACGGTCTCGGACATGCGTAAGCGACTTCCAAGGCTGCGGACTTTGTCGATCACCGCTTCGTAAGGTTGCGGTGAGCCGCTGCGGGTGGTTGCGTCATGCACCGTTTGAATCAAGTGTTGCCATGTTGACTTGATGTCGGCGGCATTTCGGTGGTCGGCAACGTAGAAGATCTGAAGACAGATGTCGTGGTAGCCAGCGGTGTCGGCAAATTCATTGAAAAGCTGGTATTGTTAGGTTGAATCGCAAGGTGGAATCAAGGCACTTACTGTGCTAATGTCCATCACAGGTCCATCCACCTCGCGCAGCACGTCGGCTTTGCGATCCGGGTTAATTCTCTCATCATCCTTCAATCGTTGCAGTAGATCATCTTGGATATTAGCCACATCAATGAGGGTGGAGATCTCATGTAGCAATCGCTGCCGTGCCTGACGTCCGACATCGGCTGTGAAAATGGAAGCGTTAGCGCGGGCTTGGCCGAGATACTCGATACGACGGCTCAATGGTAAAGCGAAAGCGCTGTTCGCCAAGTCGAACTGCACTTGGGCGGTCTCGAAGAATCGCTGCGACTGAGAGTAGAATCGCCACAGAAGATCAGCATGGTCGAGGTCGTCGGCCGACTTGCGCTGCAGGTATGTGACCACAAATGGCGACTTTGTCGACAGCAATCGGTCGCTCCAGCCCTGCTCGAGGTACCAGTCGTACAAGCTCGTCAAAAAGACCTCATCTGTCGAACCCGAAATCACGTCATATGCTTCGTTCTGGCGTTTGGCAACGGTGGTAAGCTGGCCATCAATAAATCCGGGATCAGATGCAGCCAAGGTATCAACTGCGAGCACGATTTTGAACACGAGGTCGTAGCATTGCTTGCGGAAGTAGAAATACTCTTTGCGGGTATCCTGGTAACGGGTGAGCAAGCGGGTCCAAGATCCAAGGGATAGGGCACACGGGGTATGTACCTGTTCGGGGCGCTGGTCCATGATCCAGGAGAGGGCAAGGTTGGATTTATCGGAGCGGCCAGCCACATTAAGTGCGAGTTGAATGGCACCTGTAAAAGTTAGCATTGAACAGCAAAGACGTGGGTCAAACCTACCTGCAAAGAACTGATTGGAAATGAAGTTGTCCACCGCTGAAATTAGATAATCCATGGGCAGGTTCTCGGCCACCTGCTGGAAGAGATGAAGACTGTCATTGAGTAGGTTGCGGCCCAATTCGGTGTTGGCACCAGCTTCGGGGGCACGCTTGAGCAATTCCTGTGCCTTGAAGATCACAACGTCGTCCGCACTGCAGAAACTGCCACATCGTCGGCGGAGCGCATCAGCCACGGTCTCAACGTTGGAGCCCTTGGCAATGTTGCGGTTGACAATTGCCTTGACCAACTCCTTGGCAATATCATGGCCCTTGCTGGAGCTGAACAGTTCTTCAAAGGTGAGCTGAAGGAACTTCTCTTTCGACTCCACGGGTAGGGTCGCCACAATTTCATCGACCCGCTCATCGAACAACACAAGTACGAATGAGATACCCTCGATTGTGTGGGTGACCAGCTGAACAAGTGAATGTAGAGCTCGGTGCTCAGCCTGCAGTGCGGTCTCTTCTTGCTTGGTGGATACTCGGGCAAGAGCCTCGGGTCCGCTGAGTCCCTCGATGAAAGTCTTGTTGACCTTGAAGAATGCTTGGAGGGCGGATAGATCGTGCTGGATAGTCTGCAACTTGGCAGAGCTGACACCAGCTGAAACAGTCTGTGCACCATTGGGTCCCTTGCCCACCTTGGCGATTTCCTTCTTCCAGATGGATCGTAACAGACGCGCAATGTACAATCCAATGCCAGTGTGTCTTGGAGAAGGCTGCACAGCGTCAATGGCAGCTGTCGAGCTATCTGCCACAGAATTCTCGTTCACAGTAGGACGGCCACCATATTCAATGAACACCTTGCGGGCGTACTCCAGAACATCAGGGTCGTTGATACGGGTGAGTCTTTGGTCGGGAGAAATCTCCACACCTTGACCACAAGCCACTGCCAGAGCTGTCGCCAGCGTCTCACTCCGGCCGTATGTTCGAATGAAGTTCTTGATTTCGCCCGTCAAGCCCTCATCAGAATTACCGCCGCTACGAACCAATGACGCGAAGATATCTACCAGACGACGCCGGCGAATGAGATGAACTCCGCCGTTGGTCAAGATCGCAACCTCTGCAGCAGGGTGGTCGAATTGTACGGCCAGCTCATTGGCCACAGAAGAAGGCGCCGAAACAAGTCCGATGTCCTCTGCTTTGCCTCCCAGATCGATCATGATAGCTGATTCAGCGGTTTTCCCACTGCCCGCATTTTCCTGGGAGCGAGCAACTCGGCCAGCGTCAGGAGTCGAGATGAAAAGGCTATCAATCTTTTGCAATGAATCCTTGGTCGTAAAACAGAAGAAGTAACCGGGAGAGAATCGTTCGGCAAGGCGAGTAGGAGAAAGAGTGTTGATCGGACCAGGGAAGGGTGCACCCTTGAAAGGCGAATCTGGAGAAATATCAAAGGGTGGGGTCTTCACATGTAGCGCCTGCATGCTGGTGGGAGGGCCGGTCTGCGAAGGCCCCCAGTTGTATGAGTTAGTTGCACTGAGATAGATGCGGTAGCCGGTCGCGGTTGTTGCAACCAGGTGATACCGCGATGCCTCCGTCACCGGCACAGGGCTGATCGAAACAATTCGGACTTTGGGATTGAGCGTTTCGTTGGAGGTGATGATGTGACCAATGTTGGAGTAAATATCCTGAGTGCGTTTGGTGATTGCAAGGGACAAGGAGCCATCAGATCCCATGTAGAAGACGCGAATTGTAGACGTGGAGGAAAGCGTGTAGAGAAGGCTTCGGCTGTCGTCAACTACCATCTGTGTGACAAACTCGGATGAGGCTTGCGCAAGGTTCGTGATGCTCATCGATGGCCTGAAAGCTGACAGACGTGAGCTTGTGTGGTTGACTCTGCTGCAGCGGCCCTGGAACCACCGTTCCTCTTGCTGATAGGTGACCTCATGCACATCATTATCAGATGACCCTCCAAAGAAAATACGACCCCTCGATTCGGAAGCTGCGAACACATTGATATCCAGACCTCGGACCGAGACGCTCATGCCAGTTTGAAACAGGGAGACACTTCTGCTGCCGCTCGGCGTAGTCTCGTAGCCCATACCCAGCAAGATTACATCCGCGGTCGTTGAGACCACAAGCAAATGAGTAATTGCCGGCAGGAAAACTCCCGGACGCGGCTTGGTCAGTCTGACAGCATTGATGCTATTCGGTTGGTCTTCGAATCCCACCAATGTCGGGTTTGGGTGTGTGAAATCCCAGATGTACAATGCGTTGTCAATAGCCACCCACGCGTGATTTAACTCGGCAAACAAACCCATGCTGGTCGAAACTTGTGCGCGGTTATATTGGTCGAAAATCTGATCGGGGATGTCGTACATCTTGACTTTTTGAAACGGCGCCCATGATGAAGCAGCGGGAATGTTGTACTCGGATGAAGAGCCCTCTGTCTTTGGTCAGTTCTGTAAGAGCCTGCGGTTCTGTGAATCTTACGCGATAGATAGCTGTCCAGATCTGGGTAGCGCGACTCGCTTTGCAGGCTGTTATTAATTGTTCGCGCCCCGCGCTCCTCGGTGCTCAAGGTCTGATTTTTGGTCTGCGACGCTGCCGGGGGGAGCTTCGGCATGGGAGTCTGAGGGGTCTGTGTTTGCGGCGATTTGGCCTGGAGGGTCTGAGGCACTGGCGCCGGAGTCTGGAAGTACGTCCCAGGAAGGGGTTTCTGCGGCGTCGCCGGAGGAAGATTTGTTGGAAGAGACGGGTACGCCATGACGGATGAACAAAAGCGAGGGAGAATTCCCCGCTAGAAACGACAGAGAAGCTGCAGTATGTGTCGAATGGTGAATCACAAGGAGAAACAAGAGGTAGAGAGGAGACGATGAGGAAGGGGAGGAGGGATTGGATCATTCAAGGTCTTTGCGAAAAGAGAGTCAACACTGGGAGCGGTGCACAGACCACTTTGGGATCTTCCGCCTTTTGTCAATTGACCGTCGACTAACTACATTCACTCCCTCTTGTCAACAATGTTTCAATCACTTCGAGTTTCTGCGCGTGTTCCCGCTCGTCTGGTACGATGGAATTCGACTGCCACTCCAGTTCTACCGCCATTGATGGCTACTTTGCGGACTGATCTGAAAAATGCCATGAGAGCGAAAGACACCACCAGGTAGGAATTTCTCCACAACTGGTCGAACCTGAAGCTTATGAATAGACTTAATGTGCTTCGCGCTTTGATTTCCGAGACCAACAATGCCGCCAAAACCTCTTCTCCTATTCAGACCGACATTCAACTATTGTCGCTCATTCGGAAACGCTTGAATGCGACCAAGGATGCGGCCAAGGAGTTTGAGGCTGCTGAGCGCCCTGATCTGAAGGAGAAGGAGGATGCACAAGCTGTTGTATTAGAGGAATACGCTGGCCAGGTCAAGACCATGCCCATTGCTGAGATCACCGAGGTGGTCGTCAATGAGATCAACGCATTGAGTAACGCCGGCAGCAAGCCCAACCAGGGAGCCATCCTCAAGGCTCTGTTTGCCAAGGGAGGTCCCTTGGATGGCAAGCCAGTCGACCGCCGAGAGGTGGCTGACGAAGTGAAGAAGACACTCTCTTGAGCTTACATCTACGTTTACCATTGTATATTAGTGTCACAATAGCCTAACAGGCAATCAATTCAATACGAAAAGATACGAAAAGCCATGCCAACGCCAATCAAAACGCCAGTATAACAGATCACGAGTAGAAAACGGCCGCACCTCCAAGAGAGGTCATCAGGACACCCAACCACCACCAACGCTTTGGGTTAATCAGCTCTTCCCGGCTGATCAGGTGGAATCCAGATTTGGACGACAAGTCACGTTTGCCTTTGGAGCCAGTTGGCGTGGGGTTCAATGTTGTCGTGGGAAGCATCTTCGGTGGCCGGTATGCAAGGAACATGGGGTGAAGAAGCGAACCATCAGGTCGTTTCAAGTCGAGGCGTTGGATATGGTGGTACTTGTCGACTCCGGTGGAGAATGACTGTTCGGTGTTAGAACGAACTGATCAAGAAAAGGAAGAGATGTACCTTGAAGTGCTCGGTGGCGTTGTATCGCGTGTATAGACCAACCGGTTGCCGACAGGGATCGGACAACAGTTGGCGACCATCGACGGCAATTGGGTTCAGGGTTAAAGAACCATCAGCAGATATTTCGAAGGAGCCATGTTGCCATTGCATGATTCCTGTAGGACATGACGGATCGCTGGCTGTTTTGCGTCAGTACTGTCGAGTGATCTATATCGAAGAACTGACGATTTGAGATTGCGCGGTAGTATGCTTCCTCATAATGACCTTGGTCATCAAACGAGTATGAAATGCCAGTCAAATTCGGTTCAAGCAACTTGTCCTTGAGCGGATCGTAGAATCCCTGCGCGTGTTAGTGCCATTCGTTGTGACTGTATACAACACATACTGGACCAGTAATAACTTCTTGAGATTTGGTAGTCCATGTTCCAACCAAATCACTTGCAGTAGCTGCACAGGCAGCTGTTGCCAACAGACTCCAAATCAAAAACATCTTGGTTGACAAAGGGAAGTTGCCAGAAGGCAAAGTATTTGAGGGCGCCCTAGATGCCCTTGATGGGTGGAGACTACATACCTTATCACTATCAGGAATGGACTCCCCCTCAACAACCTCATGGCCCTTCAATCCGCAAAGCGCGAACTGCGCAAAAGTATGCGATCGACTCTCTCGCGTCTGTCTGCTGCTTCCATCAATCAACAATGTCAGATTCATATTTAGCTATGATGTGCTCCTACTAACCTGTCGCAGCTCGAGCCGCCACGACCAAATTCCTCTCGCTGGCCGAGTACCAGAACGCGAACAGTATTGCTGTCTACTTGTCGATGCCCACTGGAGAGCTGTCTACTACAGGAATTGTACGAGATGCTCTCCAGAGTGGCAAAAAGGTCTACATCCCGTATATTCATACCCAAGACAAGACATCCATCATGGACATGTTCGCGCTCGGATCCATGGCCGAATTTGAGTCATTACAACCGGACAGATGGGGGATTCCGTCGCTCCAATCTACACAAATTGAAGGTCGCCAGAATGCTTTGACACAAGGATTGGATCTCATTGTGATGCCGGGCATGGCCTTTGACCGCGGGTTCCGGCGACTTGGTCATGGTAAAGGATATTATGATCATTTTCTAACGCGATACTTAAATATGGCCAGAAAAATGCCATTCCTTGGTAAGAAGTCCCAGAAACAATCCCTTTATCCCCGACTGAACTCCATGGCAGTTGCCCTTTCTCTGCGAGATCAATTACTCTCCGAGGATATTCCCGTGGTGGAGCATGACTGGCTGGTAGATGCGATCGTGGTTGGTGACGGTGAATATTTGGATCGCAGAGTGTAGCGCATATCAAAATAGAAAAGAAAGTGCGAAAATTCAAACGGCTTGGATGAGCGAGACATTGTCGCCCTTGAGGAGGATCTGGCCTATTGCGGAGTTAGCTGTATTCTGTTGCTGGACTCGATCATCCCGTACCTAAGGGCCTGCGCTTCTCCTCCTCTGTCTTGGTGGCAAGGCGCACCTCCACGGCATCGTCAATGACCAGGTTCATGAACTCATCAAAGCCCTAGTAGCAGTTAGCACAAGAAATGAACCGCGTCGTGAAAGTGCATACCCGAATCTTCCCCTCTATCCGGAATGCCAGCTGCTCATACAGCCAGATAGAGACAGTACTGCGCTTCTGCAGCAGACTGAAAATGAAGTGAATGGGAGCCAACAACGTCTTACGGCCAGCCATGGTGAATGTGTTGAGTGAATGGTAGCTCGGGAGACCAAACGGTGTTGAGAAAGCTCTGCGTCCCGTGATTTAATTACAGTAATACCAATACACGTCACGGACACCATCCCACCTTCTCCTCCAAGTCACATCACCCCCTCTCCTCACTCTTCTCCCCATTGCTGAGCCTTGATTTACATTGATTTCAATATGGCCAGCAAGGAAGCCGGGCAGGCATTCGCCCCGGTCCTGGCGGCCGTCGCGACAATGCAAGGGAATGTGCCCAGGTCTGAGAAGACTCAGGCCCATGAATTCCTAGAGAAGTTCCAGAAATCGGTATGTCAATCCGCTGATAGAGAGGTATTATTCGCTGACTCTGGTGATAGATTGAGGCATGGACAACAACCCACGCTTTATTACAGTCCCCCGATGTGCCGGTCGAGGCCAAACTGTTCGCCGCGACTACACTGAAAGGAAAGGTATGTTTACCGCGATGGCGGGTGCTAGCTCTCGTTAACATTGCGCAGATCATCTTCGATCTCGATCAACTTCCCCCCGATGCGGTTGTGGCGCTCCGAGACTCCGTTCTGAATCTGTTGGTGGCATTTGCATCGGGCCCGCGGCCCATCCAGACTCAGCTATGCGTGTGCTTGGCCAGTTTGGCGATCCAGATGGTTGCGTGGAAGGATGTTCTGGCGCTCGTAGGGTCAGCCTTGGGAAGCAGCGCAGGAGACTGCGTGCTGGAGTTCCTGAAAATCTTGCCCGAGGAAGTCACCGAGGGTCGCAAGATTAACCTCAGCGTATGTGTCTGAGTGTTGTCTACAGGTATTAAGCTGACACGTACAATAGGAGGACGAATTGCTCGTGAGAACCAAGGAGCTATTGGAAGACAATGCGGAGCAGGTCATGCAGCTGATGATTCAATACTCTCAATCATCGCGTGAGTATTCAGATCCTCGCATACAGGTGGAGGATTCTAACTAACTTATACAGCTACCGCTGCAACCAACCCTCGTCTTCTCGACTGCATCACTTCGTGGCTGCGTGAAATCCCCGCTGCCAAGGTCGTTGAATCACCCCTCATGGACGTGATCATCAAGGCCCTCGACAACGACGTGTCTTTCGACGCAGGTGTCGACTGTGTTTGCACGCTTTACCGAGACACCAAGGATGTCGACGAGTCACTTCCCGTCATTCAAGCGCTCTACCCGCGACTGATGGCTCTTCGCCCCAAGATTGCCGAAACCGCCGAGGCCGAGGATTTGGAGGCATTCAAGGGTGTCACAAGAATGTTTGCAGAGGCTGGAGAAGCTTGGGTTGTGCTTATTGCGCGTCTGCCGGGTGAATTCCGGGGTCTCGTGGAGGCACTCCTCGAGTGCTGTGCTCGGGACTGGGAGCGTGATGCGATCTCTCTGACCTTCATGTTCTGGTACGAACTCAAGCAATACATCACCCTGGAGCGCTATGGTGAGGCCCGTGTCAACTTCCAAGACATCTTCTCCCAGCTGGTGGATATTATGGTCAAGCACCTGGAGTATCCCAGCCCGGAGGAAGGCGAAACCGACTTGTTTGGTGGAGACCGCGAGCAGGAAGAAAAGTTCCGTCAGTTCCGTCATGCCATGGGTGATGTTCTCAAGGACTGCTGTGCCGTGATTGGCGTGACCAACTGTCTCGGCAAAATCTACCAGCTGATCCAGCAGTGGGTAGGCCAGTATGCTTCGCAGGCCAGCAATGACCATGTTCCTCACTGGCAGGAATTGGAGGCTCCTCTTTTCGGTCTCCGTGCAATGGGCCGGATGGTCGACCCCGAGGAAAGCACTGTCCTTGGACAGTTGATCCCTCTGATTGTCCAGATCCCAGACCAGGAGAAGGTCCGATTCCAGGCGATTATGGCGCTGGCGCGTTACACGGAGTGGACCGCTCTCCACCCCGAGACCCTCGAGGCCCAGCTCAACTATGTGATTTCCGGATTCCACCACAGCTCTCAAGAGGTCGTGCAGGCCTCTGCTCTTGCCTTCAAGTTCCTGGGTACAGACTGCCAGAAGCTGCTTGGTGGTCATATCGCTCAGCTGCACTCCTTCTTTGAGTCAGTTCTCGACAAACTGAAGCCTGCCAGTCAGGAGGAAGTGACTGAGGGTGTCGCCGCCGTGGTTTCCGTTCAGCCCCACGAGAAGATCTACGAGTCATACAAGATGTTCTGCGATCCGATCATGGCCCGAATCATGAACCTCGCCAACAATGCGCAGGATGAAGAAGGCCAGCGAGCTGTAGCCGACCACTTACAGCTGATCACCATCTTTGTACAGGTGGTGACTCCCATTGTTGCACCAGGGGAAGAAAATCCCGCCGTCAAATACTGTGGTGAGGTTCTCCCTATTATGACCACGATTGTCATGAACTTTACGTCTTCCACACCTATTCTTGAACGAGTGTGCCGCTGCTGGCGCTACATGATTATTTCTTACCGCACCGGCATGATCTCTCTTCTGCCTACCTTGGCCGAGAGTATCGCGAACGGCTTCCAGGCGTCGCGCGAGGGTTGCTTCTTGTGGGCCACGGACGCAGTGGTGCGTGAGTACTCGGATGGCGCCGAGTATGTCGACCAGGCTACCAGTGATGCCGTCTTCCAGTTCTATGAGCAGCAGGCCATTGCTTTCCTGCGTATTTTGAACGACCTCCCTCCCGAGAACCTGCCCGATGTGATTGAGGACTTCTTCCGTCTTTCATCTGATGCCGTCCGATACTACCCTAAGAAGTGCATCAGCTCGTCTCTGGCTGTCCCCATCTTCTCTGCTGCTCTCAGCGCCCTCACGCTTCAACAGGTCGACCCTCTCATCGCCACGCTTCACTATTACCGGGATCTTTTCAGCTTCGCATTTGACAAGCCGATGGTCTCGGAATTCACCACCCCCGAAGGCCAGCCTTACTCCACCCCACCCGAGGTTCGCGAGGCTGTGAAGGCATTGATTGCCTCGCAGGGTCAGCCCTTGGCGCAGCGTGTTTTGACTGGCATGATGTTCACCTTCCCGGGTGACTGCTTCCCTGATGCCTCCGGTGTGATTATGACGATGTTCGAGCTGCTTCCCCAGGAAAGCGGCGCTTGGCTACAAAGTACGCTGCAGATGTTGCCTGCTGGTTCTATGAAGCAGGGCGAGGCCGAACGACTCCTCAAGAACGTCTCCGACAAAGTACAGTCGGGAGAGACCCGCAAGATCCGTGCTCTCCTTCAAGGTATGTTGACAAGCTGCTACTATCAATAACCAAAGCTAACCATTGCCAGACTTCACCAACTCGTACCGCCGCCGCAATGTGGCTCCACGCGATGGACTCGGCCGTCTGGAGGCCACCCGGTTCCGATTCAGCGGCTGAAATACTCACTGTCCTTTTCTTACCAGTGCTCCATAGCACTCAAAAAGAACACACGGGAGCATTTGCACATTAAGGTGTTGGTCCTTTGTTATTGACGCACCATGTGGCACGCGAGGGCATGAACCCGGTCTCGAAATGATTTATGATCTGCCGGTGCGTCGGCTTAGCCAGGACTTTCTGGCATCGTCAGTTACTACCATTTAGGTTGAATTTCTCGACCTAGTGTAGACAGCATTCATAGATAGTCAGAACTCTTGTCTACATGCATGTGTAGAGATGCGATTTCGCAGTCTCCGCGTGCGGGTATTTGATCATGAGCAATGAATCTATTGATTATCATTACTGTGAACTATATATCTATGTAGCGTATATCCATCTATATGTACAGATCCCTGATTCAAGCCCAGGGGCATATCTACGACCGGAGATTATGTTTTGAAGAGAATCTCAACGTGGAAAAGAAAAATCTAAGTTCTAATCAGTCTTCCTAGTAAAGTAGACAATGTGTCGCTGAATTGCAGTGAGAGGTAGGAGGTAATGCATAAGCCCATATATCAACCAAAGCGCCTTACAAAAAGCATCCGCTTCAAGTAGAATTTTCCAGTCATCGGTATGTTGTCTTCTCTAATGGCACCTAGAGTCAGCCAAGTCTCTCACAAATCCTTCAGTGCATAATAGGACATACTACATTGGGGCTGCCATCCTTCCTCATGCAACAGCTCTGTATGCGGGGAGCTTTCGATTGTATACAAAGGCAGGGCCGCGGTCGAGCGAGCTATCAAAAAATATTAGTAAATACATTCTCATAACCCTAAGAAATTTTCTCACCTGGTTCTGTGCTGGGTTCTCCTTTAGATATATATTTCCAGATGGTGTAAAACAGTTGAGCGACGGCGACAAACAAAGCAATAATTGCGACGATAGCTTCGGTGGACAGGGACATTTGAAAGCAGGTAAATATATCCAAACAAGCTTGTTAGAAGAAGCAATATACATTTCCTTGAATTGGTTGGGAAATTGATCTGATTGCGCTGCTCTGATTTGTACCTGACAGCATTTTGTGCCACTGGCGGTCCACTCACGCCCGAAGCAACGTAGTTCCAGCAGACCCCAGTAGAAGTTCAGAAGCGCTATTGGCACATTAATTGTTTCTTACCTATCTGAAACGGAATCAGATTTCATGCATTTAAGCGGTAAGTTAATCTCCACCCACGACGAGTATTGTTTACCACTTGGCTAATTTAGACTAAGTCCTGTTTTGACCGTAGTTCCTAGGGATTGATTAGCAAATTGGTAGCCTATCTGGGCATGACTATGGCTTCGGTATGGAGTATAGTGTGCGCTACCGGTGGATGTTCTAGCTTGGGAAGCTATCTGCTTCTAAGGCTTCTAGGAACTTGATTCGCGCTAGTTGCTCACTTTCCGTTACCTTGTCGCCCGGTGAGGTCTGCTCCGCTATAGGGCTAGCCGAGTTATGATGCAGTCTTGAGTGCCGGTCACGCCCTGTCATTGTCCTCTAGTATACGTAACAGTCAGGTGATGTTCAAGGAGCAGTTCTTATATGTTTAGGGGCTTCTAGCGCTCCCTAGTCAACAATTGGCAAGAGTAGGGGAAAGGAGAGGGTTGAAGTGCTAGACATTATCCGTTTTGTGTACGAAGTACAGACTATATATGTATATACTTCACACACTTGTGAATACACAAACCATCTCTTATTTTTTTTAGTTCTAACCAAACAGACTAGATCTATAGATTGTGTATCTAATTGGCGGGATTATATATGTATATATATTAAGGCGGAAAAAAGAGAACCCATTCCCATGAACTGGGATTGGATAAGCCCACTCTCGGGATTGAACCAAGGACCTCAGCATAGTCTTGAGAGAGCAGAATAATCTGGTGTACAAGTGCTGCGCGACTACCACTGCGCCAAGCGGGCATTGATGAAGATATTTGTTCAGAATTATGCGCCAGAAGAAGACGGTTAGAAACTGGAAATTCCTACGAAACCTTAAAAGGCCAATTGATTTAGGAAACATTGCCAAGACTGATCTCCAAGTTGATCAGGACAAAAGGGAAAAAAAGGCCATCAAATAGTCTTTTCGAGGTTATGTAGTACGTATATAAAAATTTTTGGAACAAAAAAAGAGGCTCAGCCGAGAGTTGAACTCGGGATCTCCGCATTACAAGTGCGATGCGTTAACCACTGCGCCACTAAGCCAGCTCTTGATTGCATATTATGGTTCAGCTTCATAACATGCAACTGGTATACTGCTGGTTAGGGTAAACCAACTATCACTGGCTAAACCTCACTATAGATGACGATTGTGAATGCGCCGTGAAATAAAAATGTACAAGCATTAGGTATTGGACCTTATTTATCTCAGACATGCTGTATATAGACGACTAAAATTGCCGTTTAGCAATTTCTCACCTCCGCCACAGCCCCACCGACATCTCCGCACTTCCCCCGGACGCCTTTTGACTGCCGAGTTTGATCTCTTCTCCCTCCCACGTGGATCGGCATCCCGAGGATTTCCTCCCTCATGGCATGAGAATGGAGACTGACGATCATCCTTCCAAGCGTCGCCGACGCAGCCGCAAAGTCCTCTCCGATCGCAAGTTCGAATGCACCTTCGAAGGCTGCGGGAAGAGCTATTCGCGCGCCGAACATCTGAGTCGCCATGCGCTCAATCACACCCCGAAACAAATCTACCGCTGCGACTTTCCAAACTGCTACCGGTCCTTCGTGCGACAGGACCTCTGCATTCGCCATCGCGAACGTCACACCACCAGTGGCTCCCAGCTGCAGAAGCGCGATCACTACACCGATAATGACGCTACCAAAACCTCGCCTGATTCCTCGCCTGCGATCACGGCCCCGGACTACTTCATTAGCTCCGAGACGCCCAAGCCACCTGCGACCACCTTTCCGATTACCACTGGAATCGAGACGACTGAAATACCCGTCTCGCAGTACTCTGATTTCCCCACTGTGCTGGATCAGCCGGATAACCTCATCGACCTCGATTCCATGTCCTACCCCATCTTCGGGGGCGAAACTTATAACAGATCGCCATTTGCCATGGCAGATGACTTTGCGGCTTGGTTGTTCAGCGAGCCACTCGCGCCGCTGGGGTATGGGATGGTGCCGATGGTCCAGAATCAGTTCTACATGAACGAGCCCTCGTACAATAACTTTTGTACGGTGATCCCGCAACATCCCATGAGTGTAACTAGCATTCTAGACTCGGGGGCACCGCCTTCGATTATTTCAGAAGAGAAACGACAGGAATTACTGCACTTAATGTCAACGCGGTTCAACGAGGCGGCGTATGCAGCCGGTGCTAAGCGGAAGGATGCGTTGATGGAGGGGGATTTGAATAATGACCGACATGTCCTCAGTCTGCGCATGATGCAGACGTATATTGGTTCTTATTGGTACCATTTTCATGCACAGTTGCCGATCTTGCATCAGCCCACTTTTGCTGCAGATCGGACGCCGGCGCTTTTACTCTTAGCAATTATGGCCATTGGGGCCGCAACACTGGATAAAATCCACGGAGAGGCTGCTACTGAAACGGCTGCTGAGCTGGCCAGCTTTATTGCGTGGCATTTACGTTGGGAGATCTTCATGGACGCGGATTTCCGGCCACCTGCTAGACTGTGGGTATTTCAGTCGCTTTTACTACTGGAGGTCTATGAGAAGCTCTTTTCAACACGTGCGCTGCATGAGCGCGCTCATATCCACCACGATACGACACTCACTCTTATGCGCCGAGGTAGTTCGTTGATCGGCAGTTCTTCTTTCGATACGCCAGACACCAAGGAAGAAGACGAGTCATGGTCAACTTGGATCAAGGCTGAGGCGACCCGCCGTGTGGCTTTTGCCGCTTTTGTGCTTGATTCTACACATGCAACTATGTTTGGACACTCGGCCAAAATGGTTGCTCACGAATTACGACTCCCATTGCCCTGCGACGAGGCGCTGTGGGCGGCAACCAGTGCAGCCGAGGTGGCTCGGGTCCAGTCCAGCCTGCAGTCACACGGTGTACGGCCGATCATGTTTTTGGACGGCCTGAAACGCACGCTCAACGGACAACCAGTCCGAACGAACGCGTTCGGACGGATTATCCTCATGGCAGGTCTGCTGAGTGTCTGCTGGCATCTGAACCAGCGAGATCTGCAGATCAGCTCGCTAGGCGTAGGACAGACGCTTGGCGGACGCGATAAATGGCGCTCATCGCTACTACGAGCATTCGATAACTGGCGACGCGACGTCGACGAAGCTCTAGGTCCATCGACGACCTCCGAGTCGCGCGACGTGCTACACGGCTTGGCCCACATGGCCTCCCACGTCGACATAGTCGATCTGCAAATTTTCGCAGGCGCAGGCCGACTAATGGGTCGCTCAATCACAGCACGCGATTACCACAGCGCAAAGGAGAAAACTAATCGATGGGCGACCAAAGCCTCAGCCCGCGATGCCACCTTTTATGCGCTCAAATTCCTTTCTACCTGTTTCCTTGACCCGGCCACCCAGCCGGGTGAATACGCCGCCCGCGACGATTACCTCCTCAATCGACCGTGGGTGATGTATTTCGCTGCATTGGTGGTCTGGACGTACGGGTACGCGTTGGACGGACCCCTGCGTCCAGCACCAGTGCTCGCCACACAGGCCGACAGACAACAAGACATGCAGCTATTCCTGCATCGCATGAGCCAGATCAGGGAACCCAACGAGTTAGAGGGACTGACAGGTCGTAACGGGTGTCTTGGTCTGCTAATGATCCTCCGAGACTCATTCGCCAAACCGCGGTGGGAGTTACTAGGGGAAGCGGCGCGGCTGCTGGACAGCTGTATCGCAAAGCTACAGTCGTAGCAGTATGTATGATGTACCTTTGATATCCAGATAATAGTATATTCTTCGATATAAACCAGTTCACTCCCGCAAGATGACGCTATTGTATACATAGAGTAGTCTAACACCGTTGCCCTAACAACCGCCGATCCCCCTACCAATGTCTCCCCCCAACATCTGTCCACAATCCACAATCCGCAATCCGCATATTTTGTCCAGATCAAAGCCCCTACAGTCGAATAGCAAAAGCATCAAATATGGTGAGTCAATGTTGTCCCCTTCCCTGATGTAATCTCTGTTCCCGATCTCGGTCCCCGGAACCCCTTCCCCTCCATCTCGATCCCTTTCGACGCCCTTGCAATTCACCACACTTTCGCTCTTTCACTCTTTCGTGGTTCCTTCATCATGGCTAACAAACACGAGGCCTCTACCAACTACAAGGAAGCGTTTTCGCTCTTCGACCGCCGTGGCACTGGCCGTGTCGCTGGCGACCTCCTCGGCGATTTGCTGCGCGCTTGCGGGCAGAACCCGACTCTGGCTGAGATTAGCGATTTGGAGAAGTCTGTTGGTGGTGACTGTATGTGAATTCCTGGCATTCTTCCATTGATCGATGGTCGATGATGCGCGCCTTGTCTTGCCCGGCCCCGTCCCGCTCTGGTTGCTGGTTGGGTTGGAGTGTTTGGTTGGATTCTGACTAACATTGTTCTTGAACAGTTGACTTCGATTCCTTCCTGAAGGTCCTTAACCGTCCTGGTGGTTTCCGTGAGCCCGGTGAACCGGAGGAATATTGTCGTGGATTCCAGGTTTTCGATAAGGATATGACTGGCTTTATTGGTGTTGGACAGTTGCGCTACAGTATGTTTCTCTGTACCCTCTGCGCATTGTGGATTGGATGCTAACTGCGACACAGTCCTCACGAATCTTGGCGAGAAGATGTCCGATGATGAGGTCGATGAGCTGCTCAAGGCTGTTGATACTAGCTCTGGCGAGATTAACTACACTGGTATGTTGGACAGAATGTAGTATCTCGTGTCTATGGGCAGTGAACTAACCAGTACAGATCTCGTTCGCACTATCCTCGCCAACTGATACCCTGATATGATTGACTTAACGTTTATGGATATGGCTATGGCTATGGCTTGAGGGATTGATTTGGCGTGTTGGAATACTTCGTCTTGTATGTTTTTTATCAAATTATCTCTTCTGTATTATTGTCTCAAGAGGAGGGTATCATTCCACCTATATGTAACCTTGCACTTCTTCCACTTCTTTTCTTCAATATCTGAACTAAACAATCCATTCCCTCCATTCTCCCTCTCCAACCCCCTCACCTCCCATCCCTTCAGTCCCTACCAAAGACCCAGGAAGAAGATAAACAGCCCGCGGCCTCTCCCCTTCTTCCTGTCCACCAGTGACAGCAGTAGCATAATGCACCTCATCCAAATAATACCCCACGACAACCCGACACCGTCCACACCTCAACAAAACCCTCTTCTCAATCCCATCTTCACGTCTAATAAGCGTCGCACGCCGATCTGGAATCGTAGTTGCGAGAAGGAGGGTCGTATGGTTGGAGGACTGTCTAGTTTTGCCCGTTTGAGCTTGACCTTGAGTCGAATTGGAATTGGAATTGGAAGTGGATTGCGTTTCGGCTTCCAGCTCGGCTTCTAGTTCGCTTTCGTTGGTGCGCTGTAGTGGGAGGATCAGGGCGTTGTCTTTGCCTTCGCCGCTGCGTCGCGGGAGGGTTGGTATGTCGCGTGTTGTTGCTAGTAGGAGGTGGTTGCAGAAGCGGCAGTGTTGGGTGTGGATTTGGTGGCGTTGGGTTGTTGGTTCGGCCATTTTGGGATTGTTTTATGTCTTTCGATGTCGAGTGCTTGTTTGTCACTGCGATTCACGATTGCTGTCTTGTTGCGGCATGTAGGTGCAGGCGCTGTGGTGTTGGTTAGTGGATTGGTCTTCCGCGGGACCTGCCTGGATGGCATGACTTTTGCTAAGGGAGGCGACTGTTACTCACGAGATATAAGCCGTAAAAGTAAATTTATTCTCTCGGCGAAAGAAAGGTGTGAGATCTGAAATACAAGTCGCAAAAGAGCTGAGTTGCAGAATTGCAGAGGCGGTGGGCTTATCTGTTATCGCCTAGATCTATATCATACGGAGTAAGTTAAGTCGAGGTGACGGCGAAAAGTTCACGATTGTCCGTGGCTTTTGTTTGTAAAACCGTGGTGTTTCCGCCCAGGGTTCACCGGTTTAACATGGCGTCGCCCAATTCCCGAATGAGGTCTAGTCAGTAACAGAAAGCGATGTATCGCAAATTTAGAACACTGTACGAAGATATAAGAGGAAGCCCTATTCTTCTCCGATACTTACATTTTCAATCGCCCGTCTAGAAAATTTTTCGCCACTATGCTGCTAAAGGGAAACCGAAAGACGGGGATTAAAGTCGACTGGAATGATTTCATTAATCAACTAGATGCCGAAGTAAGAAGTTGTCTTACTAAATCAACAAAGTAGTGTGTTAAGCATGTTCAGCTCAATTTTGAAAGGTTCTTTACATATATTATTGCTATTTTTATTTTTTAGCTAGCACTAACTCCTAGTCCTAGGTTTACGGAGCAACTCAATCTACCAGACTACAGATACTGGCTTGAAAACATCACGCTGAGAGTAGTTAAGGGATTTCTTCGCTGATACCTTGATTCGTACAAGGTCACCTACTATCGGGCTTTCTTGTTTTCGCTCGATTTTTCACAATTTATTGGTGTAAAGAAATAGGTCGCCAATTCCCTTTGAGTTGGGAAGGAGGATGTCCATGGTATGATTCCTAAACAAGAATCAGGTCTCTCGCTAATTAATCGATAGTTAGTGCGTACCTCACTTACCGATAAGTACGATCTTAATATAGGTGGTAAGACGCAGCTGTCAGTTAACATTGATAACCTATTGTTTACGGCATATTAGCTCCTAGCGCTGCGCGATATAGCGTTTCCCACCTTTCGGATATTATGTCAACTAAATATCGTAAGGAAAATGATGACCTCTACATCGGTAAGACCTAGAATACTTATCGAGTCATCCGGTTACATAAGGGGCAACGACGCCCTTAAATAGAAACACATCAAGTTATACAGAAAAAACACTAAAAATCCTAAGTGCCGGGTGCTTCTTATAAGAGTGAAACACTGACTTAGTCAAGGCAAGAGGAATAAAGGAGTACCGTAAGAGGAAACATTTCACCTATTTTACAATTTATGCTAATCCAAAACAGACCTACTTTCGTATACACTATATCGCGATGCACAGGAAAGTCGGTGACGGCTGCCAGCTCACGGATTATGCACAACATGTCCCAACTTTTAGTGTCTTCCCGTGACAGCCTCAATATCTTCACGAAGCTCGCTGGCGACCAAGGGTCTTCTAGGGAACGCAGCTATAGCCTTATTCGGTGGTGCTGGGACATTGAGTTGTTCCACTCTTCTCGACCCCTCTCGTATAGGGAGAAATGCGTTCTGGCGACAGAGACTCGGCAGCCGAGTCAAATGCACGACCCTCTGGCACATCGCTGGGAATCTCCTTCGCACAAAGGTCCTCAACACCGCCTCTATCAACGCCACGCTCGTCCAATCCCGCCGTCGCTGAACTTGGGAACTGGCTGCAACGGTTGCTGCACATCCCAACAAGGAGACCGCTATATTGGCGACCGGGAAATCGGTACGTAGATAGTTCCAACCAAGAATATAGCTCGCCAGAATACAGCGCATTGTCGTACACCTGGGGCCGCTTTGAACTCCAGAAGGATGATAGATTTCCGGATGTCAACGCCGTCGAGATCCACGACGTTGGATGGACAATACCTCGCATTCACCCTGATCATTTTACTGTCGATAACTTGCTGGAAGTTATCGACAGTATTCAGGCACTTGGGTCGGAATTCCTATGGCTTGACGTCGCTTGTATTGACCAACGCAAAGGCAGAGGGCGCGAGGAAATCGGTCGACAAGCTCCAATATACCAAAGGGCCAGCAAAACTTATACTTGGCGATACTGTAATGGGCACATCAGAAGGAAAATCGTACAACCTCCACCGGCTCGAGGATCAGTTTGGAAGCTTTCTCCTCAAGGAATATCCCGTGGAGAGCCAGATGCACATCTTTAGATCAGAACAGGATTTTGGAAAAGGATGGCATATGAATCGGCAATCGAGAATACCGAATGTCCGCCACCCCTACCACTCCCATGGCCACCCATTTAGAGCCATCTTTCCTCAACTAAAACTACAGGAGCCGTTGTGCAAACTGGAGGCCCGCCGCCTACGAGAGTCCCAGATTATGGGTTACTTTTCTGGGCAACTTTGCTCCGCTCATGACTTGTTGGAAGCAATTCACAACGATGAGACTGTTGAAATATTCGCCGCGCTTGACTGCCACAAATATCCCCGCTACGTTAGCTCCGACTTGATTCAACTCCTCAAACTCATAAAATGCCGCCACTGGTGGCGCACTCAGATATGCAAATACGAAACCTCCCGCCGCTTCGACCAGAACCAACTTGAGCGAGACTTAGCAAAAATTCGAAACTATGGTATTAAGGTTCTTCGGCTTGGGAGGCTTAAGCTTGGAGAACACGAGTTTGACCGTTCCGAAAGGCGAGTCTCCAAAAAGTTGGAAAAATATGGGCACAAGGACAAAACTCTGCTGAGTGGGTTGATACTGCATCAAGAAACGACCGGAAATTGGAGGCGTCTGGGAATTTTCCTGTGGAAACTCGGCGGGTCTGTAGAGGGATACGCTGAGGACTTGGGAGTAGAATGGATGGATGAAGAGGTATATTTCGGCTAGCTAGATGTCTTGCTGTATGTGAGTGTAGAAATACTTGGTCAATGGGATTTCGAGGTCATTCAAAGCCATGCTCTCCGTCGCCGTAATGTTCTCCGGCAGTGTCGCCTATCCCTCTCTCGAATACATGAAGAAGAGGAACCGTGACGGTCAAGTTCTAGGTCTTTTGATCAATAGCGACGACCATCTGAGTTCAGAAAAGATGCATTCGCATGCGATAATTTGCGTTTCGTTGATCCCACTCCATAGGAGCTATATGGCAGGCCGTACCTAACGGACGTATCAGTTTGCTCTTTTGTTTCCTATGTAAACGGTGGACCTGTGAATTGCCTTTTCGGGTTAGTTTCGCCGCTTCCGATTTAGCGTCCCAGTTACGCCCTCACTTATCCTCCTTTTAATGCTCCCGATATATGTAAAAGACTGGTAATAAAAGACAGAGTTCTCGATATCCCTTGATTGGCCAATACGAAGCATTTCCGAGTCTGTACTAGGTACCTAGGTACCTTACAGCTTCTCACAAGCAGTCAATCGGATAAAATGGTGTAAAATTGCCATGATCAAGGCTTGGCTTTTGGATAGTCTGTCCTACTAGATCAGTTAATTACTAATTCAATCAAAATTACAGGGATATATGTGGGCTTAATGTTGAAAGATCTTGAGCACCTAAAGGTGATAATATCTGGGCACTTGGCACTACATCCAATCCGCCAGTGATAAATCTTGTAGTTCCACGTGGCTCACCACGTTCCTGAACCATAGAGCCGAGAACTGGTTTTTTCCTATACATAGTAATGCATGTTCCTGCCGATCATGTCGAGCTGTAAGGTCATGTCGCTGTTGATCCTTCCAATTCGCTGATAATAACAGACGCCAGATTAAATGTTGGATGCCACGAAGTCATCGGCAGTGACTCCCCTCAAAATGGAAACCACCACGATTTTCTTTGTTATATATGAACCAGTCAAGCGCCTGTTGGATTATGGTCACCTAAATAACCTTATCATTCATTGACTTCTCAATTTCTTACTCTCCAGTTGACTTGTTTCTGTAGAAATGAAGCTCTCCTGGTCTCTCGTGCTGTCATCTGCAGCCACGGCCACTGCGAGCTATTCAGGCAATCTAAATTACCGCAGTCCGTCTGAGAACCATCCAGGACTGGGTGTCTCGATTCACCGAGTTGCAAAGCGTGGGGTCCCAGGATCGTCCTTTGACCCGTCCAAGTTGCACTTCACCCATGGCGTTGCTTCTGGAGATCCCTATGCAGACTCGGTAATTCTGTGGACTCGCTGCTCACCGAGTTTTGATGATGCTCATTCGAATAGCTCTACGCATGGTCTTGTTCCGTTGTACAACCCAGTCCCGATATACTCAAGGAATGAAGACGCAGAGGAGCAGGTGGCCATGTCGAATGCTCCTGTTTGCTTGGAGTACAAGGTATCTGAAGATGAGAGCTTCAAGCACATTGCATCGGAAGGTATTGCATATACGAGTTCCGACATTGACTATACTGCTAAGGTAAGCAAGCTGTTTATGGATCGGAAACTGGGAAACTCGCTCATTGAATTACCAGGTCGAAGCATCCAAGCTGAAGCCATTCACCACATATTTTTATCAGTTCCAAGTCTGCAATTCGGACAACAAGAGCCCGGTTGGAAGAACCAAGACGGCTCCTAATTCGAAGGAGGAGGTTGACCAGGTCAACTTGGCCGTTTACTCTTGCGCCAACTTCCGTATGTCTCCATGTCGACCTGTGTGTGAGTGTGTATAAACTGACAGAATATACAGCATTTGGTTTCTTCAATGCCTACGGACACTCTGTACGCAAGGATTCCGTGGACTATGTCCTCCATCTCGGGTAAGTGGCGTTTGATATTTGCATAAGAGCTCAAACTGATTGTATACAGTGATTACCTCTACGAATACAAGAATGGTGACTAGTAAGTAGAATCAAATCGAGAATGTCGACCACATCAGCTAAGCTTCGCTTTAGTGGCTGGGGTAACAGCATGGGACGCATCCCTCAACCGGACCGAACCATCTTCACTCTCTATGACTACCGCAAGCGCATTGCCACCTACAGAACCGACTTGGATCTGCTTGCCAGCCATCAGAAGTTTGCTTGGATTCCTGTCTGGGATGACCACGGTACGGCCCTACTGCATTCACGAAAGGAAGATGTGTTTGGGTTCTAATTGCAGCAGAGGTGGCCGATAACACCTACCGGGATGGCTCTTCGGAGCTTAGGAACAACGAAAAATCATTTATTCAGGACGGAGGTGTCTCCGTTGACCAGCGTAAGATGAACGCCGTCCGTGCTTACTTCGAATGGATGCCCATCAGGTGAGTCGTCTGTGAATAGTGTTAAGTTGCTCGTATTAATCGAGTTTAGACAAGTCGAGATGGACGATAACCTTCGCATCTGGAGAAACTTCAAGCTTGGAAAATTGGTGGACCTGATCATGCTGGACACCAGACAATACGACCGCTCCATTACGGATACCTACGATAACACTAATTATATCAACGAGATCAAAGATGACGCCGGTCGTAGTTTGATGGGAAGCCGTCAGGAGGCCTGGTTGCAGCGTAACCTGATTGAGTCAGCCAACCGTGGTGCTCACTGGCGCATCCTCGGCAGTCAAATCGGTATGCTTTTCTTTATTTAAACGCTTGGAATGTTATCTTATTCTAACGGGATCATTGCAGTATTCTCTCACTTGAACATGACAGTCCAGAATGGGCCCGAACAACCACTGAACCTGGATGCTTGGGATGGCTATATGGCGAGTAAGAACAGGACCTTGCAGACTCTCTACGAGAACAACATTGACAACAACATTGTGATCGCGGGAGATACCCACGTCAACTGGGTCAGCGATCTGACCTGGCTCGACCACAGCCCATACGACTCCAGCAGCGGGGCCGGCGCCATCGGTGTGGAATTCGGCGGAGCGGCCGTCAGCTCTCCCTCCTCATTTGGAGAGAACACCACTGTTTCTGCGGCAAACGATATCTCCAAGCGAATTGTCACTGACACTGAGTCGTTGCATTGGTCTGAGGGATACTACCGCGGATACTTTGAACTCCATATCACCCCAGAACAAGTCAGAGCTCATTTCTTCGGCATGCCTACCACCAAGGAGCGTAATGCTGGGGAGATCTCCCTGGCTAACTTCACTGTTAAGAGCGGCGACAATCATTTGGAACGGAACTCGGACAATGTGGCCGGTGATGGAGTCGTGGCGAACGGATTCCTCAAGAATGGGGAGGTCGTGCAGACTGACATGGTCCACGATACTGAGACTGGTCGTTACTATACCAGCTAGTATGGCAATGTTGTTTGAATGGGACGGTGGAGAGGGATGATTGTAACAGCACTGACTTGATAAAATGTCCGCTAAGAGAACTAGAGTTTTTATATACCTCTAATGATTATTTTCTAGTAGCCAAGGATCACCAAGGTAAAAAAATCAATCGTTAGCCGCTCTAGAATATTTGGAAACAAAGCTTGATTTCGAAGATGATAACCTAAAGAGCAAGCAACAATATGCAAAAAGATAAAGATAGAAGTCTCGGGTATTCACATTTTCCCAATCCTAATGCTAGCCATGCATTGGCCGTACGGTGTATTGGCAAATCGCATGACAATATGCATGAAACCAGATGCAATTGTCTCTAAACCTTTCCGAAATATTCTATATCCACCAGCCACGTATGTGACAGTCAGTGGCTGTGTTCTCTGTCGGAAATGCTTCGTACCTAAACAACAAAACAAACATGGTGGGCCGCCTCTCTTTGGTTCAGGACCGGAAGATGACTAACAGTGCTGGGCTGGTGCAGAATAGTGGTGTTCCAGGTAAGTGGGCGGTCAAGGCTGGATGTACAAAGTTACGGGTGGAAAGGCTGCCGTTTCTGGCGTCAAAATTAGTTCATTTTCGGCGTCAATTCCACAGGTCCTCAGATTCTAGATGTAATAGCGTCGCTAGTTATCGAAGATATTTTAGGCACACTGTGAACCTCTCTATGTTCCTCGACCTAAGAAACATTGCCTTCCTCCGTGCCTTGGTCGCTTCCTTCAAACTGTTAATATAACAGCCGTAAAGAGTCGTCGACCTAGCTTACCTACTTGGCCATTTGCAATGTCCTTAGGCCTTATAGCCTTAAGACTAGGGCAATTCTACAACACCCGTCGAACGAACACAAGACCACTTCTAGTACTTTATTATTTAAGTGAACACGACTCGCGGATGATTGCTCGAAGGGCTAAATGTCTCTATATCCTCGCAGCCTACTGTAGCGATCTGCTTGGCGCACGGACAGAGGACGAACCAAGAGCTTCACCCTCGTCTGCTAGGACAGTAAAGCATTCATCGATCAAAGTCTTCCAGAATTCCGGCGTAGCCTGATCTCTATGTCGGCATCGGAACCAAGCTGGTCTGTCTTATCATAGCACCAATCCTCGTCAACATGGATCACGATGGGATCAGAAGCCGAGCCCAATAGAGCAACGTCATCTCCGATCACTATGGGATTGGTTTCCGTGCCTAAATCGGGGGAAACGATGTAGTCGCGTACGACCACCTTACGTTCTCCAACGATACGGAGGAGTTAAGTGCTGTTTCTGACGCAAGTAAATTGAGAGTAATTCGGGTGGCTCTCTAATATGCTAATGATATAATGTATTTGTTAATCTCTGATAGCTTCAACTGCGACCTTACGCCAGACCGAGATCCTTGTAGAAAGCATCAGTCTGAGGCTCACGACCCAGGAACTCAGTCAAGGTCTTCATCTCGTCCTGGCTACCACCCTTCTCCAGAACCTGGTAGCGGTAGCGACGGCCAGCGGCCTTATTCATGGGGTCGTCCTTGAAGACGGTGTAGAACATGTCGGTGGAGTAGACTTGGGAGCTGTAGAAGAAAATCATTAGTACGGTGTAGCTATACAGATCGCAGGTTAGAGAGCCTCACCTCAGATATCCATAGTATCCGGCATCGTAGCCACCGATCAAATGTCCGAAGGTGGCCTCGCCGTGACCCCATTCACTGCCAGCGCCTAGAGCTTCTGGTCCGTCCATCTGGGTAATCTCCTGGCGGAGACGGTTGTATGTAGCCGACAGAGGAAGAGCCTCAATGTCGGCGTGGCTCTTGGGCTCGTGGATGGTCATGTCGAAGATACCAAAGTGGAGCTGGCGCAAGTTGAACAAAGCATCGTTGACGTGCTTGGTGCGGATCAAGTTCTCGATCACATCGTCGGGGATACGCTCTGGTGGTGGGCCAGTGGCAGTCTTGCCGCCGCTGCGGGACTGCTGGGCCTCTTGCCAGCTGGCAAGGTACTCGGGGGAGAGGGTTGAGTAGTGTCGGCTGAGGGAGCGCAGTTGCGAGGGTGTCCAGCACCAGTTCTCAAGCATCTGGCTGGGTGCTTCGACGAAATCGCGCACTGTGCTGGTACCGTGGAAGCGGGAGTAGATAGTTCGGGAGACCAGGTCGTGAATACCGTGGCCCAGTTCGTGGAAGAGGGTGACCACCTCGTCGTGCTTCAGCAGACTGGGCTTCTTGGGCTGGGGCTTGGTGAAGTTGCACACCAGTGCGGTGGCGGGGAAACGGCGGTTACCGTCCTTGTCGATGAAACCAGGCTGCAGGTTGAAGTTGGCGGCGTGCCCATACTTGCCCTCGCGGGGGAACAGGTCCAGGTAGAGATATCCGACAAAACCATTGCCCTCACCCTCGTCGTTCCATACGCTGAAGACCTGCACATCCTCGTGCCAGACGATGTCATCACCCTGGCCAGTCGGGGCAAGAGATGCACGGTCCTCACCAACAATCTCAACAAACTCCAGACCGAACAGCTCCTCGAAGATCTTCAGCATGCCCTCAATAGTGGTCTGCAGGGGGAACCACTCAGCAATAAGCTGCTGATCCAGAGAGTAGTCCTTCTCTAGCATCAGACGGTCATAGAAACGGTGGTCCCACAGGTAGTAACGGCCATCCGAGTTAGGATCAGTGGCCTTCTTCAACTCGCGCAGCTTCTCGATCTCCTGCTTACCGCCAGCGGTCAAGCGGTTGCGAAGATCACCCAGGAACTTGTTGACAGTCTCGGGGGTCTTGGCCATCTTATCCTCGATGCGGAAGGCAGCGTGGTTGGGGTAGCCGAGCAGACGAGCAGCCTCGTCACGGAGCACAATGGCTTCGCGGAATAGCGGCACGTTCTGGTTGCACTTGTTCTCGTTGGCGATCATGACCTGCTTACGGGTCTCGGGGTCGCTAGCGTATTTCATGGTAGGGAAAAGGTCGGGGTACTTGAAAGACAGCCACAGCTTGCCGGCATTCTCGTTCTCGCCCTTCTTAAGACCGTCCAGCACATCATTGGGCACGCCGGACAGCTGCTCGGGGGTGAACCAGATACCGCCATTCTCCTCGTTCAGGTTCTTCTGGAATTCAATGCTCAGCTGGCTCAGACGCTTCTTGATCTCCTTGAAGCGGGCCCGCTGAGGCCCAGCCGGCAGACCAAGGCCATTGCGGACGAAATCCTTGTGTTCCTTTTCCAGCAGACGGCGGGACTCGGGGTCGAGAGACTCATTCCGGCGCAGCACAGCGTCAAACAGACTGAAGACATCCTCGCGCATGACGGCCTCGATGAAGAACTCGTCCATGAGCTCTTCAGCCTTGGATGAGGCATCACGCAGCTTCGAGTCGGTGGAGACAGCCTGGTAGAAGCCCAGAATGTGTGCCTCTAGTCCCATGACGTTGTCATCTTGAGCGAGGGGACGGACGACGTTGGCAAAGGTGGCGTTTTCGGGCTTGATCTCGGCCACCAGCTTGTCTTGGATGGTACGGGAGGTTTTGATCAGACGCTCGGCATCTGCTACCACCGACTCTGGGGTAGCAGTGAAGATAGGCGGGGCCTGGGGAGGCTTCCGGAGGTACGAGGGAGCCATGCTGGAGGTTGTCAAGAGTCGTACTGGTACGGTGGTACGCAAGTGGCCCAGCACGGATGAAAGGCGGAGACGGAGGAGGGGCGCCACGGTGAGGATGGCGATGAGAGCGACGAAGAAGTGACGAATGAAAGCTATGATGGCGGGGGATGGCGGTGTACGTACAGTTGGAGATGTTGTCAGGTGATCCGAAGCTCACTGGGCAATTGCGGGGTGTTGGTCTTGGCATTTATAGCTTCTATACATAGAACATAGAACCACAGTGGAAGTAAAGGAAAAACAACCTTTTCTTTTTGGTTTTTTGATTAATTGATACTCCTAGATCTATTGAAAAAAAGTCAGTCAAATACACAAATCAAAATTCTATCAGTTCAAAAACATGTCCTTGGTGACATTGTCCACGATAGTAGCGTATATGCTGTCAACTTAGAACCAGACATATGAAATCCTACCACCAATAAAGGTAACTGTATGGGAAGGCAATCCCTATGATTCAGGAGTCTGTTCCATTCAAACGATAGTTGCCCTTGCGGAAAACTACCCTGCGGTTAATGCAGGTAGCCCCCATCGTAAACCTTGCGCTGAAGCCAGTAAGCCTGCGCAATAAAGTCGTCGAGGAACTGCCCTCGGCAGAACTCCCTTGAGCCGGTGACATTTGCGCATTCTCCCAACTTTTGGCAGTCATGGTCGATACCTAGTCCGAATGAGATGCAGAATCGTTGAGTTGTGTATGCAGGATCGCAGCTCAGGACGAAGCGTTCACTAAGGAGATAATGTTAATCACTTTCGAGTAGTTAGCATACAGTCAATCTATCATGGGAAAGTCTTTTTGAACTTACTGTATAAAGAGGAAATTGCTAGGTATTTAGATTCTCTAGGCATGGATATTTACACCCTCCGTTTCCCATTCCAACAGTGTTTGGGAATTAGATAACGTAGTGGGATGGTTGACGCCTATTTTTTGCTTCTGCTTGGTTAAGCAATTTCGTAGCAAATGGATGGCTTTAGCATCATGACCTAAGGATTTCCAGGTGAAAGCAAGATAAGCCATACTGGTCAGCGTGGAGGGATGGTCCTCGCCGAGCTTCATGAGGCTCATCGCCATCACCTGCATCTGGAGCTGCTCGGCCTCCTTCCACCGGCCTTGGTTCCAGAACGTTGACGCCAGGTTGCCGATACTCGTCAATGTGGACGGATGGTCGTCGCCGAGCTTTGCCTTGCGAGCTTCCATGACCTGCACCTCAAGCATCTCGGCTTCATCATAGCGGCCCTGGCTCCTGTATGTCGACGCTAGGTTGGCCATACTGATCAGCGTGGAGGGATGCTCGTCGCCAAGCTTCGACTTGCTCGTTTTCATCACCTGCACTTCGATCTGCTCAGCCTCCTCCCACCGACCCTGGCTCCTATATGTCGACGCGAGGTTGCCCATACTCCTTAGTGTGTCGGGATGGTCATTGCCGAGTTTGGTCTTGCTCCTCTCCATCACCTGCATAAAGAGGTGCTCGGCTTTCTCCCACTGGCCCTGGTTCCAAAATGTCGCCGCTAGGTTCGCCATACTCGCTAGCGTGTCAGGATGATCACCACCGAGCTTTATCATGCGAATCTCCATGACCTGCACGTCGAGATGCTCGGCCTCCTCCCACTTGCCCTGGTCCCAAAACGTCGACGCTAGATTGCCCATACTCATCAGCGTGTCAGGATGCTGCTCGCCAAGCTTCGTCTTGCTCGTCTCCATCACCTGTACTTCGAGGCTCTCAGCTTCATCATAGCGGCCCTGGCTCCTGTATGTCATAGCTAAGTTAGCCATACTCGTCAATGTGGACGGATGGTCGTCGCCGAGCTTTGCCTTGCGAGCTTCCATGACCTGCACCGCGAGCATCTCGGCTTCATCATAGCGGCCCTGGCTCCTATATGTCGACGCTAGGTTGGCCATACTCATCAACGTGTCAGGATGCTGCTCGCCAAGCTTCGTCTTACGAGCCTCTATCACATACACCTCAAGTGACTCAGCCTCCTCCCACCGGCCCTGGTTTCTATATGTCACTGCTAGGTTGGCCATACTAATTAGGGTGTCGGGATGGCCCTCGCCGAGCTTCATGAGGCTCATCACCATCACCTGCACCTCGAGCTTCTCGGCGTCCTCCCACTTGCCCTGGTTCCATAATGTCGCCGCCAGGTTGGCCATACTCGTCAGCGTGTCAGGATGGTTGTTGCCAAGTTTTGTCATACTCTTCTCCATGACCTGCGCCTGGAGCTGCTCGGCCTCCTCCCACCGACCCTGGTTCTTATATGTCGAGGCTAGGTTGGCCATACTGGTCAGGGTAGAGAGATGGTCGTCGCCGAGCTGAGCCTTGCGAGCCTCCATGACCTGCACCTCGAGCCTCTCGGCTTCCTGCCAGTGTCCCTCAAGGGACCATGCTGTCGCTAGCATCGCAGTACTATCAAGGGTCTCTTCATCTTCTACACCTAGTAGTCTTGTCCTCTGTTTCCTTGATTTTGACGCCATAGCTCTCACATCCGCGAGGATACCGCTACGTGACGCGTACCATGCACCATTATAAAGCAGCGTAGCCCATTCTCGTAAAGATTCATCTGATTCTGGTCGCTGCGACATCGCTGCTTTCACATGAGGAAATAGCGGTCGGCATATTTCCCAGTTTTCATATTGACCGGTAGGGAACTTGTGGTAGAGGGTGCTGATAAATTTCTCCTTCCATTGTTCCGTTTGACCATGAGTCTTTAGCCATGAACGTATAGTTAGTTGCACTAGCCGGTGCATTGTGAAAAAGATTCCGTTCTTGCTAATAGAGATGAACGAAAAATTCCTGAGGGTTGCAACATCATCCTCAAAATTGTCGACTGGACCAGATTCAGATACCTGCCCATCTTCACTAGAGTCATCCGAAGACTCCGACCTTGATAAGTGGCTATTACTCTCAGGCTGTACCCGAAGAAGGTCTTCGGGAATCTCGTGCCGATCGAAAAAGCTCATGAGAGAAAGCAAACTCGCAGACGACGGGTTTGTTCGGCGAATGTAATCGAATGATATTTGCAACGTCACCAGAATCGAGTTCTCTGCCTCCCAGTCCCGGCCGATGCCATTCGCGTCTGTATTAAGAAGCTTAGTTGCCTCGCAGTCACTTTTCTGGAAGACTCGTAGGTACTGTGATACGGAACAACGAGGTGCCCGATTTCGAATATAGCTAGCGGCCTGTACGATCGCTAGCGGCATGAACTCGAGCTCCTCCACTAATTGTTGACTCTCTTGGCTTTCCCCTGGTTGCTCAAGCTTTCTTTGGAGAAGCTTCAGCGCCTCAGGCCTTTCCATCGGTTTGACTTCAAAGAGGTCCTTGTGATCGACCATCTTCAAGGCAACCTCTCTAGACCGAGTCGTAATAATAACAAATCCATTCAAGCTTCTAGGAAGGTATTCCAATAGTGGCTTTGTGGAGGCGTCTATTAGACTGTTCTTCTGGTCTCTCCGGCCTGTCGCTGGAGACTTATAAAGGACCTCATAAACATCAATATTATCAAGGATAAGAACCCACTTTCCTCTCTTCTCATCCCGGAGCCAGTTTTCGACTAGTTTGAATATATTGGCTTGCGGATCTTGGCGCCCCGTGATTTTAACCTGGTCCGCTATATCTCGGAAACTTTGTTCGAACCGAGCTTCGTTACTTGCATGCACCCAGAAGATCCACGTCGCCGGCGATTTAGACCGAACCTGGTAGGAGTATTCGATGGCAAGTTGCGATTTCCTTCGAGTTATGAGCAATAAACCATAAACTAGTCACTCTACACTCACCCAACACCGCCGAGGCCAACCAGCGCTATTCTCGACCCTGGCACTGAGCTTTTCTCGTGGATCCGATGAAAGAGGGTGTCCCGACTGACAAAGTCCGGATCGCGCGCGAACGGGACAGTCGATAGAGGGCTGGGTGGAGTTTCTGGTCGCACTAGGGACGCGGCGATTAGTCACGACGGTGAGCTTGTTCCGTTCCTGCAAGTTACCCGGAGGCAGATGGAACTCTGCATTGATTGAGCCATGGTTATCTCCGACCTGGATCCCATGGTTGTTGCCAGGGAACGATATAGATGCCATGATAAATAGGTGTTGTCTGTACCTATGAAGACGCTGACGCTGCCCGAGTCTCAGCTGAAGGAGGGGCACACGTCCTTAGCCTAACCATCAGCTGACTACCCAGCACTAAGGCAGAAACCAGATTGGCAGGCCACCCACATCGAGCCGTGACTTGGTTTTGCGTGAGGTGCGATTAGCTCCTTCCCAGGATCTGAATCGAACCTGAGCCCGGACACCCAGATCAACTGTAACTAGTCCGTGATGACATGCCTAATCTCATCCTCTTTCCCCCGTTTCAAGTGCACGAATGGAAAATGCAAGATCGCTTTTTGCTGTTGCTATGGCAAGACTAACGCATGGGTTTCCAGCCTAGCACCCCCCTTTTTGAGGTCCGTAGCTTTGAGATAGGCCCCCAAGCTCCTAGGAACTGCGAGATCGCTAGGTCACGTGCTTTTCCTAATACCTAGCATCCCTAGACTTTTCACCCAAAATCACTAGCGACGCGCGCTTCGCACGCTGTGGCCCTGAAACGATCAAAAAAGCGAAAAGCAAACACGTGGTGGTACGCGGCAGCTGAGGGACCATCGCATCGAAGACGAGCAACGAGAGCAAGGCTCGGCGCGAGAATTGGCACTAGGGCTGTCTCCTTAATGCTTTCTCCAATGACACTGAAGCACGCTCCGAAGCCGGCGGGTCTAAGCAGGGTTTTTTAGGGGTCCGACTCAACACAGGAACCCGTCGTTTTGAAAGATTTCCCACTTAGTCCCTCAACTTCGTCCTCCTCAGAATTTCATCGCAGCCTTCCAGCAGATAAACAGTTCTAGGTTCAGTGGCTTTTCCAAGAGATGTCACACAAATTAAGACCCGAACAGCATGCACTTCACAATCTTCTGCCTGAAGTTCAACTTATAATCGTGCGCTATTTAGACTTCTGGGACACAATTGCGCTGATTGAAAGCGGATTATTGGCACCAGAAGTAGTTATTGGAACAGGGCATTTAAGCGACTACGATAAAGATGGCAATACCCTTTTGCATATCGCGGTTAAGCAGAATTATGAAAGAACAGTAGAGTTCCTAGTTTCTGCTGGTGCACAAATCAGTGCAAAAAGCGAAGTGCCACAAGACCACGCAGCCACTCCATTAGTACTCGCTTCAGGACAAGGGAACTTCAGTATAGTTAAGATACTCGTGCACAGTGGCGCAAGTGTCGATGAGTGGAACTACAACGGGGTATATCCACTTCATTATGCTTCAGAAAACGGACACACAAGCATAGTTCAGCTTCTTCTGGAATCAGGGGCCACGCAAAAGCAGAGTTACGATTTTGGAACTCCTCTTCACCTCGCCGCCAGCCACGGACACGCAGATGTGGTACACCGACTGATAGCCTATGGCGCAAGATTAGCGCCGTTACGCAGAGGAGCAACAGCCCTTTGGCTTGCTGTGGCGAATGGCCATCTTGATTGTGTCAGAATTCTTCTAGAGGCAGGAGCAGCTGAAACCGAGCCTTATCACCCTGCCTTGGGTTGGCCTCTACTACATCTGGCTGTTGGAGGGCCCCACTTCTTACAAGCTATTGATATGGCCTGCGAACAGAGTATTAGAGAAATTTCCCGTTTTCCAGTTCCGACTTGGAAAGGAGGGGAAAAGGAATCATGGGCTGAAATTACACGTTGCCTTGTTACATCAGGTGCCAATGTTTTTCAAGAACTTGAATCAGTAACTCCACTGCACCTTGCTGTTCTTGTCGGCAATTATCCTGCTGTGGAGGCTTTGCTAAGCGCTGGAGCTGATGTCTATTCGAGAAATAAGTACGGACGCTCGGCGCTTATGTTTGCCAGTTTGTTAGGCTTCGAAGATATTGGCTCTCTGCTATTAAAGGCAAAGCAAGCAAGGCCAAATGAGAAGAAACCAGTGATAGGACCTAAACCGAAATTAACTATTAGGATGTGATCAGTAATATCACTTTGACGCTTAGCTCTACCCTTGGTGTTACGGATCTACTTGTATAGATGCAGAGCGCCTATCGATCAGATAAGTTACGAGACCGAATCAGTAGTTCAGTTTGATACACGAACTGATTCTTAAAGAATCAAAGTAGATATAGTCCCTTCCCCACTTTATATAGTATGAAACCTGTCCATAGCCCGCAAACGGATAAGAGGTCCCGACCCGTAACCCGACTCGCGTGGTTTGAAGCTCCTGGCCGCACTTCCGGGTGAATACGACTACCTCTGTTTGTCTGCCACGTCCTACAGAAGGACGTAGTGAGAATCGGTAGCAGGGGATATAATGGCCGTGGACCAAAATTGGCTATGCGCGATTCCAATTTCAGCCGTCCACGCTGTAGACGGTCAATATCAAGCACCGTCGTAATGTCATTTTTAGGAGGCTCAACGAAAGCCATTTCACTCGTTGGCTAGGCTAGACTCATCCTAGGATGACTCCGGCCCCGGGAACTAGTGAAAAGCTTCCCAGGCAAGGAATGTGTTCCTAGCGCAGACTAAGTAAGAAGGCCCCCCTCAATCAATATACTGCATGGTGATTGGAAAACACATTTATGCTAGATCAATCTAGCCGAACTGCGCCTTGCACAAGACAACCTAGTTACCACCCCACGACCGCCCTCCCTTTCTCGTCCAGCTCTGGGGTCGGCACACCAATGCGCGGACAGGCCGACGGGGCCACACAACTTGCGGAGACCGGAGCGAAGGCGGTAGGGGCTGGTTATCTATCTCTCAGAGCGACTACCTTCACAACTTATGAGCGTTTTATAAATATTGTCTTTTTCACTAGGGTTGCTACCTGAACTCTTCATAGTGTATACTACCAACCATGTCGGCACTCTACCGCTGGCTGGGCCCTCTATATGACGCTCTCTTCTGCCCGTCCCTTCCCTTCTCCCTTCGCTGGCGATTATTGGCATTCCAGCCCATTGTACTCCTCACAAACACCATTCAGTGTCTCTCAACTCTCGTCCGAGATAATGCCACGGTCATTTGGATTCCACTCCGTACGCCGGGCCATTCCATCCGTGCGATCGTCTATCCCCCGCCAGAGATGCCGACACTAACGGTCAAGCGACTGCACCTCAATATCCATGGTGGCGGGTTTCTCGGCGGCCTCCCGGAAGGAAACGCACTGTTTTGTCGGAAGTTAGCCGCCGAAACTGGAGCGGTTGTCATCTCGACCTCCTATCGCTACGCGCCCCGTTATACGTTTCCAACTGCGCATGAGGACGTACAAGATGTGGCTGATTGGATGATTCAGAACACAGGGAGCCTCTGGGGCGCAGATCCAAGGCTCCTCACGGTCAGCGGGTTTTCAGCTGGTGGCAATCTTGCGCTGGGCGTTGCACAGCGGTTGCATGGGTCCGAATTCAGTGTTAAGGCGTCAGTGACGTTTTATACCCCAGTAAGCGGTCCCACAATTTTTGTATACCATCATGGTCTAACTGAATAAGGTAGGTTGATCTACGGTTGCCTCCGTGGAAGAAGCCGAAACCGCCTGGATTCCCAGTGAAGGACCCGCTACGGTTTCTGCTACCTTTAATGGATGCGTACGCAGGCCCGGAGCGTCAGAAGAACCGGGAGAATGCATTGCTGCACCCCATCCTAGCTAATATCGAGTCTCTGCCGCGGAAAATGCTATTCGTGGTTCCTAAGGTCGATATTCTTCTACATGAACAGACGCTATTTGTGCAGAGACTGGAAGAGGAAGCTACAGTGATAAACCGTCGGATTTCACAGAATGCAGTGGATCTTACAAAACGGCCATTAGAAGGCGTCGTGGGAGACCCTCAATTCGACGTAGCTGATCCCTACCAAGTTGAGAGCATGTTCTTCGACGGCCAGATTCATGGATGGTTAGAAGGTAAGTCGTCAGTGGCCGATTTCATTCTAAAGCTGATGAACAGTCCCGTCGATATTTATCGACGTAAAAACCAGAGATCGAGTCTTCGACGACGTCGTCCACTTCCTCAACAATGTCTTCGACCCTCATGATCGGAAATAAATATCGGTCGAGACGTATTACTGCGATATATTTGAACGTAGGATGCAAGGGGTCGTTTAGATGTCAGAATGTACCCTTTGAATACGCTTCGCAACCCCCTTGTTCGTAGTATATAATTTCTATATTCTGGATCAAACTTGTTTCGTAAGCTCTCTTCCTCAAGAAGAGGCGGCAATGTCTCCTGTAGCAGTGGTTCAATAGATTCTTTTCTGTTTCTCTGCTCTGCTACAGTATCCTGGGATTTGTGCTATCTATCTTTGTCAAGCTCTGAGGGCTTTTTGATACCTGAGAGATGAGACGCGGGTCTCCCTAATCTCCCTAGCGGTTATTATCCCGAAGCGCTCGACACATAAGCCTCGCGGATAATGTCACCCTCGCTTCGAGCGATATATCGTACAGCCCATGGAATCTCACAAAAGATCTGAATTGGTCTGGGTTAAGGCCCCTATTCTCTGGCAATTTAGGAGAACAAGGCTAACTAACGCAAAGCATGCGTTCAAATATCCACTTCTAGGTGCTCCACAGTACTGCTTCTACTGCGACAATAACGCGTGACATTTCTCATCCGGGTATGTTTGCAGAAGACTCCGCTGAAGATGCCACAGCATATCCATCAGATCACTGGGGACGCGCGCTCCGCACGCCAATGCCCTGAAATGATGTGTAGAAAAGGAACAAAGGCTTGGACTCGCAAAGCAACGTTTTCAATACAGATACAGCCACAAGGGAAGAAAAGTGTGGAATGGATAAAGCTTTATCATAGCCTACATATGCCGCTGGAATGCGATGCCCTTGCATTACTCTAGACTGTTTCCGATTGGCTGCAGAATGTCGCGAACGATCTTAAGCACAGAGAAACCCAGCCAGCACATGTTGTGCAGTCTTCAATGGCTATAGAACTACTGGGGCTCATATTCCCGCAACTAAACGATAAAAACTATTACGCTGATTTTTGTCTATGGTGCCCCGACTAGCTGGGAACGATTGACCAAGTCTCCCCAGTAAATACAAGTCCTCCGTCCAACCTGAGCTGTTCCGGGTCAAGATATACACTCATTCCAATGTTATCCCCACGTATATCAAACACGCGTAGAATCATGTAAACCTCTGAATGGTCGCTCATGTTGTGCACGGCCCGCATCTAGGTTTGGTTAGCGGGTGTATGCTACCGATGGTTGTCAACACACTCACTCTTTCATATTGATGCTTGCTCATGTAGAAAGGGGTTCTCAAAGGCCCTGTGGTCGTCTTGACTTCAATGTAATATTTTGGACGCTTGTCCCTCCATTCTTCAGCGTCAAGGTACCCGTTATCAATGAGCAGGGCCGTGAAATCGCCCTCGGTATCATCATATGTAATGTCTGCGGTCTCCCTCCCATACCAAGGTTCCATGTTGGCGTAGTCCGGGTGGATCGTGACATATCGACGAATTGTACTCTGCCAATTCAGATAACTCCAGTCCGTTAGAGCTGGGACCAGCTGTGTAAGTAATTCGAAAACCTACAAGAAGATTAGTCACATGTTAGAATTTTACCCTAAAAGTAAATTATGGAAATGCAACGTACATATAGCTCTCCTGCGGCGCCAATTTTCTTGTCTCTTTCAAGCTGGCTGTCTGAGCGAAACGCGTTCCTCATGTCAATACCGTCGAAGCCATCGAATTGATGGAGGATTTCTTCTCCCAATAGTACTTCATTCAGTTCGCTCATGTTGAACGGTCCACTCGAGGGAAATGTGGCTCTCCTCGCAGCCAATATTACCCTATTGAGGAGCGTACGGTACTGCATAGTGTCCTCCGATGTATGGTCACGTGGCGAGTACATCTGTGGTGGACGGTTGCGATTGGGGTTGGGTGAATGGTAGGCCATCTGGGTTTGTCGAAAAATCACTTGCTCTAAGGCATCGCCCGAGAGTCGGCGATTTTGATAGGTAGACGGGGTGAGAATATCTGGTGAGTATAGTGGAACCTCACCGGCGGATCGATCCTGACTTTGTGACCGTTGGGATGGTATATAATCATCAATGCTCTCATCATCAGTGCCGGGGTCTTCGTTCGGTACGTCAATTTCGATAATACCCTGGCGTTCCAAAACAAGGTCGGTAGCGGAAGGATCGATACTCAAGATCATGGAGATTACAGTTACTGCATCGCTTTCGATGTTGTCAGGAATTTGTGTGGCCGGATCCCGCATGAGCCAGTCGATAAGTTTTTTAGGCAAAAGGTCACAGAAGCAAAGTTCTTGGGCCTTTTTGTCTTTCGGCACATAAACAGTGAGACCAGATGGCTCTTCATTGATGTGCAATTTGCCAATCAATTCTTCAACGTCCGCCACTACGCCATCTTGGGAGATTCTCAGAATCGAGGAAACCCCATCTGTGGCTTCAATCCTGGCCGTCCGAAGTAACTCGTAAAGCCCCGGTGGATTCGCGTGATACCTCGGGCTATTGAACGTGGCCGCGACTCTGGCATGTGGAAGGGATATCAGCGATCCACCTCAAGCTTATAAATTCATAACACTCACCGGAGAATTGCATGCGCCTTTCTTTTCAAGTCTCGGTGTGGCGCTGAAATTAGTTGCGTTCTCTCGCCAGAGAAGGAAGTTAACTCCTTGATGGATGCAGATAAGTAGCGATGTGTGAGATTTGTCCACTCGAAAAAGACTTTCAGACGACGCACTTCTTCCAGACTGAAGTCAAGCATCTTGATCCTGCCTCTGAATTGTGATGCCAGGTGTTCCCGGTCAGGAATAGCGAACTCCGTAGCAGCAGATGTGAGCCCCTTCGTTCCATCTGGGTAAACAACGGGAAATACCGATCTTTCCAGCAGTGGATCCGGATCGGCATAATCTCCCTCTGTTTGAAGGAGAGCATTGAGAGACCAGATCTTACTTTTTGTCTCGTCGATTGTTGATTCCGAGCTTGTTTCCAACAGCTCATCATATACCATCTGAAGGGTCAGCGTGTTGACTCCCAAAGTATCAATAAAGAAATCTTTCAGGTCCTCGTAATGGTCATTCAGGGTTACCTTCCCACGTATATCCGTAGTACTTGACCACAAACAATCGGAGATTTTGTACCAGCCGGGTTCGCCGTTTGTGGTCACAAAGATCAGACTTTCATCCTCGAATTCGCGCCTAATAATAGAAGTTTAGTTCTTTGATGCAACCTCAACTAAGAAAAAAGAAGTTGATACTTGCCGCAAATCATCAGTGAAGAGGAAAACTTCCATTTCAGAGAGGTACTTGTACATGTCGAAGATTTGGTCGAAGTCGACGCAGTGGTTCTGGCTCCGCTCTACCAGTTCCTCTGTCAGATCTGACCATGAGGCATTGGGAATGCTCAATGTTTGCCCGAAGAATCGTGAAAGATGTTCCAGTTGACCTTCCTCGACAATTTGCTCGAAGACGTATTTGAGAGAATACTTCGAAATCATATTTGGTGGTGCGTCCCACAGGCAGTGGTCAAGCCCGACCCATGCTGCATCATATGGATCATCCGCTCGGACTTCAGGAACAAAAATGTAGTCACCGTCTTCAAAAAAGAATCTCGAGGAGAAGGTGAGCAGCCAGTTTGGGGATTTGCGAGCATTGAACTTACTTGATGCTGTCCCTGGCGGCCATTCTGTTCTCGGCAGCAAGATGCTTTGCATCAATTGCAATATATAAATCCCATAGTCGCTCATACGAGGTAAGGGAGGATTCATCAGGATTCGCGCTCTGGATCCAATACAGCACATTAAGGAGGAAATCCATGTCGTCGTCCTTCCCGACTGAGAAATCATTGTGAAGAAAAATCCACTTGGAGTAGAGTTCCTGATCTGAAAGTCCTTCTTCAAGGTATAGGAACGGAAAGGGTTCATCTTCCTCCATAAAACGTTGACAAAGGGCCTGAAGATTGGATAGAGGCAGATATGTTTCGCGAAGCCGACAGTCATCAGCCAGATCCATATTGCAAAGTCCTGTTGCATTCGTGTTTTGAATTTCCATGATGAGATCAGCATTCTGGCACAGTTCGGACCTTTGGTGTTTCCAGAGATACTCCAACAGTCCAAGAAGCTTTCCAGGGCGAGACTCCGCGACATAGGCCCAGCTGTCTGACAGAGAATCACCATCGGATGAAACAAGACTCAGTCGTTCGTGAATTCCAAGTGAAGATATTAGCCATACGCGCCACGACGGGTGGTTTGGATGAGGCCTTGTTGGAATGTTCTCAAGATACGTTGAATGCATGAGCAATACTTCCATGCCCTGGGAGTACTCCGTTCGCCCCAGGAGGGCCTCTGGTCCATATGGATGGTTGCTTGGCAGATAGATCTCTTCCTCGTGTGGATTCCTCGTAAGGTCATGCTCGCAGTAAACATGAAAATCGCAAAAATCATCTTCATTTTGATGGCGCCCGTGAGTCAGATAAAGGTAATGAAGATGAGCTTTCGAATCTTCCATGCACACCTCGCTATACAAGGGACTATAATTCGCCAGTATTGCAGATCGAACTGCGCTGACCGACGGCTCCACAGCTCCCAAGTGTGTGAAGAAAGCTCTGCGGTCTTCATTGACAACCGCTGCTGGATCCAAAATGCGAATATCCACGTCGGCCGGGATGTCAATTTCACCAGTCTTTGGCAAATATATCGGGCCGCTGTTAGCGGACACCCATTCACCATTTCGTAGAGGAAGAATAGCAAGCTCATTGAGGTAACGCATTTCATACTCGTCCTCGTTTTCAATCCTCAACAGAAGTTGTGAAATGCGGGAGTGGAAGTCTGCGCTGGTAGCATGCGACTTGACTCTCGAGGTAGAACTTTCAAGATCACTTTTCAGCATTCTGAGAACTAGATCAAAAGACCCCATCCTGAGTCCGTACTCTCGGAGAGTTTCTTCTAGGGCGGCCGGGTAGGCGGTGGATAGAAACGGATCCAAGCTTGGGTCATCCAGCAATGGATTCCCATCGCTATCCATAAAGTCACCTGGAAGGATCACAACGGAGTTTATCACACGAAGGCCGTTGTCATGCCTCGACCTCCAAACCGGGGTAATGGCAATCAAATCCCTGATCGATCGAGCCAGAGGAGACCAGAAGCTACCCATGTCATCTTCTAACGAAGGAAGGAAGCTTGGCCATGCGTAGCACAACTCTGGATCCTCGCAGAATTCCAACACTGCCTTCACAAATGCCGAGGCAATATGGGGCAATAGGCAAAGGTTTCTTCTCGAATTCGTAGAGATATCTTGCCGATTTGCGCTAGTATCAAAGTCGGATTGTATCAGGAACTATTCTTCCAGTTAGTACATGTATGTACCGGAACGTTGCTATTGCACGGAATGGAAGAAGTCTTACTTTGAACCTCGACTCGCGGACTGGTAAAAAGGCAAATATTTCCTGTTTCTCAAGCAAAGGTCTTGAATCCACTGTGAGAGGGAAAGCCAAGACGACCTCCGCCTCCGACAATGTCGTATCGGTTTCCTGTGTACCTAGGGCGTTGCGACTGTCGCTCGTCGGAAGCCCGGTGGCAGTGTGCCTGGTGACATGGTAGCGTTGCTCAACCGTGGTAGAATTCTCATATCCATCCACGACAGTAGCCTCGAGGAAGACACTGTGGCCAGGCGCATCACGAACACGAAAAGTCTTAGATCGCCTCATCTCACCATTGCCATCATAAAAGAAGATTCCTACCTGCTTGAGGTTCCGCAAAAAGAGTAAAGAAGTTTGCTGAAGATCACCGAGTTGCTGGAAAATGGTTTGGCGGAGGTGCTCGAGCGCGTGCGGCTCTCCTTCCGTGTGAAGATAAAGAGTCATTCGGGTTAAGCGATCAGGGCATTCGTAGTCAGGGTCCTCCCACACTGGTAGAACCATTCCAAGACCAAGATCACCTATTCTATGCTTAAAATGAAAGGAAAAATTGCCGGACTGGATATGAACCTTCCAAGCCGCGATGAAAACGGACCTGAACCCGATACCCTTTGCCCCAATGTAGCCGTGAGATGCGGCTTTGGTGCTCTCCCCAACAGAGCAGATAGCTGAGAGATCTTCAGTCCTGAATCCATCCTCATTGCACTCTACAATGATACGATCGGGATAGACCTTAAACGAAATAAAGGGTAATTCGTTGTGTTCCCGTGCGAGCGTAAAGCGATTATCGTCTGCATTTTGCAGAAGCTCGAAGACAAACCCGAGCATTACTGTTGTAAAGGTTTCTTGCGAGTCTAAGTAGCTCAAGTTAGCACACAACACCTTGGGTCGCCGGAGACTACGTTGAGCAAGTGACACACGTCTTGATTGAATGGCCAATCTTCTCGTCCTTCGCACGCAGACTCTGTTCAATTATGCGTCGCTCCTCAGGAAGCAGGTTCCCAATGCGATCCAAAATCGCCGAATCAACATGTCCAAGCTTCGCAGCAATTTCTTCCACCGCTTTTTTTGCGGTTTCTCTGGTGGACATTCTGTCCTGCTCTGTTTTTGCTTGTTACGTTTAAGCTGGTAGTCGATTTGAATGAGCTGAATAGAGGTGTGCACCTCAGCCCCTGCCCCTTCGGCCCCCACTCTTTCGCTTAAGGTGGTCTCATGTACAAAGTACACAACAGCATCAGAAACCAGCACGTGACAGGTCAAGTACTAGACCGATGAGTGAGACTGGTGACGCGCGCTTCGCACGCTATGGCCCTGAAACGAGCGAAAGCGTGACAGTTGCACACATGAGATTGCAATAACCAGCCGCGAATAAGGAGTGCGAAACGGCAGCAAATAGAAGCAATTCTTGGCAAGGGAACAGACCGATCAGCGTCAAGATCTACTGGAAGACGCGCGCGCTGCGCACGCTGTGGCCCTGAAACGAAAAGGGTTGACGAAGTGAACTGGATTTGAAGAGATAGTATGACAATGAACGCTTGCTTTTGATAGGGCGCGGATAATAATTATGCACGGATAAAAGTATGAGTCAAATATATGTATGCCAAGCCACGCAGTACGATGTGGCAAAAGGGGTGATTGGTTGAGCATGTGAGTAGAAATATATCCGTAAAGTTAAATTGAATTATTTATCACGGGATGGGGCCCCTAAGTATATATTGCTACTAGTGTTCGTCTACCAAAAGTTTGAGGTCTAAAACGAGTACCTTTACGTTGATTCATCGCAAGGACTATTCTGTTATGGTGGAGCACGGTCTCATTTATTTGAAGCTTCACGCCAAGCAGCAATCGTCTCCTTCTCGAGGTCCTGAAGTCTTTGCATTTCAGTTAGTAGTCGGGGATCAGGTCTGAATCGAAGATCTTGCATGTCGAGTTTCTGCAGGAGATGAAGACCTTTAGAGGAACGCAGTCGAGATAGCTGCACATACATCGAGCAATACTTCCGGTGACGATCCTGTCCTCGGATCGTGGGGTCATCTTTAAGGTCGAGGATCGCAGCCACAAGGGTCGAGCCTTGCACTTTATAGTCGGTAAGGCTGAAAGCGGGGCACATGGGAACTTGCGTTCTACGGACCGAATAGCCTTTCAGGGTGATAGATCGCTCTAAAGGAAAGACTGGCAGGACTGAAGGTTCAAGGTCTTGAAACGCAGTGGGTTTGGGTCTGTCCGGTTTAAACAATATGCAGGCGGGTGGTTTGGTGCACATGATATAGAGGTCGTTGATTTGGAAGAATTCGGCTAACAGAGAGGTGTCAGGCAACGTTCATGACTATTTATGGATGACAAACGGACCAGTCTGATCTATCACGATGCCTACAGCAGTCCCCGCAGCACCATTGACCAGGCCGAGCAGGGTACAGATGTTAGTCAGTACGACTGCAGGCATATTTGGGGTGTACAGAAAGAGTCCCGGGAAGGGGATCTTAGTGCCTTGGTCCGGCTGCTGGAGCAAGTCGTCTGCATGGAGCCGCAAATTGATTGGGCCAGTAGACTTGGTTCGCGTATGAAGCGCAGGAAATATATAGACATTTTGGCATCGCGTGTGTGCGAATTGCTCTATCCGAACGCGATTTACCTGGTGTCGCAGAGAGTTCAACTTGACTATGGTGGTGGCATCTTGCAGTTGAGGGCTAGCCAGGGATGTGATGGTTTTGCTGTTGAGGACCGTTCGATCGGCTTCAGTTAAAGTCCCTGCCCTCGCTCGCGATAGGAGGTCACGAAACGGAGCATCTTCTGACTGTCTCATTTGCTCGTCTAAGATGATCACCTGTTTGAATTGATGCCAGAGAAGCCGACCGTTCTCATCCTCACCCACTCCCCTTCGTGGTTCCTTCCATAGTGCCGGGCCGCGAACAGGTGGAAACTGAAAAAAGTCGCCGATAAAGATTACGATGGGAAGACCACCGAAAAGATCAGTAGAGGATCTATCGAGAGATTTGGCGATCTTGCAGTGATTATCAACCACGCTAATCATGGTCAAATCCATCATGCTTACTTCGTCCACGAACATGACGGTTTTACGAGACCAGAGTCGCCTCACTCGGGAACTCATTGCAGTTCCTCGTGAGCGGTCGATGGAAATCCCGAGAGATGTGTGGTACGTATTGCCGCCGATATTATCGGCCGCGGCACCCGTTGGGGCCATGAGGATCACCTCGTGTTTCCGCCCGATCAGGCTCATACCGGCTTCAATTGCCTTGACGATCTGGCTCTTCCCCGTGCCGCCTTCACCTCCAACGTAGAGGAGAGTCTGCTCGCGCTGCGCTGAGTCATAAGGGTGGTCCGCCCAGACCAACGCCTCAGATAGCACCCTCTCCACGATCATCCGTTGTTTCTGATTTAGGGGGATCACTTCGATGACTAGGGATGTAAGAGAGGCACCAGTGGGATGCTGGCCAACCCGGAACTGGCGATCATCTATATCAGTGAACATATCGGAACTAGCCAGCACGAGCTGCAAGATGTTATCTTCAACCTGGACGTCGAAATCGTCAAGTGGAAGGCTGGATGTGGCAACCTCACGCTCTGTGGTTTCCTCATGATCAAGGTTGGCGAAACGTTTCAGTCGAGATTCCCATTCCTGCAAAGTAGACGATGGGACAAATTTTAGGCCGGATGTTTCGTACGCAAGAGTGCGTGAGATATCAAGTGGCTGAAGGTTTTGTAGATCTACGTTTCGAGTTTGGGTTGTCGCGCGGAGCAAAGGAGGGATCCGCCGCCCGGCTACTAGAGACTCTCGATGCCATGCTTTGCTGATGGAGTGGTAGGCTGCGATCAATGTCTCTGCATTAGTGTGTGCTGAACAGGGTCAACAATGCAGCAGATAAGAAGGACGGACCACTCCCAGTACCTGGTACGATGCTACCGTCCTCCGTGTAGCTGCCTGGCGGCAGCGATTACACGTCCTATGATACAACGACCGGCAGGGGCGTGCACATGTAGAGCACGAAAAATGTAGCGTCGAAAAGGCAGGAACAGTAGGGGAAGTTAGAGGCGGAGGTGGCCCAGTTAAAATATTACTCGTGCCTACAGTAGCTGAAAGCTGTCGGGCTCTGACCGCCCGTTGAGAAGCCCTCCTGCGGCAATTGTCGCAGGACCGAAACTGTGTAGAGCGCCATGGTCTGGCGCAACCAGAGCAGAAAGAACGTTGCGCAGGAGGAGATGTCATTAGAGAAGAGATGACTTGAAACCAGCAAACGGCATCCGTTCCAAGGCGCACTGGGAGAGGAGCGACAGGAAAAAGTTGGGACCAGCGAGAAAGATCCGTGTTGATCATTCATATAGTAGAAGTCGAACACGTCACCGTGCGCATGAGTGCATAATAGTACTATCTGCAGGATGCTCAGGACAAATAAGGGTGGAATCATAATAGAAAGGCGAGAAGGCCGGAACCCCACCGACTCCAAGACTAGCGGGAACACCGGGATCCCTAGACACGGAGAAAAAGCAACAGAGGCCGAATACGAATTCGGGAAGCACAAAGCCTAAAGAGGAAGGAAAGGAAAGTAGGTGAGCAGCAATCAGAAGCGAGCGCGGAGAGACAGAGCAGCAATCGGAGGAGAGCCTGGAGAGTCGCAGCAGCAAACGAGAAGAGCGTATTGGCAGTCAATAGGAGCATTCCTTGGCACGAGAAAGCACCAATTAGCAACGAAAAAAACGAAGAGTTTGGCAGTGAGAGGCCAGCAAAGGTTGGCGGGCAGCTCGCGCAGGGTTGTAAACCCTTTCACTACGTTCCTTCGTTTCAGGGCAGAGTTTGGCAGTTGGGAGCAGCCAAGTTTCGCGCAGGTCATGCCGGGTAGTAAACCCTTCACTCGTTCCTCGTTTCAGGACAATACACACACCAACCTCCTTCTCCAAACAACCTTTTCCCCAAAATTCTGCCGTATTTCCCAGGCGTCAAATCCCAGCTCTGCCCGTAACTAAGTACCTTGTTTGTTAGCTTATGTCAGTTACGGTTAATATTGGCTGACGATCAGGAGAATCTATTCCTGACGGAGCCCTCTTCCGTCTGGGGAACCACTGCGTATGGAAAGTTACCGCGTATGGAAATCATCTTTTGGGCTGTCAACCACAGCTCATCCTTCTATATCTCAGTAAATCCAGCTTTCTATCAGGAAAGAGAGCCTCAGTAGTCAATTCAGAGCAAGTGACGTATCGAACAACTACCTAGCCCTTCCATGGGGCGCCTATTACATTATACCAGGTCTTAGGACATCCTCCCAGGAACCAACCGTTAGCCACTATCACAATACCACTACATTCTCGCTTCTCGCTTCTGATTTCCCACCCATTCCAAGGCAAGTCGGTCGGACTGTGATGCTCTGTTTGTCAGATCAGCATGTAGATCTGCGAACACCCCTCCTCGGCTGATCAAGTCCACAGGATGTCCTCGCTGATGATCAACAAAAACCAATCGAACGTCTGCCTCCGCTGTGATGATAGCTCTCTGCAACGACCAGAGAGAGAATTTAGCAATGATGCGGTCCTTACGAACATCAGTAATGCGCGAGGCAATAATGATCTGTGTTCAAGATTTTCAGCTTATATGAGAGCTTTTAGAAAGGGTTTTGAGTCGCTTACCGAGTCAGGATAGGTTAACGCACTTTTCAAGTTGACATTGAAAGACTTCGTCACAATCCCAACGCCTTGGGCACGGATCAGGCTCTCATATTTCTCTTTAAGAGGTCCCTCGAAAGACTCGAAGAGTCGGTGGCCGCAACGGGCCACCATGTGCATATATGCACCCACTCCCACATGTTGGAACGGGTCCTGGTCATCGGCCCAAGAGAGTGGATATTCAGACATCGTGTGGTACTCAAAGCCCATAGAAGTCGCTTGTTGGATAACTTTCTCTCGTTGCTGCCGATAGAAATCTCCGCCGTTGGGATGTTGGCAAGAAGACCCTTCAAGCTGCGTAGTAGGCTTGACCACCATGATGGAGGATTAAGGAAGTATGCGTCAAATAATGACCAGTCAACGAAACAGTGCTACCTGAAGTCACTATGGTTCAAATTTAAAAGATTTCTTAAGTTGCTAGGGGGTAAAACCTATATAATATTGCTAGTAATTCCAGTCATGTAAGATATCTCATCATCATTCTGGTATTTTTAACGTATGCAGGTATCCCTTTCGGTGGACTACTGGAATTCAAACCATGTTACAAAGCTACGTCACTGCAGGCCAAATCAGCTCTTGTGTAACACAGTGCTTCTAAGTTATGCTCATCCTTATAGGCTTACCGCGCATCTAGATATTTCTAATATTCTACCATATGCAGGTATCCCTTTCGGTGGACTACTGGAATTCAAACCATATTACGAGGCTACGTCACTGTAGGCCAAATGAATCCATGTGTAACACAGCTCTTGAGGATATGCTCATCTTATAGGCTTACCACACATCCATACATCGTTGTTTATGCAGGGAACCAAAGTAGCTTACATTCAGTTCTGCAGGTTTCTAGATGCGTAGGATAATGATGTCCTCCTGACGTGTCCATGAAATGGTGAAATACTCTATATACAGTGATGATCATTTGCTTTGCGCCAGGCATCTATAAGATAAACCAGAACAGCAAACGTACCTCAGTGTACACAATCTCGGAGCAACTATCACCGAATGCGCAGGAAAGAAAATGAAACTATACTTGCTTGATGCCGGAATTAAGTGTCTCGACGCCCCATTCGATTCGGGCAGGATCATTGTCTGGGAACCAGGCACCGCGGCCCTTCATGAAATTGTGGGAAAGCAACGGTTACCAGACGGTATTATTTTTTCACGCCGCGAGGATCGTCTTTACTGGACCAATATGGGGATCCCAGATCAAAATGACGGTAGCATTCTATCCTGTAACCCTGATGGGAGCGATGTTCAGCAAGTGCTAGCTCCAGGCAAGGTCCACACACCAAAGCAGCTCAAATTTGATCACGATTCGGGAAAGCTTTACTTTGCAGATCGAGAAGGACTTAGAGTCATGCGATGCAATACCGATGGGTCTGAACTTGAAACATTGATCCAAGCGGGGGACTGGCAAATGCAAAGGCACAAAGAAGACAAGTCAAGATGGTGTGTGGGTGTAGCTATATCCACCCAGAACGGAAAGCTCTATTGGTCACAGAAAGGTCCGTCCAAGGGCTCTGCGGGTCGGATCTTTGCAGCCAATATCAGTATCCCAACAGGCTACAATGCTGAGAATCGACCCGATATTACCTGTCTGGTCGGGGGCCTGCCTGAACCTGTAGACCTCCATTATGAGGAGCAGTCAAGCACTCTGTACTGGACGGACCGGGGCGAGCTGCCTTTGGGAAATACTCTCAATTACCTCAATATTTCCGACCTACAAGCGAGTGGAGCGTCGGGCCATCATATCCTCGCATATCACTTCAACGAGGCTATTGGATTGACAATGAATTACCATGACCAAGCCATATATGTCACGGACCTTGGCGGTGGCATATACAGATGTAGCCAGGATGGCAGCGGCAAAAGGCGAATGTATGTAGGGGAAGAAAGTGCATTCACTGGGATCACTATGTCCAACGAAGTCTAAATCAAGACGATTTTGACATTTGTATTCGGCCTCCGTTGCTTTTCTCTATATCTGCTCTAGGAATCCTACACCATCCACCTATCTTGGTGCTTCCCATATTAATATTATGTATCTATTACTGTAATCATAGGCGTCGAGTCTGTCTGCCCTCATTGTGACCGGGATAATGTCTATTGATGTATTCAATATCGTGAAGAATATGTTTGTGATGTGATCTAGGAAGACATCCATGGATGGTACTTGGGAAGGTGCAAACAGTACCGAAACAAATTTAGAAAGTACTTACCAGTATGGGATATAACGTTAGTATGTGAATTTACAGCTGTTCACGAAGTGAAGAGGCGGTGTTTGACGTGTAATTTTAACATTATATATGTGCGGCTGGCTTCCTTCCCTTATTCCACCCTATCTTTCTCTCTATGTCATTTCCTCTGTACGTATATCATCTGAAGCATAAACCACGAATCATCGGCTGCACCTCTTCCACCCACTCGCATCGAAAGCTTGGAACCTGATGAATATCTCGTCGCTTCCAGACTAACTCTACCACCTCTCTAGCCTTCTTTATAGACTTTGTCACAAAATAAATGTTGGAATGGCCGCGCAGAAGATCAAACTGGTCGAGGAAGAAAACCCGGTTTGCGTCAACTACCGCATAGACCGCACAAACAAAGAGCGGCCACAGGTGGGCAGGATGCAGGAGACATGGGGAGAGAGGCTTGAGTAATGCGATTGCGTCTTGAACCAGCTTCTGCACCTGTGGTTGGTCTGGGTTCATCGGACGAAGACACGCCAGAAAGTAAAGCTTAGCAACCACATGCATCAGCAGAGATGTTTGGTGGAGTATTGTCCCAGGCCAATTCTGGGCGGCTTTATCCCCTTGCTGATGCTGTCCCTCCTCGTTGAGCCATTCGGATGGCTCTAATAATATCTCTGGCGGGGAATACTGGATAAGGCTCTCCAAACGACGCCACAAGAAATCCATTTTCTCATCCCGTGTCTCACAAGCGTGTGCAAATTCCTGGATTCGATTCACGACAGACCTTAGTTCGTGCGCTGGGTGACATGTTCTAGGGGCTGGCATTGGCAAAAACTTACCAACGTCATAGACAGATCTGTGATCTGAGAGATTAGGTCAACCAACTCTAGGGAGCATCCCAGGGATGGATCAACCTAGCTATACATTCAGCTTTTCCTTGTAGACAATGAAAGGTAGCTAGGAGCGGAACTGACCTCTGCGGATCGAGGTATTGTGAAGTTCTTCACCTTGCCTCTCTTCCCACACGCAGTTCCACCGAGTGCCTCTTTAGCAATGAAAAATTGGGCGACAAATTTCAAGACCTCAGGTGAAAAAGCGAACATTTTTGTTCGAATATTTGCTTTCAGCATGTCAACTGCTGCACAAAGATGGATAGACCAAGTGATGTCTTCACTATCCGACGCCTAGAGGACTTCATGTTAAAACGAGTGTGGGATAGGGATGGCAGGTCGTACTTCAAAAACGCATAACATCACAACCACAATCAGATTGAAATCGTTCAATGCGGATGTCGGGTGAGAGATGTTGTGGCGGAGCAATCGAATGGTTTGGACTTTGTAATGCAGGGCGATGGAAAGGAACTTATTGCGGCCGGTATGAGCCAGAGACAACGCACCGAGCGCGAACACCATATTCAAAACGATCGGGTTTTGAAGAGCCAAAGGAAGAACAACTCGGCGAAAAGCGTTGGACGAATCATCCACCAAAGTCATGCTTTGGCATACCCGTTCACAGTCTGTCCACCAATCCAGCATTAGCCAAGCCAAGAAAATCAGTGCGTCAACGCAAAAGAGGAACCAACGAGACTAACAGTATCCATAGAGGTCATTTGAATATTCCGACCAGTGGCTAGAGTTTGTGATCGGCGAGAAACGGATGGACCGCACTGAAGAGAGGGAAGCTCTCGTGCTATCCATGTCACCGACCCCAAAGTTAAGAAAATGGAAATTTTTTCGTTTGATCGCTAATATTGTCCATGTGTCTCCCTGAATATCTAGGGAGGTCTGGCGGCTCCGGCCATGCGCTACACCCAAGAGGTTGCTGTCCTCCTCCCAGCGCAAACACTCACCATAGATGCATTCCCTGTTATCATTCCAGCACCGTTCACACGCAGGCTTGTTCCCTGGTGCAAGGCCGTATTAGACGAAGTAATTTGGTAGGGATACTTGACTTTGTTAACTTACGTGGGCATCGAATCCGTCTTTTCCTACACGTCAGACAGCTCCCCCGGTTGGGTGCAACTCGCCGTCTCCGTATTCCTTCCGAGGAGAAAGTCATGTCAAGCACTTCTATGATGCTGTTTTAGGGAAGGCGTATGCGACGGAGAGCCCGAAATATCATGAGTCTGAATCTTGGAACATATAAAATTTATATGTCGGGTGATCTTGGGCTAGTGGCAAAAGCTATGAACATGTCTCTATTCCCAAGGATGTCCAATGGGAGGGTGACGGGCCAAGCCGCTGACTCATGTTCATAAATAGAGTATGTGGGGTTGTGTCCACTTTGTGATTGGGTTACCGAAACTGCAATGTAAACTTAATTCGCGCGTTGGATTTCCCTATATCTTTGGTTCTGCACGATGGTCCCACTCTAAAAGGGCGCCGCACTAATTTTGGAGTTACCTTCTAGGTATCGACTTTGTGGAAGCGATCTAGCGGATCCCTAGCAAATCTGTGGAACATAGGGCATAAAAGTACCAGATCCTATCGCCAAGATGATTAAGCAACAGTGTGTGTAGGCGGACCAGGAACCGGAGGAGAGTCAAGGAAAAAGATAATCTGTGACATCAACCGACACGGGGCATTCGCTTATGCAAAGATTGGAAAGGTAGAAACAAACTATATCTCAATATTAGAATGATAGTCCAGTAGGAGAGTCCCATACGTACATCCATAGGGTCATTGAATCTCAAACCTATATTCAGCGCACTGATCGTCCGGATATCCTCCTTGTCCAGGTCGAAAAAATTTGATTGTAAATTGAGCGTCATCCGGTCGGGGTTCGTGCTCTTGGGAATGGTGGCAACTCCCCGCTGTGTTGCCCATCGGAGCAGTACCTGCGATGGCGCCTGGGCATGTTTCTCTGCAACTGTCAAGATGGTCGGATGTTCCAAAAGAGAAGTAACTGATTTGGTCTTGAAGTTGTTCAATGGCAAATAAGATTGGGGCCCAAATGATGAGAACGCAGTGACCGTGATCTGCTCGGCCTGTGCAAATTGGATCAACTGCGTCTGCGTGAGATATGGATGGTGCTCAATCTGCAAAACAGCAGGCCGAATTTGTGCATATCGCAAAAGATCCATAACCAAAGATCCGGAAAAGTTCGCAATTCCTAGCTCCTTCGCCAGGCCGTGCTCAACCAGTTTTTCCATTGCCTGCCACGTTTCCTGGATACTTGCAGTGCTAGGCCGTAGGTTGCTGGTTCCATCGAAGAACCACCCAGGAGGATAGCGAACTACAGGATCCACATACTCCAATGCAATGGGAAAGTGCATGTAGTACAGATCAAAGTAGTCCACGTTCCAATCTGCTAGTTGCTTGCGCGCTACCTGCTCCACTTGGCTCGCTTCGTGAAAGGTATTCCACAGTTTGGACACGATGAACAGCTCCTCTCTTCTGACTAAACCATCCTGGATCGCTCGTGTCACTCCATGTCCTGCCTCCTGTTCATTGCCGTAGTCTAAACAGATTGGTTGATGTCAGTGAGACCGATCGAGATAAGGAAGGGCAGGACACAAGGGAATCTCATACCACTCGCACCATCAAACAGGCGATATCCGGCTTTGATGGCATTATATACGACATCCGCGCAACTTTCTTTCGGGACCTTCCAGAGCCCAAATCCAATCAATGGCATCTGGGTGCCACTCGCTAACTTAAGGGTATTCATGGTGATATAGAAAAATGCCACACTCCCCACACTTTTTGCGAATATGAGCAGAGATAGACAAAGCTTTGATGATTTCTCACTTTTGAAAGGATGCCAGCTAGATACTTATAAAGACATAAGGCTCCACTCGCTACCAATATGAGCAGGTCGCTCCTAACTTAAAGTTTGCGATGGCATAATGTAACCATACGTGCGACCATCTCCGTCGGGTTCTGGAGAATTAAGGTGGAGGTTGTATTCAGAAATGACGGCTCAGGCGGGGGTCGAGTTATGCGTTGAAGACTTGCTGATTGCCTGGAAGCTGGACTGATTTTGAAAAGGGTGTTGCGTTGGACGACCCGTAAACTCAATTCGCGGGTTTAATTGCCTTCGTGTGCCGTGTATCCCGGGTTGGGCATGGAAGTATTTCCTACTTATTCGGGGAGGACGCAACTTCCCCCAATACTAATCAAATTGGACGTCGGCAATATGCTCCTCTGTTTTGGTGCACGTTTCGGTCACAAGGAAAACGTTAGTTAAGATAAGATTAGCCTGACGGTTGATCAATTAATAGAGGATTCAATTATCACATACAACACCGAGTTTTCCACCGCCATGAGTATGATATCTCAACATATGTGGAGTTGTCTCCACTTTGTGATTCGGTTACAGAAATTGTAATATCAAACTTAATTCACGCATTGAATTTCCCTAGATTTTGGCTTTGCATGATGATCCTACTCTAAAATAACCTTCAAACGGGCTTTTATCGGATAATCTACTAAACAAACCCCCAACCTTGGGAACTCGGTTCTCCAGATCCCTACGCAAAAACCCTCGCGCCAAACCTTCTCTTGGACTATATGACGACGACCTACGGGGATCCGGTCCCAACTTGACCAAGTTGAGCCCGTGGAGAATGCCGACAACGTAAGCTTTTGGCCTTAATAGCCAGTGCTATACCATCATAATTGTGGCTGTCTCCTCATTTCCCGACTCTTTTGTAGACGCAGATCCGTTCACGTCATGCAAGCCACCAGGCAGCCTCATACAACATTTTCTTAGTGCCTTGGCTGACGGGTGGCGTACGCGTTCATTGCTGCATTGTTTGAGCGATTTTAATTTCTATATGTTTGAATTGGTATAAATTTTATATAAAGAGTCAGGAAAGTGCACTTAAAATCTCTATCTTTCCTTGAGACTCATCTTCATCTCTCCACGATCGCCACGGATTCTCCTTACCCCGTGAACAGTGCTGATCGCATATTCCTCAGTCGATCACCTAGATCTAGTTGAGTGAGAACCTGAGCTGGTTGACAAAGTGGTGAGACTGCAATATGCAGTTCAAAGTGAGCTTTAGTAGGTCCATGTCCAAAAATAACTGCAGTCTAACATGTTCTGTTAGTCCTTCATCTGCGCGATTCTGCCGCTGCTTTTTCAGCCTGGATCTGCTAGCGGTGCTCCCAACAATCGGGTTATCAGGAACATCGAGAAATACACCGCCCCTAGGTCCGCGGCCAACTTCAGTAACAATGTGTACCAGACCGACTTCGAAGGCGTGACCTGGGACGAAGAAAATTGGCTTCTGAGCACGACCAACTTGGAACAGGGTCGCTTTCAATCGCGAGGATCCGTGGCGAACGGGTACTTAGGAATCAATGTTGCCAGTGCTGGTCCTTTCTTTGAAATCGATAGTCCCCATGATACCAACGGTTGGCCACTGTTCTCTACCCGCCAGTCCTTTGCAACGATCAGTGGGTTTTTTGACTCGCAGCCTACCACAAACGGTAGCAACTTTCCTTGGTTGTCCCAGTACGGCGGCGACAGTGTCATCAGCGGTGTCCCCCATTGGGCTGGAATCATTTTGGATCTTGGAAATAATACTTATTTGGACGCAAAGGTGGACAACAAGACCATCACCAATTTTAGGACTACATACGACTTTAAATCAGGCGTCTTGGTCTGGTCCTATAAATGGATGCCCCGGGGCAACAAGGGATCGTACCAGATTACCTACCGTCTTCTCGCCCACAAGCTGTACATCAACCAGGCTATGGTGGACATGGAGATTATCCCATCTGAGGAATCGGAGGCGACCATCGTGAATGTTATCGATGGAGCATGTGCAGTGCGTACAGATTTCGTGGAGACTGGGCAGGACAACGGTGCTATCTTCTCGGCTGTACGACCGAATGGTATCGCTAATGTTACGGCCTATATATACGCCAACATGACTGGCTCGTCAAATGTGGACCTCACTTCTCGCAGGATTGTTTCCAACAAGCCATATGTTCATGTCCACGAATCGTCTATTGCGCAAGCCATGAACGTGAAGTTCAAGCCTGGTCAGGTAGTCCGCGTCACCAAATATGTCGGAGGAGCTTCTACGGATGCCTTCCAGGACCCGAAACAAACAGCGAAAAATGCCGCTTCCACCGCAATGAGCAATGGTTACACTGAGTCTATTCGATCTCATATCATTGAATGGGCAAGTGTTATGCCTGAGAGCTCTGTTGACCACTATGCGTTCCCGAACGGAACCCTACCTGCAGACAACAATATCATTGATTCTGCAATCATTTCCGTGACCAGCACATACTACTTGCTGCAGAATACCGTCGGCAAGAATGCAGCCAAACAAGTCCCGGGAGCCCCGGTTAATGTGAACAGTATTTCAGATGGCGGTTTATCGTCTGAATCTTACGGTGGCCTATTCTTCTGGGTTGGGGATGTGTGGATGCAGCCCGGTCTTGTTACCTCTCACCCTGAAGCGTCCGAAGCATTCACCAATTACCGTGTGGCGAAATATGCGCAAGCACAGGAGAACATTCAGACTGCGTTCTCAGGATCTCAGAACCAGACCCATTTCACTTCGTCAGCTGCCATCTTCCCTTGGACCAGCGGACGGTTTGGTAATTGCACAGCTACCGGCCCTTGCTGGGACTACCAGTATCATGTCAACGGAGATATCGGGATTTCTATGGTCAACCAATGGGTTACAAGTGGTGATACACAGCTGTTCAAAGAAAAACATTTCCCCATCTATGACTCGGTGGCCACCCTCTATGGGGATCTTCTGGTTCGGAATGGGTCTTATTGGACATTGACCAACATGACTAACCCTGTGAGTTCGTACCTCGCTCTTCGCAAGATAAGTAACTGACAAGATCCAGGACGAGTACGCCAACAATATTGATGCGGGTGGCTTCACGATGCCGCTCATTGCCAAGACCCTCCGACACGCCAACGCCTTTCGTCAGCAATTTGGGCTTGAGGAGAATGCCACATGGGATCAAATGGCCGAGAATGTTTTGGTACTTCGCGATAATGACGTGACTCTCGAGTTCACTGCCATGAATGGAAGCGGAGTGGTCAAGCAAGCTGATGTCGTTATGGTCACTTATCCCCTGGGCTATACTGCCAATTACACCACTCAGAACTCACTGGATGATCTGGACTACGTAAGCATTTAAGTGAATTACCAAACGAACTGTCCAAGCTTACCCGATTATCTAGTACGCTGCCAAACAGTCTGCCGATGGCCCTGCGATGACCTGGGCCATCTTTTCTATCGTCGCGAACGAGGTGGCGCCTTCCGGGTGCTCAGCCTACACATATGCTCAGTACTCGTACAAGCCTTATACCCGCGCACCATTTTTCCAAATGTCGGAGCAGCTGTTGGATAACCCTACCCTCAACGGTGGCACGCACCCGGCATACCCCTTTCTGACTGGTCACGGTGGTGCCAACCAGGTCGCCATATATGGTTATCTTGGGCTACGACTGCTGCCAGATGACGTCCTTTATGTCGATCCTAACTTGCCTCCACAGGTTCCATACCTCAAATATCGCACCTTCTACTGGCGCGGGTGGCCTATATCTGCATGGTCAAACTACACGCATACGACCATCAGCCATGCCGTAGGAATTGCGGCCCTTGATACCGCCGATCAGCGCTTTGCCAACAAGACAATCACGATCCACTCTGGCCCAAAGACCAACGCCACCACTTATCACCTCCCTCTAAAGGGCGCCGTTGTCATTCCCACACGACAGAGTGGGTCCGAGAATACAGTGCCTGGCAACCTCGTACAATGCCAGCCCGTTTACTCTTCCGACGCGTTTGAGCCTGGTCAATTTCCTATCTCCGTAGTGGATGGTGCAGCCTCGACAAAATGGCAGCCCTCACTCGCATCTGATGTGGCCTCTGTGACGGTCTCCTTCGACGAGGAAGAGGCCGGCACTATGGTCTCCGGCTTCCTTTTCGACTGGGCGCAAGCACCCCCGGTCAATGCCACAGTGATCTTCCACAACAAGACCCTGCAAAATCCTGCGATGGCGCTTTCCTCCCCTCAAAGTTCAGATTATACAGTTGTTCACACATTGAGCAACATCACTCAATCGAGTCCTTACGACCCTGAGACCACAAATCTCGATGTCATAGCCATCCCCACTGGCAATACCACCAACGTGACTTTGTCAGCCCCCGTGCCCGCAGCACGATATGCTTCTCTACTCATCGTGGGAAACCAAGCCCTCGGCCCTGTTGATGTGCAGGCCAAGAATGGTACTGGCGCAACTGTTGCCGAGTGGGCGATTCTCGGAAAAGACAAGAAAAACGACCAGGCTTCCTCAGGCACTGAACCTGCTAAGGGAAAGATGAATGCGCATGCCGCAGCTGCCGTATCGAATGCGGTTTCCATGGGTCAGCGTCGGCAGAAACTGTCTCAACCTTATGGAGGCTGATTACCTTTATTTCCCGAGTTTCATTTATGAATCCCCCGAGGATAGACTCTTTTTAGATATAGAGTCTCAGTTTTCAATTTTCCCATTGGGGCACTGTTTTCACAGCAAAATACAAAATTTGTTGAACCCTATAAAATCACGGCGCTCCAAGATGTAAAGTTTGGACTGTATGTGAAATAAGATCAGTCAAGGATTGAATCTATCTTGAGGCATGCTACATGCCTGTGGTATCGGAGATCCTGTTGTTGTTAGTGTTGGCGATGTTTGAAGCAGTATATGTATCCAGATAGGGAGAAGTTTTAATGCGGTTGCCTCAAGTGATGCCCGCACAGATCCTACAGGCCTACGAAGGGGCTTCGTCCCTCCTGCAACTGCCTCACGGGAGTCAATTGCTCGCCTCTGCTGGTAGCTCGTCATCTCTCACGCGTTCAAGACTCGTTTTGTCCCTCCCACTTTCCCTTTATACACAGAAACCATTGCAATATACAGACACATTGCCTCCCTACAAGGGAGCGCGAACGGGCCCTATCTGACGCTACGGTTTAAGACCGCAGCGACAGGTGATCCGTTCCGGCCAAACTATACACGTTCCTGAATCCATCTTGGCTGTGTGAGGTCACCAATAAATATGCATTTAAAAATTTACTTGCTTGGAAATCAACTTGATCCTCCGTATAGATAGATGTCATAGGACTTTCTGGGCGACGGGTGGACGCTGTACTAGTGCTCCAAATATATATCTGGAGGGAAACAGATTACGTTCGCGCAGGCGAGATTCATTCATTTCCAACAGGCTTTCTGGCCCAAGCCTAAAGTGCGACCCTATAGACTTTGAAGAATGGGCTCTCGCTCGCTTTGAATTATGTACCCCAGGAGGTCTCGATGAACTGGACCGGTTCTCCAGGGCCCCAGCGGCCTAGCCTAAGGCCACCTCTCCAGCTTGCATCCCAACATTCGATCATCTCCCCCTCCACGGCAGAATCAAGCGGATAAGCGAACGAAAATACACAGATTGAAAAAGAAAGGAACTGGTGGGGTCTCTGTTAACAAAGCGTTATCATCAGCTCTACATCACTTTGCGGTCATTATTGATTCCACCGCCTGTTGAACCTGGAAGCCAAAACGTGCTAGTATAGGCGCTCGGCCAGGTTGGCCACGAAGGCAGAGGGAAGCCATTTTCGACGTCCTTTTGGTCGCGAGTGGAAACGGGGCGAACAATCGTGGAAAGTCAAGCGGCAACATTAGGACCAGAGGATGACGACGAACGGTGCTGGATGGGTGCAGAATAGTGGGCAGTACAGGGGTAGTGGGCGGTCAACCAGAGGCTCCCTGTGCAAAGTTACGGGTGGAAAGGGAGCCGTTTCTGGCGCCAAAAGCGGTCATTTTCGGCGTCGTTTCACAGGTGCTCAGATTCTACTTGTAATTAAAGGGGCTCTGACATGTGAAAGAGGCAAATCCCCGCTTTTCGAAGTTTTCAAGTCTGCGATGTTCTTCATGTTTACACCCTTTCCAATACTAAACTAACGTTGCAGTTTACCGTTCAGCTGACTGAATGATTGAATCATATAAAAAGTTCGTTTCTAATTCATGAAATTATCTATGAAGTGCGTCACAGGCGGCTTTTGAAAAGACTGGAATGAAGAGAAAAGAAACGCCAACCCCGAACCCACAATGCAAGATCAAAATATATCATCAGTTCAAGCTGCATCCGCAGTGGGGATGGGCTCGGGGATCTTGGTGACCTGCATGCCAGCACGGATGATACGCTGACCTGAGTCGTCGCGAACATACTCGGAGTTCTCCTTCTGGGCACGCTTCCAGATCTCGACTTCACCACCGCCACGGATGACACCGACACGCATGGTGGAGAGCAGATTGTGGGCTCCGTTGGAGTGGTAGTAGACACCACCGTTGAACATGGCGGTCGCGTCCTTGCCCAGACCAGACTTGATCATGGCCTTGCCACCGGGGTGGTCCTTGATGAAGTCGGTCACGTCGTGGACGACACCGGCAATGGAGATCAGGCCTCTGCCGTTCTTGGCCTGCTCGACGTAGTCGTCCCACTCCATGACGGGGAGCTGGTCCAGCGGGGTACCCCAGTCAAGCTTGGCGCGCTTCTGGTCGATCTTCTTTTGGAGCTGCTGCACACGACCCTTCTCGATCTCGTTGGAGCGGAACTGCTTCAGGTCATAGGCCAGGCCGAGCTGCTTGCAGGTCCAGATGGTCCACTTGGTAGGGTCATACTGGTGCCACTCGATGGCGTTGCGATAGTCCGAAGGGAATTCGTGGTGGAAGTTGTGGTACCCCTCGCCGAGAGTGACCAGGGCGGTAATGACGTGGTCACGGGGAGAGTTACGGTCATCGAAGGGCTGGTCACCGAGCCAGTGAGCCAGGGAGTTGACACAGAAAGTGGCCTGTTGCACGAAGAAGATACGCAGGATACCGGCGTACACAAAGCCACCCCACCAGTCACCCCAGCCGAGACCGGAGACGAGCATGGGCACGATCAATCCCATGGTGAGGACGACCTTGAGGTAGTTGCGGTGCTGCCAGACGACCACGGGGTCTTCGTTGAGGTCGCTGATATCGGTACGGCCAATTCGCTTGGGGTTCTGCTTCATGACCATCCATCCCAGGTGCGAGTACAGGAGACCCTTGCGGACAGAGTAGGGATCCTTTTCGGTGTCGGTATAACGGTGGTGTGCACGGTGATCCCGAGCCCACCAACGGATGGAACCCTCAACAGCACCGCCGCCGACGGCAGCGAGCCAGATACGGAGAGGCAAAGTGGCCGAGTAAGAGCAGTGAGCCCAGAGACGATGGTAACCTGGAAAAAAGACAGTCAGCTTCTGTTCTCGGCCCCCTCGGGTCAATTCAACTTACCAGCAGTGATTCCCAATCCAGTGAAGAAGTAGTAAACAACAGCCCAGATGGCAGTCTTCAGCTGCAGAGGCACCCAGAAGGCCTGGATGCAGCCGGAAAGAGGCACACCAAGGATCAGAACGACATTGAGCCAGTTGACATGCTTGTACCAGTTCTGGCGAGTCATCTGAGTATCCGCAATGTGCACCTTCTTGGTCTCAGCCGCCCGCGGGCGTGAGGCATCAACCTTCGACGACATGGTGTATGAGTGTGTTGAAGATTGGAAACCCAGGAGGAGAGGGTTTTTTATACTTGGGGCCCACTTGGGACCAACGTTGGGGAGACGGTGATCGGATATGGGGAAACTTGGCACAGAGACAAATCAAAGACGAATCAAAAGGATGAAGACATTGACCATCACAAGATCCCGAGGCAGTCAAGAGAGAAGAAGACAACAAATTATAAGCTTCCCCCGATAGAACTTTGCTCTTCTGGAGTGGCGTGCCTCATGTTTCCGGCGACTGTTGGGTCCGGCCAGCCCCAACGCTTTCCTCCAGCTGTGATTGGCGGAGAGCGATGGCAAATCTTAGATCAGCAGGGAGTTCGCTTAAGTAAGACCTTAGGTCAGCTATCTTATGTCATCATTTCGTCGGAATTCTTAGGGATCAGGCCACTTCTACCATCCAATCATTGTACTCTTTCTGCAGATTTCCCTGCCCGGAGGCAAATACCCGCCATACAGGGATTGTACGCCCTATGCCTTACAGAATGCAATGGACTGTTTCCGTATTGATCGGCCTTTCGCGAAACCTCGATTACAGCCCTGTAGTTGAACCTCGGTGATACCAATGAAGTCATGGCCATTCAGTACAACATACCCAATTCAACAAAATGTTTGAGAGATGCCTGGCAACTGATCCTCCAGTTACAATCAAGTTCTTCATTCCCGTCTCCGGATCTGCACAGACAGTGTCACCTTCGTGACCGAAGTCACATCATTGCTAACATCAACCATTCCGTTATATCGCGAGGTCAAGCAGATCCAGCAGATCATGGTTCAACGATGCGTCAATGTCAAGTGCCAGAAGTGATCAACAGAGAAAGAAAAGAATTCAGAAAGAAGTCACAAGCTGCTCATCGAGAAATGAGATCATGGCCGAGGTGCCCATCACATGGCCGGACATTTGTTGAATCCAGGAAAGCAAGACAAAACACAAAGCAGTTGCACAGCTTGAAGTTTGGCCAGGGGATCGACATGCTTTTCTGGAACAGTGGTTCGGGAATGCCGAAGCATCTATCCCGAAGTATGCCCCTATATGGTTCCGCCTGACAGTTGCCCATGGACAATCCCATGGACAATCACCACGCACACTCGTCACGGAACAAAGCCAACAGATCCAATCTACAACACATGCCTATCCCAGAGATAACCGCAGCATCCGATCTATTACTCGATAATTAAGAATCAATATCCACGATATCTGAAGCCTGATAGCGTGAAATCATGAAGTCGGCGCCTTCCACTGTTGACGGCCGCCTCCGAGTGCCAAATGCCCAGCAGATAAACCCCAGACAGATAGCCGAGAGAAAGTTCGATCGAACCCGGGAGGGCCATGCGAAAGCCACCGTGCTGGGAGCATGTGGCGTAAGCCAGTCTGGCCCACTGTCCACTGGCTCCATCGCTTACAGTCACCAATGAACGGTGGTTATTTGTTAAGAATGGATCATTTTCTAGCAATAGCAGTACATAATGGGACTACAGACTAAACAGACCTTCAATATTCTTATCATTCTCCACTTTGATAGATGCTTGGCGCTAATCTGTGACTGGCTGGGGGCTAACACTCTTCCGACCAGATAAGCCGGGCCCTAACTGTTTCGAGCCAAGTGCTCGCGCTGGTTATGCGATGCTCTTGCTAATTCGAACTTTCTGACCAATTTGGCGCCGATAACACGAGGTCACGCCCATCTTATCGTTCTCCGCATTGTTAGTCATCTCCACTGTGGGTTCGCGTTAGCGATGTTCGGAATGGAGCTATTTTTTTGGTTCGACTCATATATAAGTCTAGTTCCTGATCTAGTGTTTAGAATCATACACAATATACAATAACATTTACAATGGACGGCCCAGATCAGATCGGTCCTGACCATTCGCCTAAGCGCACATTCAGCGACAAACTCCGCTATGTCGCAAAGACTTTCACAACTCGGTATGCGACACTGTCAACAATACGCGGAATTGGTTGACTGACAGTTCACAGGGAGGGTCTATTAGGAGACTACGACTATGCATACCTATTTATTCCCCGGTTACCATTTACGAAACGAGCCCGCAAATCTGCTCCGTTCTTCGGTCTTGAGGACCGCGTCCCAGTCGTCCTCGCTTTGATCCTGGGGTTGCAGCATGCGCTTGCAATGTTGGCTGGTGGTGCGTGGATACATCCAATATCGAAGCTCTACTTGGGACTAAAGGAAAATAGTGATTTCACCTCCCATCATGCTCGGTGGTTCAGCGGGTGTCAACTTCGGCGACGAACTATACCAATACCTGGTATCGACTTCATTGATTGTGTCGGGAGTTCTTAGTGCTGTTCAGATGTTCCGGCTACACATTAAGGGAACGAAATACTATATTGGAACTGGACTGCTATCTGTCGTTGGTATGTATACTCAAATCACAAGTCGAATTCCTCAACCCTAACCCTTTCACCAGGAACATCATTTTCAACAATCACCGTCGCCCAAGGCGCCTTCACCCAGATGTACAAATCAGGCTACTGCCCCACAGCCGAAGACGGAACAAAACTCGCCTGCCCAAAAGGCTACGGCGCCCTCCTCGGCACATCCTGCCTCTGCGCCCTCCTCGAAATCGGCATGTCCTTCATGAGCAGCAGAATCCTCGCCCGCGTCTTCCCCCTCTCGTCACTGGTCCAACTGTCCTCCTCATCGGTGCCTCGCTCATCAAGTCTGCCATGACCGACTGGGCTGGTGGCTCGGGTTGTGGCGCTGATCCTTCCAACCCGGGTATGTGTCCTAGTGCTGATGCGCCGCACGCTCTACCCTGGGGTAGTGCTGAGTTCATCGGTCTTGGATTCCTCGTCTTTGTTACTATCATCATCTGTGAGCGCTGGGGTCCTCCAATTCTGAAGAGTTGCTCTGTGATTGTTGGTCTGCTGGTTGGATCTATTGTAGCGGCTGCCTGCAACTACTTCGAGTCTTCTGGTATTGCGGCTGCACCTGTGGCTTCTTTCGCCTGGGTTCATACGTTCCCATTGTCGGTTTACCCGCCTCTGATTCTCCCACTGCTCGCGCTATACATTGTCATCATGATGGAGTCTATCGGTGATATCACTGCTACTTGCGATGTCTCCCGCCTCCAGGTTGAAGGTGCTACCTTCGACTCCCGTATCCAGGGCGGTGTCCTGGGTAATGGTATTACCTGTCTGATTGCTGGCTTGATGACTATCAGCCCTATGTCCGTCTTCGCACAGAACAACGGTGTCATCGCCTTGACGAAATGTGCCAACCGCACAGCCGGATACTGCTGCTGTTTCTTCCTGGTTGTCATGGGTGTCTTCTCCAAGTTCGCCGCTGCGCTGGTTTCCATTCCCAGCCCTGTACTCGGTGGAATGACCGCTTTCCTGTTCAGTTCCGTGGCAGTCAGTGGTCTGCGCATTATCGCTTCGGTTGAATTCACCCGTCGCAACCGGTTCATTCTCACTGCCAGTTTCTCCATTGGAATGGGTGTCACTCTTGTACCGGAGTGGTTCGCTTATTTCTTTACCTACAGCGGTGATAACCATGCCTTGGAAGGTCTGCTGAATGCTTGCGATCTGGTCATGGAGAATGGCTTTGCTGTTGCGGCCCTGCTGGGCATCTTCCTTAACCTGTTCATCCCCGAGGAGGCGGATGATGTCCCTGCTTTGCTGGACTCGACTGAGTCTGATGATGGACGTACTCAAGTTAATACTACTGCCCATGAGTCGACCACTAAGATGGAGCATCCTGTTGCGTCCAGTGCTAGTGCTTGAATGTTTGTTTGGTTTGCAAGTTGGATTAGCCTTTGTATCTTTCTTTTAGCGCTTGTTTAATATCTTACCTATTCCCAATGTCATGCTTATTTGCGGCCTATCAATTCAACAAAATATATCCTGCTTCAAGTTTTCAAGTGTAGAGTAGCCTGCTTAAAGATCATTGTATGGTTATGAGGCTCAAAGTGGGGCACATAACGTTAAATTAACGCAGTCTTTGCTTGACTCAGTGGAAGTCATTTTTCAAGAGGAAAGAACAGGCACCACAGATACAGAGGGAGTAGATATAGGGCTAATACGTCTGCTTGGATGGTATTGTCGGCTTTGTTGATAATAAGTAACTAGAACCATGCCATTTAGCCACTACATACTGCAACTAATCATCGGATAGAGTACGTTATAGTCATTTAAAATTAAATGCAAGCAAAAGGTATACATCGGTGAAACTGGAATTGTAACTATCTATGGGCTTCCGCCATCATGTACACTGGAATCATCTGCACTGAAATCAGGCCGGGATGATCCATCTGCCCAGATCGCACCTTTTTCCAACAGCAACTGCACAATTCCTTCATGGCCATGACGAGAAGCAGCATCGAGGGAATTACTATAGTACTCCCCAATAGGATGCAAAGGCAAGTCTTGCTCAGGAAGATTGTTAGGCAGGCCGAAATTGGCACCATAATCAAACAACAGCTGCACGCTTTCTATGTTACCCCAATCGGCTGCACGGAAAAGAGCATTGTAGCAACCATCATTTGAATTGACACCAGCACCATTATCCAACAGCAGCTGAACAATGTCCTCGTAGCCCCGTTCAGAAGCCGCTATCAGAGCATTGTTGCCCTCAAGTCTCTCACCGGCCGAATTGACATATGCACCGTTTTCCAATAGGAACTGTAAGGCATTCTTTTTGGAAGCAGATAAAGAGGAGTAAAGCCAAATGACCCCTGAGCATTGATATCAGCCCCATTCTCTAGAAGCAGCTTCATAATATCGATGTGGCCATAAGCCGCAGCAACGTGAATGGTAGATTGACCGGAATAGTTTTGTGCATTGACATCAGCTCCTTTTCCTATCAACAGCTGCACAATATCGATGTGGCCATCAGCCGAAGCAGCTTCAATGGCAGAGACACCGGAAGAGGTTTGTGCATTGACATCAGCTCCTTTTCCTATCAACAGCCGCACAATATCGATGTGGCCTTCAGTCGAAGCAGCTTCAATGGCAGAGCCACCGAAAGAGGTTTGTGCATTGACATCAGCTCCTTTTTCTATCAACAGTTGCACAAGATCGATGTGTCCATGAGCCGAAGCAGCTTCAATGGCAGAGACACCGAAAAAGTTTTGTGCATTGACATCAGCTCCTTTTCCTATCAACAGCTGCACGATATCGATATGGCCATTTTTGGATGCAACGTTAAGGGCCTTATCAAGTACGCCTTCCTCTGCATTGACATGAAGTTGCTGCTGCAACAACAAGCTGACTGTATTTTGTAGACCACCGAAGGATGCATAGTACAATGAGCTTTTCTGCTGATAATATGTGAATGTTGTGCGGTCCCAAGGATCCTCTGGATCAAAAAGTCTCCCCCAGACGAAGTAAGACAGCCCTTGCGGGAGAAGAAAATCCATGATGCGGTCCTGGATGTGTTTTTCATCCTCGGAATGTTTTCCATGTTCCATCCAATGCTGCGCAGAATACAGTGCCAGAGGAAGCTTTCTGTCAATTTTCTCTCCAATCTCGCGGCTTATGCGAGATTTAGGTTTGCCACGAATTTCGCAAGTCTTGCGAGTCTCCTCGATGAACGCCAACTCGCTCTCGTCTAGACAAGACAGATACCGCAGACAGACATGAGCCATCTCGGCGTGTGCGCTTGACATTTCCAACCGCCCTCCCCATTCCCCTTGTTGTGGACGGTGGATGAGAAAATTCTCTCGCTGTCTGATGAATGAAGAACAGCTTTGAGTCATAGACACTGATAAAAAGACCACATAGATTTTTCACCTTCTGTTGGAATGTTTCTTCGCGCCAACAGCGTGACACTAGTTCAGTGTAGGAACCGCATTTGTTCGGCTTCAGAGCGAGCGTGAGCGCTCTGTTAGCCTCACCAAGGGTCAGAGGACGAGTCGCAGCCAACATGATCCGAAGAAGAGCCTCTGTGTGTTTTTCATCCTTGCTTCGGCTGAGGATCTTTTCATATGCCTCTGATACCTTTTTAGGTAGACTGGAAAGGAGTTCTTCCAAATCAGCCCATTGTTCAAATGAACTGGGACTTTCTTGAATTATGTTGAAAGTAAGGTGTAGCCAGAGGTATGTGCGTTGTTCCATGCTCTTCAATCTTTTTGCAATTGACAGACGGTCTTTCTCCTCAAAAATTGTATCGTTTTCCATTTTTGCATCAATGACTTTATCGATGTCCTTGCCGATTTCACCGGAATTTTCATCTGCATCAAATGCAAAATAAGTGGAAGCCTTAAGAAACCTTCTGAAATGTAGCTCTATGTCATCATATGGGCGACTGGTGATGAGGAATTTGAGCTTCGAGGGCTGGTCAGATGGGCGCTGGGAATAGAACTCGACAAGTTTCTCCAGCAACGACTTCCAACTTTCACTCTTACATTCATCTAGGGCGTCGAGGAGAACAACGATATCGCCAGTGGTTGGCGACTCAACGCATTTCAGGAGAATTTGCCATAGCTCAGAGAAGTTTGTGGACAATTTATGACCGTGTGCCCTATGACTGGGAAGCGCAAACTTGATCAAATGATTTTCGGTGTCATGCTCGAACAGTTGGTGAAGAATTGCAGACAATGCATCAGTGGCGTGCATGCGACTTTCAGCTCCGTCCTTGAAAAAGAAATAACAAACGGTGGTTGCCACACTCCTATAGAGGTGTTGTTCATCAATCAGAGCCCGCGACAAGACCGATTTGCCGCAACCAGGACTGGCAGATACCCAGAGGACAGTGGAGGTGTTTGTGTTGCGCCATTTGCGGAATCTTTCGTCCTTGAAAAACCACTCGCATGTATCTTTCACCTTTGTTGGATTGATATTTTTATGATCTTCCCAGCCTCCATCGCGAGGCGCAAAATCTTGGAGAAGGGCTCGTTCATATTGGTCTTGGTTGTTCGCCTGGCTTTGCTTGCTGGTAGCTTCAACGAGATCCCGGAGGTCTTCGAGGATACGCCGGGAATAATTCAGCTGCTCCAGCTCGGAATCCCGAATGTCACTGATTTCCGTTGCTTCATAACGATCAATGAGCTTGCTGTAGTCATCGCTCAACTTGGAAATCTCTGTAATTTTCGCAACCCAATCAATCGACTTGGTCATGTCGTCCCAAGCGCGGGAGCGCTGCTTCTTGGAGAGATGGCATATGACAAGCGCCTGATATTCGAAGATAAGCGTATAGAGCTTGACCAAGCACTCAAGAAGCTGTTCGTAATTGAGATCTTTCTTTTCAAAATTTTGCTTTTCGAGACCTTTCTTTTGAGATAATTCTTTTCGCAGATCTGCCAGTACAGTTGGACATTACTTAGCGAATTAAACCCTTTCAACATGGCCTCGTTCTCCGTGGAACCACTCGTGAGGAGCTATCAGAGTCAGAGTTATCTCATTCAATGGCATATCAGGCAGCGTAGATCATTTTACTTACCGGAAGAAGCAAAGAAGCACCAGACCATGCCAGTGCTGCGTATGGCTGAGTACTGACCGCGTTCTTGACAATTGGGTCAAACCAGAGGACGAACCTTGCCACTTTCTCGACTTGATCTCAGATTTTCACATCTTTCTTTAGTAGTGGCACTCGGTATTGCTTTTTCTCCCTATCATCCAGTAGCTGATTCACGACTAACTTCACCGAGCGCTCATTCAGAATGCCGCTTCCATGTTCTTGATCATGCTGCAAGGATGCCAGATGTGTATTGTAGGCTTTCATTAGCTCGGGTTGTTGCTCCTGTAATACCGTGTACGCTCGAAGCCATAGATCGGGCTCGTTTTTCAGGCTTCTGGGGGCATCCTCAGAGCGTTTTAACTGTTGCGGGACATCCGAAAAGGGTTGGGTGGAAGCAGGCACAGAGACAGGCTTCGAAACAGATGATTCATCTTGAACACAAGTCTTCGAAAAAGATGTCTCAGGTTTTACAGAAGGGGGTTCAGAAGGTTCAGAAGATTCTTCACAAGGCTGCGCAGGCACAGGCATTGCAGACGATTCGGGTTGCGCGGAAGACTCATCTGAAGATTGGACGAGCACAGGCACAAGTGCTGGAGTAGGTTCCTCAGAAGGCTGTACAGCCACAGATGCAACAGAAGATGAATCAGTCTTCACTGAAGACTTTTTAGATGATTGTTTAGGATCTGTTTTCGCTGAAGACCTGTTAGTAGCTGCGGACGAAAATGGCATATGGCATATGATCGAAAGAATTCAGATACCTCTCTTACGAGTGAGATTATTCACTCGCACGCGAATGGAATCGAAAGCCATGATTGCTTTGGTTGAGACGAACGTGTGTTAGAACAGAGTCCCAGGGCGGATGTAAATCGGGCAAAGGCCAGCACAGCCCCGCATGTTTGGGACTGCAGGGGTATCGCGCATCTGTTTCGCCTATTTTGGTCAAAAACGCGTCCATTCGCCTTTCCCTGAGACAAACTTGCCCTATCAAGAGGCTCAACTTTTACTCCATTTCTTGTGTCCTTTTTGGCCATTTTCGAGAGGACCAAAGTAACCTTTAACCGTGATATCTAAAAGCATAGATCTCGGCCCGAACCGCAAGTTTAAGCTAGGTGAGTTCACAAATTCTACGAAAATACACGTACAAACCCCATACTCAACTAATCCTACAATTATGATACACAATTCAACCACCGATTCAAACCCCCTCAACCTTCTCACCAGGCGCCAACATCTTAATATACCGATGTCCCCCAGTCTCAAGAACCCGAACCTCATCCCCAACATGAAGCATAAAAGCCTCTTGAGCAGGAACAAGCTGCATTCCAAGACAAGCGTTAGTCCGATCCCCATCATCAATACGTCGATATGCCTTCAACGTCCGATCCGGCTCGGCTTTATGTCGATCCCCAGACTCGGGATCAACGTTCGGCAACCGACACCGTACAGTCCGACACGAAGCATGGATCTCCGTTCCACCAATAGAAAGTCGCTTCCAGTGGTCTTCTGCAAATGCAGCGGGTCCTTGGATGATGATGTTTGCGCGGAAGCGGCGGATGCTTAGGCGTGGGATTGCGTAGGCGCAGCGTGCTGCTACGTCTCTATGGCTTGAGATGCTCAAGAGATGGATTGGGTAGGCGTCTGCGAAGGCTGTGTTGGGTTGGAAGCCTAGGTCTTCTTTGCGAGGTGCGTTGCGGAAGATTTGGCGGGTGTGTGGTGCGCTTGTGCGAAAGAGTGTTAATGGACTGGTTTTGGGGTCGAAGCCCATGTATGCGTGTAATGATGCTGGGAGCAGACATCCAAAATCGTGTGCCAGGGGATTGTCTTTCCAGATTCTGACTGGGACGAGTGGGAAGCTGGAGTCCTGTGGTGCATGCAATGGAACTTGGAATGTGTGGCGGCTGGCACAGATCTTGAGTGCCATGCCAATTTTCGTGGGAAGACCCTTCCATCCGGTTGGTGTCAAGCGAGGATACGATATCAGCATCACGCCGTCTGACTTGACTTCTGGCAGGTTTGTGTCATAGTCCGAGGCGGACGGGTCAGGAACCCAGATCTCAGGATGAATCAGGGCGAGACGGTTAAATCCTGCATTGCGCAAAGTTCGAATGTTCCATTCTCCTTTGCTGTACTCCGCAAAGACGAATTGCCTGTCGAATTCGAGTCCCGTAGGTACGACATTCGAAAGTTGCAGCTCGACTGCGCCACAGGATTTAAGGGGATAAGTAAACAGGGCTTTGACGCGCCATGATGGGCGACCCTGATCCTTCTGGTCATTAGGGAGGCCCTCGCTATACTTCGGATCGAATTCATCGTCTAGATTGCTCCGACCTGGCAGGAGTCCCAAGCGGCGACATCCTTTCGGACGGATCGGGGGTGTCTTTAAAATAAGATAAAGTGGTATAAAAGCGAGCAGAACAACTAAAACAGGGAAATTGACCACGGCCCCGAGGGCAATGTCGATTGTGGACATGGAGAGTCGTATGTAGTCAGATTGCAGGGATCAAAAAGCGGCAAAAAATCTCCCGATCTCGGATCTCCGTTTCAACACCTCATTCCATCACGAAACACAATAGAATATGGATTGAATATATAGAACTCGATACTTATTTCATTTTTTTACTACTTTCGAGCCTAGCTCTGCTCCCAGCTTGATGCGCCCACTATGACCGCCAAAAAGGACACACGCGATCTCGACACGTCCAGCGAGGACACGCGTCAGTAGCTCCCCAGTCCTTCAGTAACAAAAGATTCAAATACTAACCCATATCGACAGTTCCCCTGCTTTCAGCCCCAGCAACACAGACCTTCAGCTCGTCAGCCCACACCCGACTGCCGAACCGAATCGGAACGGGCGCGCGGCGTCTGGACGAGGCTTTAGATGGCCAGTTCAAGTTTCATCGGCGCCCTACCGGCATTGTGCGCGGCCAAATTACAGAAGTATGGGGACCGCCAGGGTCCGGGAAGACTTCGCTGGGGTCAGTCTCTTCTCATTCCCGCCAGAGTCCGAATCTAACCCATCAACAGGTTGAGCATTGCACGCAGTGCATTGCAGGATGGTGGCAAAGTAGTCTGGATCGGTATGTTCCCAGTTCCCAGAGCCATCTAGACAGTCAAACTCATACTGTCAGATACGAGTTCCCCCCTGCCTGCACCACGGCTTCAACAAATGGGAATGAATGTCAAAGACTTCGTTTATTTGCGCGCGCCGACGTTGCCGCATCTTCTCGCTCTTCTCGGGAAACCACCTAAGAACTTTCCACCAGTAGGAACAACCTTGATAGTCATCGACTCGGTGTCAAGTCTCTTCCAAGCGTATTTCACTGGCGCGTCAGAGCTCAAGGACCAGCTCGTACGCGGCAAAATCAAAGATAAGAATGAGCTACACTGGCTCCTCAATCGAAGATGGAATGTAACCAACGAGCTTTCTCTCTACTTGACTCGATTTGCTCTGAAGAGGATTGCCGTGTTGGCTCTTGATCAGACTCACACGAAGATCAAGGGACAGGTTCGTGCTACTCTAGGGCCTACCGTCTGGGGTGGTGGGTGGGAAAAGAGTGTCTTAACGCGTGTCGTGATCTATCGTGGTAAGCGCGGTGAACGCTTTGCGGAGGTTACCAAGCGTGGGGGCAACTTTATACCCAAGAGTGGAAGGTTGGTAGTTCGGTTTCGGATTGAGCGGGTATGTCGTTTCTCAAATGTTATAGGTCTTTGCTAACTTAACCAGGACGGCTGCCATGATGATAAACCATCGGGGATTTCCATCCGACGAAACCTCCCTGCGCGGACTCCTGTGATTCGACCTTCCAATGCGCAAGGCCATATCTTTCGGTCTCCGAAGGCACCAACTCCTTCTCCATTATCGCCAGCACTGCCCTCTTCAAAGCTGCAAAATCCCAGGTCACCGCTTCACAGATCACCATTCCCCAAATCACCACTTACCAAATCAAGACTCTCCACATCAACACTCCCCGATGAACCATCTAACCCCGTACATCCGCCACAGCCCGCACCGACACCGAAGAAGCGCAAAGTGGAAGAAGTAGCGGACAGCCAGGACGAATTATCGGAAGATGATTTCGCAGACGAAGAGTTCCCCTGAAAGACGAATACGAACAATTCATGAGTCATGCATTATCAAAACAAACAGCATATTAGCTACCAACTCTCATAATTCATCATACGCTCAGAGCTTCCACAAAGACTCTCCTCTGAACGATCCTCGCTCCATGCGACTCAGCCAAGAAATCCTTCGGTTCAGTCTCCTCACACTGCGGATCCTCACTTCGATCCGGCGTTCCAATGGGCCGCTGTATCGTGCAAAGAGGCAGTGTATCGGCGATAGTCACAGAAATCGGATGTCGGGATCCCTGAATGAGATCAACCAATCGACCCAGCACTGCAAACTCCAGTTTCAACTTGAGCGAGTATACAAACCCCTTCAGGGTAATCTGCACAGCATAGAAATTGGCGTATTCCAAACTCAGCAGGACAAGATCCATGATCATAATCGCGCAGTTTATCCCGATCAGATGGTACATTATCGTCCTCGAATCCGGGCGCGCAGAAACATCTGCCCCGAGTCGCAGTAGCTTGACCGTTTCAATGACATACAATGTCGACAGCAAACCCTCTTGCAATGTAAACCCCGTCAACTGAATCTTCTCCATGATGTTATACCCCTTGACCCAAGACATATCACCACTATGAACTATATTCGCGCCGTACGTCAAAATCGTAGTAGGAATATGCAACAGGAAGAAATTCAAAATGATAAGCCGAAGTACTCGTCGCAGGACACGTTCATCCCGGAGAACGAGATGCAGTCGCGAATACAGAACCACCGATTGGCCTGTGACCATTGTCCACCACCCGATTGTCAAGACCGTCACTGAGAGGACGGAGTCGGTCTGTGTGAAGAATTTTATCAGGAAGCCGATTGAGTATGGCACTACGCCTATACAGCCCGAGGCGAGGAGAGACCAGAAGTATAGACCGCGCCAGCGGCGGAAGGTGGCTAGGACTAAGACGACTAATTCGGCGACGTTGTAGCAGGATAGGCCGATGAATGTTACTAGGATCATTTGGAGGATGTTGCCTTCTCTTGCTAGGGCGCCCGATATTCCGTCTAGGAGGTCCTGTGGGACGGACATTTTGGTTGGATTGGTGGGAGGGTCATCCCGTTTGGTATGTCCACATAGTTGGTCTAGGAGGGAGAGTTGAAGAGGGGAGAAAGGAGGACAAAAGAAGTATGGACTAGTCATATGGGAAATGCAACTCCTGCATATGGCTTGGACTTGTCTGTGCGCACGCGTAATTGTGCGTCAAGAAGGAAACTTGGAAATGAATGGGAGTCCTTATGGTGCCACAATCCGGGGTTATTGTTTAGTTAGATCTTCCAGCTAGGGGGCGCTATGACTTGGTATTTCCACATTGACAGGGATGTCTCGGGGAATTTGCTTAGGCAATCACCCGTTGCAGTTTGGACTTGGACAAATAAAGATTTCATTTGAGTCTACATGTGAATTATGGCTCTCATAGGTTGGTCAGGTAGTCCTCGATCTGCTCCTTGGTCAACTTGCGGAATCGCGGTCCCTGAGCGCCCTCAACTCCTTCAAAGCCCAGCAGATGGTCCGCTGGCGGGCCGACAATGCCTGAAAGAGATTAGCTAATGTTGACAGGGGAACTGGGAACAGAACTCACCAATTTCTATCGTGTCACCATTCATCTCACCCTCAATCGTCTCCTTGAGCGTCAACAGCGCAATGTGAATGGCATCCTCCAGCTCCAGCCCTTCGGTGTACCGCTTCTCGAGGAAAGTCTTGGCGCTCGTTGCGTGTTTACCGATGGCTGTGGCTTTCCACGGGTAGTAGCTGCCGCTGGGATCGACCTGATACAGACTGGGACCACCCTTGTGAATACCGCCGGTCTTGGTGGTTGGCTTCTCCTCGGAGTCGTCCTTCTGTGCCTCTCCCTCTGGCTCAACACCCTCGTCCCAGCCCGCAATCAACAGACTGACACCGTAAGGACGAACACCACCAGATTGAGTAGCTTCCTGCACCACACGAGCGACATCTTGCACCAGTATCCGAGTGGGAGGATATTCGTTGTAGATACGCTTGTAGCCTGTGTGGGAGACCTTGCGTGCCTTGTCAACCAGAACCCGGTAATCAGGGCCCATACCGGCGTAGACCATGCCGATGTCGGGAGTGACCAGGGAAATCTTGGACAGCGAGGGGGGATCGATCAGAGGCGATGAGGACTTCTTCTCAGTGGCGAGGACAATTCCGTTTGTAGCTGTTCTGGCGGTCAGCTTGGTCTAGTAGGGGAGAGCTGGGAGCTTACCTTTGATACCGAGGGCGGTAACTCCCTGGTTGACTGCGTTCAAGGCATATTCTATTTTTATTAGTATGGATCCAAAGGATCAGGATGATGGTCGCGTCTTACCAATCTGCACCAGCTTGCCGCTGTGATGGAGCTGGGTTAGCTTGGTGTCAATTCCACGGGACAAGTGATCCTTACCTGGGAGAGAATGTCGTCAAAGAGAAGGAGTATCGGTCCGCCATATTTCACTGTAAACTGCAACACAACAGGAAGAGATGGAAAAAAGACAGAAAGGGAGCTGTCCACAGGTGTTGTAGGCAGAGATGGGTGACGTTTGGCGTAGAGCTGGAAGGCGGTGACCCGATTGGGGTTAGCCGTGGGGGTTGGGAACACTTGGGCTTTTCTGCTTTTCTTTTCTTTCTCTTCACTGAGATCTCTCTCTGAACACTTCCCCAATGTGAGATCAATGGCAGACTCTGAACAGCATTACCCTCCTAGGGTCTGTCGCATCTGTCTAGAAACTGTATTGCCGACCTTTCAGCCCTCAGAATTCCTGCAGAAGCCTCGAGTGGTGTACGAGTCCTCTGACCCAGAGCTTGGCCGTCTCTTACGTCCCTGCCATTGCAAAGGCTCCTCGCGTTATGTCCACGAGGGTTGCCTGCAATCATGGCGCCATGCCGACCCTAAGTACTCGACGAGAAACTTCTGGCAATGTCCGACCTGTGGCTTCCAGTATCGCCTAGGCCGTTTGACCTGGGCACGATGGATCAGTAGCGCATCCATGCAGCTATTCCTCACGATCGCCATCCTTTTGTTTACCGTATTCATCCTTGGATTCATTGCTGACCCCATCATTGACTTTTACCTCGGCCCGGTGGATGTCTACGAACTAGTTGATGATTCCTCTTGGTTGGAACACTTCATCAAAGGACTGACCTCGCTGGGCTTGTTGTCACTTATCAAGGCCATCTTTGCATTATCACCTTTCCCTTGGAACATGCGCTCTGTGGTTACCGGCCGTAATGGAGGCCGCAACCGAGCTGCCCAACTGAATTGGCTAGTGATTCTGGTTGGCGTTGGTAGTTTCCTCTGGGTATGTTCACGGGTATCATAAGTTGAACTATCTGGCTTAACTAACCGATACAGGCTGTCTACAAAGGCGTCCGGTCATGGAGTAGACGCACCCTAGAAAAGGCGGGCGAGAGAGTCATGGATGTGCCACTCCCCGACGACGAGGAAGTGGAGGAAGATAGCAAGCAAGACTGAAAACTCGCACTACTTAAGTTGCCGTCTCCTCTGCCCCATGAGATGTCGATTAGTCAATGTGCGAAGAACATTACTGTCTTCAATACTCCTGGGTGTCTACCTGAGAAGCAGGTGAATGGCCTTGGGAACGTCTTGTTCCTGAATAATTCGCTGCTTCATTCATCAGGAAGCCCCTTGAGGAAGACAGTCCGTGGCTCAATTGTATGACAGCGTACTGACCATCGAGTCTGACTTGGTAACGCTTTCGGATTGAGTGATGGGAAATGATAGTTAATGGAGCTCCTGCCTTGTAATTTTCTCTTCTTCTCCTAATATTTTCCTTCCTCGCGATATTCCTTTTCTCTAATATCGTGACAACTAAACTCTCAATATGGATATGGACTCATCTGGAATTCATCTCGCTGAAGTTCGATCGCAACTCGCGATGGACTCTGACTCCGACACGGATACCACCGTCACCCCTAAGAAAGAGCCATTCCCCGACTTTGACGGGGAACTGTGTGTCCCAGATCTTAACAACAGACATGAGGCCGCGTGGACCTACGCCTTCGGCAAGGCTGTCCAGAATGACATTCGCACTCGCTATGTGGACCCCTTCATCACCCCCCATAACCCCGGCGAACCATTTACACGCAACCACATCCTCCTCGAGGCTATCAAGGACCTCCTCGCTGACCCACAGATGCGCGAGACTACCCGCCAGCAGTTCATCATTCTGATTAACCACACTCTCCATTTGCACGAGGTTGTCTTCCACCACAGTGATAAATTCCTTGACACGAAGGAGACTGTGGAGGCGAAGGTGCTTGCGGAGATTATTCTCAGCTACATGGTCTGGATGGACGGCAGGTTGCGTGACCAAGTTATCGCCGCTGAGCAGGTTGCCGTTGTGCTTGACCAAGTGTCCAAGGAGAAGACGACTATCTGTGAGCGATACTGTCGCATGACCACTGTGGTTTCTGCGTAAGTTCATCGTTTCAAGTTCAAGCTTTGCTCTTTGATACTAACAACTGCAGTCACCTGAAGAAGCCTCGTCCCCTGGAACGCCGTCTACTCGCTCTCTTCCTCGAAGTCTATGAAGCATGGGTCCACAATACCTTCCTTCGTCAGCGCAACTGCCAAATCCTCGCAGAAGGCCTTCCTGTCCCCGGTCGAATTGACCTGTCGCGTCGGATCATTGCCATCTGGGACGTGCTGACTCGCTGCATTGAGAGTTACTCACTTTACACCTGGGCCACTCGCACCATTCGGGCTAATTACTTTGCACCGGCCATGGATTTGTTGTCTGACACCCCAGATATCTGGCAGCAATGCTGGGACAAGCGCTCGACTATTCAACATCGTCGGTCTATCCATCCTGGGCAGTTTGAACAACCCTTGAGCGGTCAGGCTGTGAATATCCCGCAGCAATTCGATAATACGGAGGAGCAGCGTTCGACCAACGGTCAGTCTACTCCAGTTGCAGAGCTGGAAGTTGCCGAAGCTTGAAGCACTCTCTGGGTGGTCTGGCCACTGACCAAAGCTACTGACTACAACTACAGCCAAAGTTGTTACAAACCTTCCAAGATACTCTTCAAGATATCCACAGGATGACAGCGACGCCGGAGAGCAACGGCATGACCCACTAATCGATAACTCAGCTCTGAGAAGACCTGCGCTACCGAGAACGAATACTTTTCATATCTACCTGTCAAATGTAATACCCAGATGCAGCGTATCAGCAACATAGCAGAATAATGAATTCAATTCAAGCTAGTTCCATCCTCTTCAAGCTTCACTATCCTTGTAAGCACCCAACTTGAACAACTTCTTAGCATTCTCCCGTCCAATCTTCAACCGATTGGTATTCGACATCTCCGCATTATCAAACCAGTCACAACCATCCTCAAACGTCTCAAAAGGATAATCAATCGAGAACAAAATCCGATCCGCACCTACCTCCGCCAAACAAAAGTTCAACGTAGTAGTCGAAAAGTGCCCGGAAGTAGTAATCCACAAATTATCCGCGAAATACTCCCGAATCGTCCTCTTACACGTCTCCGCAAGCCCAAGCACCTTCTTCCGATCCTCAAACCAATGATTAATCCTCCACATATCAAACGGAATATGTTCCCCAAGATGCCCAAGAATAACCTGCAACTTGGGATGTCTATCAAAAACACCGTTTGTCACCATCCCCAGCACATGTAGACTAACACCCTGCGCAAATGACAGCGGTGGCCCGATTAGCCATTTCCGATCGGCCCATAGTTTCTCGTAGATTGTTCCGGTTGGATTGCGTGGGTGGAGGTACAGGGGTACGTCTAGTTCTTCGCAGGTAGACCAGAACACGTCCCATTTGGCGTTGTCATAGAAGATCATGTCGTCACCGTCTGGGCCGGCGCGTTGTGTGTCGTTTACTAGTGCGCCTAGGAAGCCGTGCTGGGTAACGCAGCGACGGAGTTCGGTGGCTGCTTCTTGGGGATCGTGCATGGAGAGGGTGCTGTTTTATTGTTAATTTGTTGTTGGTCATTGATATTATGTAGAGTGTGTAGAGGGTGTAGAGAGAACTCACGCAAAAGCAGCAAATCGATCAGGATGCGCTTTCACCTTCTCGGCGATATAATCATTGATCTCAACAGCGAGAGCCTGGGCATCCTTTGCATCCCAGATATCTTGGACACCTGGCGCGGTATAACTGAGGATCTGGAGACCGACGCCGTATTTCTCGGCGAAGTCTAGGCGGATTGGACCGACATCGTTGATTTCTGCTGTGTGTTTCTCTGTGTCTGTGGCGAACATCCCTGCCCACCATTTGGTCTTTTCCGCGAAGCGGGGGAGCGCGAAGGCTTCTTCGAGGGCGATTTTGCCGAGCATGGTGTAGTGTGGACGGTGATGGGAAGGTGACGGAGATGGAGGGGAGATGGGTGATCTGGATGTATCTGGTGATGAACTATTTTATATCACTCCGGGGTCCCCGCACTTCGGAAGCTATAGAATACCGTGTAGCCGTTAAGCGTTCGAACTATGCGCTTCGGATGAGGTTATCCGACGACCCGACGGGGGCGGTCCGCTACTGCGGCTCGGGGCGGCCGGGGTAAATTTATATCACTTACTTCACACTTATTTGTACTAACGCGCAACAGGCCGCAGAGCAATTCCATGACTCGGTAGATTTCTCTTTGCCGACAATACCCCTCGCAACTAGGTGGCGGATATACTCTATAGTCCACACTTGACAGCACTTGTTACTGATCTAGAGTCTTAGCTCATTAGGTTTGGAACAATGCTATATTACTCACATCATTTACAGGAGCCATGAAGTTCATTCTGACTGATTCCCGGAGTAGGAATCTGGGCTGCTGCAAGCTCGATATTCCCTCGCGGGGTTGGGTCGATGCGTGAAGGCATGTCGGTTGAGCAGTCGATTATGTGGGGGGAATGAACCTCGCCGATTGGGAAGAGCTGGCCGTGTGGCTCCATACTCACGTTACAGTTTCGTTTGAATACTAGGACTTAGCCTGCCATAGGAGCGCTGACGGTGTGGATCTTGGTTCCTTTCTCTCAAGATTGAGAAGTTGGCTAGCTGGAAAGTGGTGTTGCGAGCAGAGATTAGGTAGATAGTTCTTGTGCCCATTTTGTATCTGGTGTCTATATAGGAGGTAGGTCTAAGAGTGTATCTCAAAGGATGAGGTTCTAAGCGCTGATGCCTGGACCTGTCACATCCATCCCGAATTCAAATTGGACCCAAATAGGGTGAAGTACATGACATGTATTGATATATTACAAAAGTTCTATTCGTAGATGTTCTATCTGCTATATTTGTGTCTTTCTTCCTCCCGGCTTACTACGGGGAAACGCATTTTATTTCCCAGGCCGCTTTTCACAACGGTACAGTAGGTCGGCTGGGCTCTTGAGGGTTATGCGACGGGCGGATGTACGTCTATTACTCTTATTATATACTGCGCATTCATCCCGACATGAAATGTGACAAATCCGAACTGGGCAATTCGCCATGCGAAGAACCCTGATGCACCATGGAGATCAACATCCCCAACACAGCAAACTCCATCTTGAGTTTGATACTATAAACCAACGCCTTGAAGATGATCTGCGTAAAATAAAGGCCCATATACTCCAGGACTAGTAGCGCGATATCCATGCAAATCGCTGCGATATTAATCGCGAGCAGCTCGTACAGGATCTTATGTCGTTTCATGTCTTCGTGCGGACTCATCCGGATTACACCGATTGTTTCGTAGATGTAGATACCAGAGATGAGGGTTTCTTGCGCGGAGAACCAGGTGAGCTGTGATTTTTCGACTATATCAAATGCGCGCACCCAGGTCGATGAATGGGAAAAGTATTCGGAGGCGAAGTTGAGGGTGACGGTTGGAATGACAAGGATGGCGGTGTCGACTATGATGAGCCATTTCAAGAAGCGGAGGAGGCGGTAGTTGGTTGATATTAGATGGAGGCGGGAGTAGAGGACTACCGATTGTGTCGGGACTAGCATTATGAAGCCGATATTCGCAAGGAGAAGGCTTAGCCATAGCGGTGTGAGTTCGAAGAATTGAAATGAGGTTCCTAGGCTGGTCGGGATGATGCCCAATACGGCTGATAGGAGGAGCGACCAGAAGTAGAGACTGCGGTATGTCTTGAAGCTCAGTGGGATGAGGATCATCAGCTCCAGCGCGTTGTATAGGGCGATCGAGATGAAGACTATTGCGGCGATGCTTTTGGCTTGGTTGTCGCCGATAAGGGATGGATGTTGCTGGAACGAGCTCGACATGGTAGGGGGTGCATGCTTGCTTCTTGCCTGGGGGTATCCTCGGCCTGAGGATGAGTGAAGAGGTTATAAATCTGAAGAATACGCGAACATGCGATATATTGAGGCGATGCGCCACGAGTCGCGATCTATGGTTTCGTAACGTCACCAACGTCACCACACCCAATGAACATTCCGGGGTTCATTTCCCCACTAATTTAATTGAACGCGATGATAGGCTCAGCCTGAAACGCCAATATGTATCCACGGTATTAGAGCCGAATGAACCACTTTCTAATTGGCTCAAAGATAATAAGCTTCAAGGAGATAGGAATCGCGGGGAACGTCCGATTTAGATACTATGGAACTGTCTATGAGTGGTCAAGGACCTAGATATTATCTCGATTTCTTCTACGCTGATTTGGCAACAAGCTTGATTCCACACTTTTCCATGGGTTGACAGGCCGCAGAGCTCCAATCCGGAACCGGGGGACCTTGAATCTCCATGGTGATCCCATACCTCATTAAGACAGAAGAAACCAAAAGTTTCAGACTTAGAGTTCCGAGTCTTTGGCCCTTGCACGCGTGTTTCCCGGCGCCCCAGCCAATAAATTCTCCCTGGAATTCCCGAGAGGGGTCCCAGCGCATTGGATTGGGGTAATCGTTGGGGTTGATAGATGTATCTGAGAACGGGTAGACAACTGAAGCCCCTGAAGGGATGGTGTAGGGTCCAATTGTTATTTCTGGGCCGACGTTCTTTCGTATTGCTGTGTAGGGTTGGGCGATGCGTAGGGTTTCGCGGATACAGAGATCCAGTATGGGGGTTTCGGTTTCCCAGGCTCTCAGGGGTATTGATGAGAGGGTTTCGGTCTGAGTTTGGCCAGGGATAGAGGCGGCATGTGTTGAGATCAGAGTTTCGATCTCTTTTTGAACAGCGACAGACCAGTGCGGATCAGAGGAAAGATACATGATCAGCCATGTTACTGTACAAGATGAACTATTAGTTTGTGCTTTCCGCCATTTCTATGAAGGTCAATGTACCTGTAGTTCCCATGGCACGTGCTCCAGCTAGAGAGAGACCTAGCATGAACTATAGAGACTATTAGACTCTGATCCTTGAATCTTTGATCCTCCCATACATACCCCGAATATATGTACTGTACTCTCCCCATCATCCAGCATCTGCTGGAGGGCATCTCTTCTCTGAATTCCACTTCTTTTTCTCTTGTGGATCTCTTTTTGAATAATTCCGTATAGGCGAGCAGAAGATAAAATCTTGCGAAGCGAAGAGGCACTGGGTAGCCATGGAATTTGACTTTCGAACGTATTGGAGGCCGAGTCGACAATATCAACAAGTGGTTTTAGACGCGATAAAAGTGATGGATCATCGGCTATATCGAAGGAAGCAGGGCGCATGACCATTTGAAAGGCAACCTGTAACAAGAACGTTACTGTCAACTTCATCTTCGACCATCATGTAGAGTAGAAATACCTCATGGAATGCAGAGCACGGATCGAGGATAGCTTGAGTCCCCCACGAATCCATCTTTTGTTGGCAATCTGACAGTAATAATGGAATCACTATATGCAATATAAGTCAATGGCTCTTTTTAATGTTATTCAAATGAATCTAAACCCACAAAACTGCAAGTTATCTGATTTTTGAATAGAACTCATCCGTCGGACAACACCATTGACCAGGTGCGGATCAAATTCTGATGAGATCTAGGAAAGTCAAAACCATCAGTAAATGGGATGTAAGATTACTTTGAGAGCACTCACACTACCAAATAGACCCTGAAACGTCTCGTATAGATGTAAATTCTTTTCTTTGAAGAAGATGCGTCGACCTTCTTGTCCAGATAGAACAATACGTTTCGGCTGGGACGGTCTAAGCTGGGATATAAAAGATAATACAGCCCCAGAACAGTCTCTCATGAGTCCGAAACACTTGTTAAGTGGATCGGAGAATAGCCGAACAGAGCTTAGTGACTGTACGCATGGACTGCCTTCCTTTCTCATCAACAGTGTCGGTTCGTATAGTACTTTATACAGCACGGATAGGACCACAATGATCATGGAGGCAAAGGTACCCAAGTCACCGAGTATAAAATCTAGGGAGTCACTGCACGATGCAGCTCCTAGCCGTGCTAAGGTGCTTTGTAACATATTGTGAAGAGAGAATAGAAACAGAATGCGTGATCTCAAGATTGGATCGAAAGAACGCTCAAGCCCTTTTTATATCACGAAAAGGCCCCAAAAGGAACGCCTGGACGCCTGGATAACCCATACCTTCTTCGAGAAACTTCAGGCTTCGGTGTTGCAATGAGCCCATCTTCATCTTCTACTAAGCCTCTCATGATTGCCTGCCTTAACGCCTCGGTATCATCCAAGGAAACCAGCTGCATAGCCAAGGAAACGCCGGACCCGCTAAGATTCTAAGCCTCTCAACAACGAACCTATCCTAAAAAGCTTTAACTGTTGGAAGAAAGCCGCAGATTTAAGCCATGTTGGCTGCTCAGCTAAGGCCGTCCAATCGGGATTTATTATATTAATATATTGCATTACTTAAATCAAATCTGATGGGAGATACAAAAGCCGTTCATGTAAGTTCGCTTATCGTATGCATGTCAGAACCTGAAATAAGTCCCCGATCACCAACACACGCTTTGGTTGTAATTTGCGCCTCTCATGCACCTGTGAGGTTAGCATGTCACCAAATTCTCGCTGGAGCTTTTACCAATGACCATCTCGTCTTACTCGTTAGAAGGATTAGTGGTCCCATAAATAGCTCGGCTGATGCTCGCCTAGATTGCGGCTGAAATAAAGCGTTCGATTGACTCACGGTTCGTATTATGTAATAATAACAATAGTAACTTAAAGATCTCGATCTCAAGTGACCTATAAGAAGCCATACATTCCAACAGTCAGAAACCAACAGTTTGTTCGTGGTCAATTTCTCATAGGGCAGGTTTTGATTCTGTAGCCGCTCCCATCGTCCCCTTGCATTGCCGGATCAGCCACCCTGCATGCCGAACTATTAACTAGTACATGATTGGAGATATCTCCGAGATAAATTGTGAGCAATAGGCGGGACGGGACGAGCCTCGACCAGGTGATTCTGTGTGATATTTAGTACAGCTTGCGGGGAGACTGGTGTAGTGCACGCCACGCGCTAGCTCTTTTCGGCAACTAATCCATTCAATGGAATCCTTAGGATATTACTAAGTATAATCGTAGTAGTACTTGCTTTGACTATGTACCATTTTATTTGTCCCATTCGGCCTTCAGGTAAGTTGATTTATATTTACTATTTAGCCAGAAGCGGCTGGTATTGTCTCCCTGAGAAATAGCCAGTCCAAAGCGCGCGCTGGCAAACAAACGAAACAGAGGTGAATCCTTTAATCCCCTTTATCATGGCTTCGATGCCGTCTCATTCTCTTCTCAGGACAGCTTCAGCCCACAACAGTATGACGTGACAAAGTTATGAACAAAAGCAGGTACAAAAGGGGAAAAAAAGGTAAGATAATTACCCATTTTCAGAACCAGACATGTCTGGAGCAAAAACACAATAAGCGGAAACTGACCCCCAACGGATACTGACAAGCAGCATGGTTTCACCAAATCGCTGATATCATGAAATTTCTAATTTGTCTGGATAGCCCTACTACTGGGCGCAGTTCGTCTTAAGAACAAAATCTGAGAACGATACCGCCAACGAATCGAACTCGCGACCTTCCTCAGATTCCCTGGTGGGCTTCGCCGCATAAATTCCCACATCGATTTCTTGAAAGGCACCACCACTGAAAGCCCATGTCACTTGTCTGAGCACCCGCCTTTGGGCGCCTTCAATCACATAAACCCATGCGTATGAAGTATCTCGCTCAATTTCTATTGTCACCGTGCCATTTCCGGCTGAAGTGTCGGTAACGGGACTCAAGCTCCAATCAGACAGGCGATCCGTGGCCACAACACCAAGATTAGGATGGCCATCAGCATACTCGATGCCAGCTTTGATCCATCTCAATGGTCCTTCTTCCAAAGGAAAGGTTATTACAAGGCCACCCTGGTCATAGAGGGTCTTCCAGGCAGCAGTAATGGTCACACGGACAGACTCAAACTCTGAGGCTCTGATTGTGGTATAAAGATATGGCGCAGTGAAATTGTCTTTGACAGGTTCTGCCCTCCAGATGTCGGTATCAGGAGGAGCTTTGATGGTGACCTTGTTCGCAATGGGTGATAGGGGTTTCTGGTTGTAGTTGATGTAATTCCAATCGAAACTTAAAGCGACTTGAACAAATAGCGACGAGATAAAAATTGGTTGGAAAAACCTCATTTTGGATTAACAAAGGCGGATCGGGTCAATAGATTTAGGAAGAAAATTGGGTATGAGGAGTTGGACTTTATGTGAGCGGATAAGAGGACTTATATACTAATTCGTTTCTTCGTATTCAAGCGTCTGGAATGAGCACAGGTCAAGTCAGTGAAGTCCAATAATTTCTGGGGCATGCCATGGCTTCACCGAGAACTGAATTACGTGCTTCATGCACTGCCTTTGACTCATGCTTACTGCGGAAAGCTAACTGATACGCAGAAAATGAGAGCGCTACTCCACTTTTCATGTCCCACCTTCCACGTTAGGTATTTACAATATTTACAAGTCTCGTGCTTCTCATCGCAGCCAAAGGCCTGACATTGCGCCCAGTCTTTATTTTCGGCGTCGTAATATGATCTGAAAGCCAATTCCGCCAAATCAGCATCGGTGCTAAATCATCACTACTTGAACGGGGTGATTGTTTGATCATGGTGTATATCAACATTGTTCCGCAGTCACCCATCCTGCCGGCTAAACTTCGGCCTGGCAACCGTCCTTGCAGCCACGAAAAAGTAAGAATGATGCGAGGTGGTCCGTGTTTCCCTTTGTTACTAAAGATTTTAAAATTGGCGATCAAGCCGAGGTACAGTAGTTCCGGAAATCGGTGTCACCACCTACACTCTTTCGTTATTTCTCGAACCCTGATGCCAGAAGAGCAACCTATTTCCGGCGTAGTCTCAAAATACCCCTGGATTCTAGGCCTTGTATCGTAGAATACCGCATTATTGTATGAGACGAAACTTTGTTAATTACCTGTCATACCAAGACAGCGACTACATACACCTCGATACCCCACGACCAGGGTTCCCAACACAAGTCTTTCTCTACAACTCACCATGATCGTGGCGCGCTGAACCATGACACCGAATCTTGCTAAACCTACCCTTGAGCTTATCCACGACATGATTAGTAGTGGTGAGCTAACCACCTCCCAGATGGCTCAAGCTACTGGTTGCAGCAAACGCGCAATTTTCAGGATCCGGTCGAATCTGCGGTTATTCGGCACCATCAAAGTTCCTCCCATCAAAGCTGGACGGCCGCGAAGTATCACACCGGCCATGTTAGAGGCATTGTGCGACCATCTTCTTGAGAAACCGGATCCATATCTTTCTGAGGTGGAACTGTTTTTCCTAGATGAATTCGACGTATCCATTCCTAAATCCACGATCAGCGACGCCCTGCATCGAAAAGGGTGGTCGAAAAAGACTACTCGACAAAAAGCCAAAGAGCGGAATGCGGACTTGCGTGATGATTAAAGTCATCTAATTTCAGAGTTTTCCTCATACCACTTGGTCTCGTGGATGAATCTGGGTGTGATAGGCGGATAGGGTTTAGACGAACGGGCTGGTCTCCTCTTGGTACAAGACCGGTCTAAGCATCTAAATTCCATCATGACCAGCGATATCAGATACTTCCTGCATATGCCCAAGATGGTATTATTCTCTCTCGAGTGTTTCAAAGTCAGCTAATACATCCGTCTTTGAGGACTTTATTGAGCAACTTCTCTAGCATCGCGGGAAGTGGCCAGAGCCGAAGTCTGTAATAGTCATGGATAACGCATCCTTCCATCACTCCGAACGGATCGAGCAGATGTGTTCAGAAGCGGCGGGTGTGAAGCTAGTGTTTTTGCCTCCGTATTCTCCAGACTTGAATCCGATCGAGAAGTTCTTTGCTGAGCTCAAAGCCTTTATTCGTCGGAATTGCCAGTCGTACGAAAACAACCCGGGCCAAGGATTCGACACCTTCCTTGAATGTTGGGTTGACACGGTTGGTGCAAGAGCTATGCGCGCAGAGGGACATTCCCGTTACGCGGGTCTGACCGTGGAGGATATAACGTTATAGCATAGGTACCAAAGCAAAGTTTAATATCCTGTAGATCAACTTGGACGACTACTCTACATCGCCTTATGAGTCGTTTTTGACAGCATAAAAACAAGATAATCTTTGTATAGCTGACGATTGCATGATCTTGTCACAATCCCCCTAGGCTCTGGCTCTGACTACTACGAAGAAAATAAAAATCGAGATTCCCTTGTTTCATCTAGAGAATTGTTTGCAAAACAACGGACAGACGATACTGTAATTGAAGAACAGTCTATGCGATTTCGAGTTTATACTATTTCATATCTTAAGTCGGTCGTGTGTTCCTTGTTGTTTGGAAGAGAGGATGCTTGTTCTGTTGGGGTTGGCCAAGTGTCCGAATCCATCAATCAGCGTTCGAAGGATCAACGATGACTAAGCTAGACCGACCCACGGTAACTAACTAGGTGGTGCGGGAAAGTCCGTAAGCTTGGACAATTCCCGCCCGGCCAAATTAGTCTGGGTTCCAAGACCGAAGGTGGTTTCAACTGGACAACCAAAGATGCAAGGACCGAAAGAGCGCAAACATAAATATATAGTATGCTGCTGAATTTATTCCCCGAGAGTCTCTATCCATGTGAAAAAGGGGAGTCAAGAAGTTCAGTCTGGTTCAGAATGGCCATGCTGTCCACAAGGAAAGTGGATATTCAGAGACCCCTGCGTCTTCCAATCATTTAGCAAAGATGGCTAGCTATGACTAGTGGGCAAGCAGTCAGATCTTTTATCATTTGACCACGCGGCCCGTAACTTGTGGGAATGGTGGAACCGGACATCTGCCCCTCCCCAGCCTGATTTACTCAGAATAGCGTCTCGTTTCTTCTAACCAAACACCGAGAGTCAGCCACCGGAAGAACTTCTTTTTACGAAATATGCCCAAACGTCTGAAAAAGTTATTTCCTTCATTTCACAGGCACAAGGATGTTGGGAAAGCGGAAGCCCAGATCAATCAAGCAGAAGACCAAAAAGATAACACGAACATCGCTAGACCGCCGACTTACAGCCAGCCAGCAATCCAACTACTTCAGTCAATCGAAACCTTCCAGCCAAAAGACCTGTGGCAAGCTGCGTATGACCAGCTCGATGAGAAGCAGCAGCAGATTTTGTTACGCACACAGAGCTCTCCCGAATCAAAGGGAAAGAAAGCTGGCTCGAGAGAGCTGATCGACGAGATCATCCACGTGACAAAAGTGCAATACGAGGCGTATCAGCAGAAGTCAGATAATACACTCCGGAGAACTTCGCGGAAGATCATCGATGCGTTACTTTCCTATAAGGAAATCATTGGTGCGGTTGCTGGACTTGACCCCACACAACATGCAGCCAGTGCTTGGGCGGTCGTGTCGCTTGGTTTGAAAGTATGTATTGCTAAAAATTTAAGACAAGCTAGTTGCTTATTGTTTGACTGGTATCGTAGATTACCCAAAACCACCATGATGCACGAAATGCATTGTTCGAATCATCGGAGTACCTGGCCGATATCATTACACAATGCGCCTTCATCGAAAAAAGATTCTACCTTGATGGCGATTCAGATATTCGAGGTCATGTGGAAACCGCAATAATCAAACTTTATAAGGCTATTCTGCACTATTCAGGACAGATTCGGAATTCCCAAGAGCATGGCGTCGGAAAAAACCTCTCGGACTGTTTCACTGCCATTACTGGGCATCCACTTACGGAGCTCAAGACCTCAGTCGAAAAAGAAAGAGACAATGTGCGCCGGTGGACCGAGCTTGGTGGATACTTGCACCATGAAAAGGAGGCAGAAAATATTCTTCTCAAAATCGATGAGCTTAGCGAATCCCTGAAGCTTCTTTTGGAACAGTCTAGCCTTATGCATCTACATGTTGTGGAGGGAGCATTATATGACTCTCACATTCATGAACATGAGGATTTTTGCCTTCCAGGGACCAGAACCGAGCTTCTGTCCCGTATTACGGATTGGGCGAAGTCCGATGATAAATTCATTTTTTGGTTGAATGGGATGGCGGGAACGGGGAAGTCTACCATTGCACGCACAGTTGCACAAGGGTTCAAAGAACGAGGACTGCTTGGTGCCAGCTTTTTTTCAAGCGGGGCGAAGCCGACCGTGGTACTGCATCATACTTGATAACCAGTATCGTGGGACAGCTGGTAACTAGACACAGGCAACTGGTGCCTGAAGTCTTGAGTGCCATCAAGACTGATCCGCGGATTACATCGAAGTTTCTGAGAGATCAATTTCACCAGCTTCTCTATCAGCCTCTTCTGAAGCTGCAACCCGACCAATCCACCACGATTGTGATCGTTATTGACGCCTTGGATGAATGTGATAGGGATGATGATATAAAACTCATACTTCATCTCTTCTTCAGATTACAAGAAATTCAGTCTGTGCGCTTGCGAGTAGTTTTGACAAGCAGACCTGAACTTCCAATCCGTCTAGGTTTCTTGAAGGAAGACAACTATCAGGACCTAGTTCTCCATGAACTTCCTGCTCCAGTAATCGAACACGATATTCGCGTATTCCTAGAATACAAGCTTTCAGCAATACAACGCGAACACTCACTTCCCTCTGACTGGCCTGGGAATAAAAGACTTGAGCAACTGGTGCAGATGGCTCTACCTTTGTTCATTTTTGCAGCCACTCTTTGCCGCTTCGTTGGGGATGAAGACTGGTTTCCGGAAGAGCGTCTTACAGCCGTTCTTCAAGATGAAGCAACAACATCGACATCAGATATGGATCGGACATATCTACCAGTACTGCACCAACTCCTTAACGCGAAAAACAAGAAGGATTTTGAGCGACTCTTACAAGAGTTTCAGGATATTATCGGCGTGATTGTTCTTTTGGCCGTCCCTCTCTCAGTTGTCACTCTTGCGCAATTGACTGGGATACCCGAGAATAAGATTGTCAATCGATTAAAGAGATTTCACTCTGTTCTGAGTGTCCCAGCGGATCTCGAAGCACCGGTTCGCGTTCTGCATCTTTCATTTCGAGACTTCTTAATCCATACAGAAGGTGACTTTCATATCAATGAAAAGAATACACATCGACAAATAGCATTAAACTGTCTACGCGTCATGGACACTCGGCTCAGGCACAATATCTGTGACCTAGCAAGTTACGGAATACAGCGCCAGGATATCGACCCTCAGGTCATCCAACAGCGCCTCCCTGCTGATTTGCAATACTCCTGCTGTTATTGGGTACATCATCTGAAGCAGAGTCAGGGTGCTATCCCTGAATTTGAAATTCTCTCTTTCCTTCAAAAGCGGTTCCTTCATTGGTTGGAGGTACTAGCTTTAATGGGGAAAATATCGGAGGCGGCAGGAATGATAAAGATATTACAGTCAAACGTATGGGTAAGTATCGAGAATTTACGGTTAGATAACAGCTGATAGATATCACAGAAGAAAGACGATCCTGCTCTTTCAGGGTTTTTATATGATGCAAGAAGATTTACTCTTCAAAATTCTTATATAGCTGACATTGCTCCACTACAACTCTACTGTTCCGGGCTAGCATTTGCACCAGCACAAAGTGTCATCAAGGGGACATTTCTTAGCGAATTATCAAAACAAATACAGCTGCTACCAGCGGTAATGGATTCCTGGAGCCCAACTCTACAGACATTAGAGGGCCATTCAGATCGGGTTAGATCAGTGGCCTTCTCTCCTGATGGGCACACTCTGGCATCGGGCTCAGACGACCACACCATCAAGCTCTGGGATACGGCGACCGGCACGCATCGGCAGACGCTAGAAGGCCATTCAAAATGGGTTAGATCAGTGGCCTTCTCTCCGGATGGACTTATCCTAGCATCGGGCTCGGATGATCACACCATCAAGCTCTGGGATACGGCGACCGGCACGCAGCGGCAGACGCTAGACGGCCATTCACATGTGGTTAATTCGGTGGCCTTCTCTCCCGATGGACTTACCCTAGCATCAGGCTCGGAAGACAACACCATTAAGCTCTGGGATACGGCGACCGGCACACAGCGGCAGACGCTAGACGGCTATTCACATGTGGTTAATTCGGTGGCCTTCTCTCCTGATGGATTTACCCTAGCATCAGGCTCGGAAGACGACACCATTAAGCTCTGGGATACGGTGACCGGCACGCATCGGCAGACGCTAGAGGGCCATTCACATGTGGTTAATTCGGTGGTCTTCTCTCCCGATGGACTCATCCTAGCATCGGGCTCGGGCGACCACACTATCAAGCTTTGGGATACGGTGACCGGCACGCATCGGCAGACGCTAGAGGGCCATTCAAGTTGGGTTATTTCAGTGGCCTTCTCTCCCGATGGACTCACCCTGGCATCGGCCTCGGACGACCGCACCATCAAGCTCTGGGATACGGCGACCGGCACGAATCGGCAGACGCTAGAGGGCCATCCAAAATGGGTTAGATCAGTGGCCTTCTCTCCTGATGGACTCATCCTAGCATCGGCCTCGGACGATCACACAATCAAGCTCTGGGATCCGGCGACCAGCACGCAGCGGCAGACGGTAGAGGGCCATTCAACTTGGGTTAGCTCAGTTGCCTTCTCTCCCGATGGACTCACTCTAGCGTCGGGCTCGGAAGACAAGACCATCAAGCTCTGGGATCCAGCGACCGGCACGCAGCGGCAGACGTTAGAGGGCCATTCAAATTGGGTTAGTTCGGTGGCCTTCTCTCCCGATGGGCTCACACTAGCATCGGGCTCGGGCGACCACACCATCAAGCTCTGGGATCCGGCGACTGGCACGCAGCGGCAGACGCTAGAGGGCCATTCACATGTGGTTAATTCGGTGGCCTTCTCTCCCGATGGACTTATCCTAGCATCAGGTTCGAGTGATAGCACCATTAAACTCTGGGACACGGCGACCGGCACGCAGCGGCAGACGCTAGAGGGCCATTCAAGTTGGGTTAGTTCGGTGGCCTTCTCTCCTGATGGACTCACTCTGGCATCGGGCTCGGAAGACCACACCATCAAGCTCTGGGATACGGCGACCGGCACGCAGCGGCAGACGTTAGAGGGCCATTCAAATTGGGCTAGTTCAGTTTCCTTCTCTCCCGATGGACTCACCCTGGCATCAGGCTGGGAAGACGACACCATTAAGCTCTGGGATACGGCGACCGGCACGCAGCGGCAGACGCTAGAGGGCCATTCACATATGGTTAATTCGGTGGCCTTTTCTCCCGATGAACTCACGCCAGCTCTCGAAAAAGGTCTTGACGATTGCCAGATATCATTATCGAATAACTGGGTTAGTTTAGGAGGTGAGAATGTACTATGGCTCCCAGCTGAGTATCGTTCATTTGTATGCAAGGCTGTCAACGATGCCAAACTTGCCCTCGGGTATGAGGATGGGCGGGTCTTGGTTACAGGATTCCTTACGCATATAATATAAACTACGTTTTTCGTGTTCTTCCACTCAGGTCTCTTATTTTCTGAATCTGTACAAAAGGAGAGCTTGGGACAGCTGGGGTTTATATACGGTTTTTTTGTTTTCAGTGATTTCTATGATTCAAAGTCGTTGCCACCTTGCCTCTTATTCCCTGCCCAGATATTCCTATGCTAAGGGACAAACGCCTGGAGTTGTGAATACGTCACGTTATCGTGGGGTTACTACTTGTCTTCATACTAAAAACTCCGTTTCGGGAATTATTGCGAGAAGTAGAAGGCGGTATTTAGGTAGGTCGTTAGTTCGGCATGAGAGTTGCAGGGAGGAAAGAGAATACTGCCAGATCCTCCAGACACGCTCCAGCTCTAAGTGTTTGATCTAATTGCACTTCAACGGATAATTCCAGCTACAATACCCATACAGATCAAGACATGATATCATCGCCTTGGCGGAGTAAAATACTGTATAGAGAATAATACATGACTATCTATTTTCCGCTCCTGTTCTTGATCGAGACTAGTTGATCTTGGCATTAGGTTTCAGGAAAGTATGAAAGAGTATAGGTGGTGACACCGATTTCCGGAAATTCTGTACCTTTAAGTTTAAAATAAGTCCACTCCATATTTACAAGAGCATGGGAGTTAAGAATACCAAGCCCATTTCAGCACACTTTAGTTGAAATATAGCAAAATAAATTAGCGCTTTATGCTAATTATTTGGTCCGGTAATAAGAGTAGACAAGTTGACCCTCGGAATTAGCCAGCCAAACGCCGACTGCGAAGTGCTCGTTGTTCGAAGACGATCTTATGACCAAGAAATCCTTCAGCTTGGCAATGGAAGGTTGCCAAGAGCATCTCTACCTCAATTCAGGGTTTCAACCGCCAAAACGACTTGCAGGCTGTCACAACTATATATCCATGTTCGTACAAGTAATTCAAAAGCCGATAGATACCATATTCAGCTCTCAGTAAAGGCATTACCAAGTGAGAAATGATAGAAGTTCGTGAATTTGAAAAGTGGCAGTGGCACCTATGTAGGAAATCTTATTCTCGAAGAGCTAGATGATCGAACTAACATAACCACGTTCTAATACAGCAACACAATACACGTCCTAAAGACTTCACACGCTCAAGAACAGCTCGACTTGCTTCGCGTAGGATTCCGGTTCCTGGTAGAGATGGCCGTGGCCGGAGTCGGGGTATATGTGCAGCTGCGCGTTACGTAGCTGCTGCTGCAAAATGAAGCTGTTGGAAGTCGGTGTCATGATATCAGCGTCCCCATTTGTAACCAACACGGGTATGTCGGCTTGCTTTAGCCTGTCGAAAAGCCCGGTGTCCATGGCAAACTTTCCGATGGCTGCCTGCTGTACTGCGGCACCAGCTTGACCAAGAAATCCGCGCCACTCTTCACTCTCGACCTGCCGCTCCTTTGTTCTTTCAAACCAAGCATGGCCGAGATCTTGACTGGTAGAAGACGAATAGAAGAAGAGTTTCATCATGTCTTCTTCAGACGGCGTGACTCCACCCGCAATTTCCATAATTTCGGGGGCTCCAAAAATCACACCTTCAGTATAACTGGACTGGGTTCCCGCGAGAATCAGCTTATTGACCAGGTGAGGATAGTCAACAACGACATATTGTGCGATCATGCCGCCTAACGAGAAGCCGAGGATATCAACTTTCGAGACGGCAATGTTGGTGAGGAAATCCACGACCGTCGATCCCATCTCTTTGAGGGAGTCTTGGACGGCGCCTTCGCTATGTCCGACACCGGCGTTGTCAAACAGGATCACTTCGCGGTTTTCAGCAATGGTGTTGATGAGCAAGGGATCGACGAGATCCATGGAACCACGGAAATGAGTGAGGAAAATAAGAGGGACACCGCCCGGTTTCCCGAAGCGTCGGTAGGCAAGTTTGAGCTCCTTGACGGAGGCAAAGAGCGTTGGTGTAGTTTGACAAGACATTGGAAGGGCTTGAAATCCTCTTTCTCCTTTTTAGGACAATGCTTGTGTGGAAGAGGAGGATAAGATGATATGAAGACTGGCTGTCCGATTTTGGCGTCTCTCGAAGGGTCTATATATAGGGACCAACTCACACGTTTCCAACCCTTGCCCTGTGAGCAAAGCATAATTCAGGTCCTAATCCTTCGGCGCCATAATGGTTAACTCCGTAGATTCGGGTAATTGAACAATCATCAAACGAGCAATAGAGGGAAATACGCCGTATTGGTTAACTCCGTGGATTCGGGTTGTTGAATAATATCAAATTAGTAAGGGAAGCAGGTATGGGTGGGGGCATGATGTTCGGGCTGAGAAAAGTTATTTGCCATAACTCCGTGTGGGTCTCGCGATGATCCTCTATACGAACTGGATACGCACTTGAAGCTTTTTATTCTACACAGTACTAGACCCATAGTAACGTGCACGCTAGAGATAATCAACTTTATTCCTCAGCAGGGCCCCGAGCCATTCGGTATCCATTGAACATACTGATGCACTACGTTTAGTAGCGAATAATTGTGTCAAGATATACGAGCGCTTAGAATTTTGTATTGACTTCTTTAATACTTACTTGGGTTCGTCTGTATTTGCAATCTGTTAAGGTTCCTAGGCCGTCGGTCTCCCTTGCCTATCCTGGCCTTGTCTCTCTCTCTTCGCCACAACTTATACACATATCCTTGGGTTCCTCATAATTCTAACATTCATTCCGATGGCATGGTAATGCAAACGTCATCTACTCGCGATTTATCACTACACAGGTAAAGAGTTGATAGTGTTACAGCGGCCACCGTATGAGAAGCCAAGGAAAGGAGAAAAAGCGGAAAAAGAAACGCAGTGTATTCAGAGACTATCTAAAGTAAGATATCCATTTGTCCAGAGGGAAAAAAAACAGAAATTCGGAAGGCGCAAGAAGAAAAGGCTAGAAATGTCTGAGAAGAATGACAGGCAAAAGAGACAGAGGATGGCGAGGGTGGTAGGCCACTCATCTCATCAAGGCCCCTGAAGGCTACATGTCAGCGTTTTCCTTTTGCCACGACAAATAGTGATCGTTAAGCACTTGCTCTGCTGGACGGTATGAGAGCCCCAACTCGACGATACTCTTGCTGTTGTTGACCTTATAGGAAATGCCGATGTTTCTAGACACCCATTTCATGGGCAAGCCAATGAAGGGGCCCGCAACGAAGACGAGAAATTTGGGAAGATTGCGGGTGGGCAATGATTCGGGCTTATGATGAATTGCCCTCACATAGTTCGCCATATCTAGCAAGCAAATACTGCGGTCACCGGCGATGATGTACCTCCCCTTCGCAGACGGACTCTTTCCTGCTCTGATGTGCGCCTCTGCCACATCCCGCACATCTGCCACAGGGTAGTGTAGCTCCGGAACGCCCGAGCGATTATCGCCCTTGTACATGGCATCCAGCAGGAACAGGCTACCGGAGGCTGACTCAGGAGTGAGTAACGGACCAAGGACTAGGCCCGGGTTGATGACCACAAGGTCCCAGCGGTCCTGAGCGTCACATATCTTCCAGGCCTCACGCTCAGCGATTAGCTTAGAGAAGCTATATGGACTGTAGATGGCAGAGCTTGTCGTGTTCTAGTAGTCCTCGGACAGAGTACTGTCCTTCATTTTGAGGATATCCGAACTATCACCATACATGGCCGCAACTATGTAAGGTGTCAATAATTACGCGTCCGCGTAGAGGGATAGAATGAAGGATCCACTCACTGGACGACGTTAAAACTATGCGTTTAACACTCTCGGTGTTGTTGGCAGACATGAATACATTTCATGTACCTTGAAGAGCGGGCTCGACGCAATCTTTTAAGCCGTTCTTGATTTGTTGCGGGACTAAGAACGGCGAGGCAACGTGGTAGACAACATCGCAGCCCTTCATCGCCTGCAGAAAAGAGTCGTTCTTCATCAGATCGGCCTCAAATAGTGTGAGCCTGCCTGGAAACTTTTGTTGCATCTCAAGCAGTGGCTTGCACTTGGAGAGATTTTTCAGACTGCGGACAGTGGTGTTGACGAGATCACCCTTTTCAAGAAGACCCCTTACCACGTAAAGGCCGATAAAGCCCGAGCCTCCTGTGACTAGTGATGTTGGCATTGCCGCTGATTCCGTTGCGTCCACTGTAACTTCATAAAAAGACAAACCCCAGTTGCTGATGAGTAGTGCAGCTATCGTTGGATAAAGTGCTCTGAGGGTTACTGTTTTCACCAAGGGGAAGCATCCTTTTATTGTCGCAATAAAAAGAAGGTGCCCGGAGATAAACAGGTGTAAGCTAACTCATCATATTTTGGAGAGCTCTCAGATTAGCGGCGCAAGTAGAACTTAGAGGTTGGAAATTGATTTATCTGGTCCGGGGGCGCTAGTTCGGCGATTTAGATGATGATGACCGGAGATAGGATATTAATCAGGCAAAACGTGAGAACTTTATAACTCTGAGGCGCACATGAAAACAAATCCTGTGACAGTTGGTGATTCAGTCCCAGCGGTATGGCAGCTGTCCCGTAGATCGATGAGGCTGTGTGTATTTGCTGATACACTGCCGCCGTTCTCAGTTCAGATATTGCCACCACTTGTGTGGCCTGGTGTCAAGGAGTCTCTAGGAAGCATGCACTGATCTCTCGCAATCATGGATTGATCTCTCGTAACCACAGAGCATCGAAAATGTACAGATGTCGACATGTTCGACTTGACTCACCGCGACCCTACCATTTATGTTAAGTAGCCCCTTCTAGGTGAACCCCAAAGTTTCTAAGGATCAGTCTCTATATTCCTCCAATACCACTTGTTCCCCTGGCATCTTCACCTTCCCTAGTTGATTGGCTCAATCCTCCAAACACTAGAACCCTTTTTACTTTACACTCATAATCTATAAATCAAAAATATGATAATACCAATATTATTCTTATAAATAAGATGATTCGCAATGGATCAGTACTAATTGTAACCTTATAGTGCCTTTAGTCGCATACTTATATAGGAAACGTAATGTTTAAAGAAAAGTAAATGTTTAACTCTATATCAAAGACATATTCTTGCAATAAGACACAAAAGAATCTCCAATACCCAATATTAACTAACCATCATTGTTAAATATGCTAAGACCTTGATTTTATGCAAAACGGGTTTTCTTACGGTCCCATTAGGGAACCGCAGTGGTTTGTGGTTCGGCTGCGGTTTGGTTTTTGGTTTGAGGGTTTGAACCATACGCGGATTTTGGCGCAGTCTAATTGCGCCCTGAGCAGCGCATTATTCAGATCATAATCCTTCGGCGCCATATTCGTTAACTCCATGCATTTGGCTAGTATAACGTCAAATAAGAAATTGTGACAAATACATCATAGTGTCAACTCCGTAGATTTGGCTAGTTGAATAATCTCAAATTAGTCAGGAAGCCAAGGCATTTTGTGGGTCGAGGTTGGTGCTGAGGAAGGTTTAATGCCATAAACTCCGCGTAGATCTCGCAGTACTGCTCTATGCAAGTTGGGTACGGACTTAAACATTGTTGACCAAGCTCGAGAGTTATTTTCGACTCAAATAACGAGGACCCGACCGGCTATGTTTTGGGGTCCTACTCCGAGGGTCTATGCTGGATTTCGCAGTCTTCGCCCGAGAGATGAAGGCATAGCGCAGTGTTGCGCTCGCGTGAATTCACTCATATGCGATGAGAGAATGGAATCTTAGCTGGCTGGTGAAGATCTGCGCACCTATCTTAGGTCAAATTAGGAAGAAAATGCTCTCTGGGCACATAGGAAGTTGGCATCGGGAGATCTGTTAATCCATACATTTCTTGGCGCGGATAGATCTCCGAAAAGCCCTCCATGGGAGGGGATTCATTTTTGACATCGTTTAACACGTAATCGTATTATGCCTCCCCGCCGAATTCAATCCAAATCCCATCATGGCTGTTTGCAATGCAAGCGACGTAGTGTCAAGGTAGGTAAGAGGATCTCTATCCCGCCTTTGTACGCCATAATAGCTCACTGTCGCACCTCTCCCCACACAGTGTGACGAGAAACGGCCGAAATGCACTCGCTGTTTCAATCGTCGGTCTGCTTGCCAATACTCAACACTATGCCAATGGACACGAGAAGATCTGAGTCATCGTGGATTGTCAGATATTGGTGGGACTCAGTCAACTGCGCAACATAACTACGTCGTCGCAACTTCACATCAGCGGCCTCAAGAACGAGGCGACTTCAACACACAGCATTTACGGCTCCTTCTTCACTGGACGACCACGACGTATCGATCTATCAGCCGAAGTGAGGATTTAGAGTGGATATGGCAACATACCATCCCCCGACTCTCCCTTTCCCACCCTTTTTTACTCCATGGCGTGTTGGCGTTGGCGGCACTTCATCTCACACTGACCAGCGCCGAGGAAACGGAGCAAGAAGATCTAATTCGAGCCGCCGAGTATCATCAAAGCGAAGCCATTACATTCCTCACTCCAGCTCTGACCAACACGACGTCCTCGACTTGTGACGCCGCGTTTTCATTATCGCTGATATTAGTCATTTTCACCTTCGGATTTCCGCTCGCAGTAGGGCCAACCTATGGATCAAATTCACTGGATGACATTTATCAGGTGCTTATGTTCACTAAGAGAATGATGACCTTTTCCGTCGGGATCTACGAGAGTGTCAAGAATGGAGAAGTTGGTGGGCTGGCCGTGTTAGAGGACTCGGGCTTTGAACCCTCCGATTCTACTCTATCGACCCTATCGGCTCTATGCGAGCTAAACATGCAAGCACAGCGTGCAGATGCTGCTCATGATTATGACACCATTCAAGAAACGATCCAGCGCCTGGAAGTCCCCTTAGCCAGCTTGAACCATGGAGAAGGACTGCCATCTATTTTTATGTGGATATTCTTAACTCCCACTGCCTTCTTTGACCTGGTATCGAAGCGAGATCCTCTGGCTTTGATTGTCCTTGCTCATTATTGTGTTCCACTACACTATCATCGAGCCAACTGGTGGCTTTCTTCATGGGGTTATCGAGTGCTTGACATAGTTTATAACACGTTGGACAGCCATCTTAGGCCGTCGCTTACATGGCCGATATGCGAGATCGGGTACAAGGAAAGAGAGGGCTAATAAATAAAACAGCATCTAACCTGGTCTCTCCAAATGGACGTAGAGTCCTACCACGATCTCTTCAGTTCCTTCGTAGAGAGTTGAACTTTCATCCTGGTTCCATCTACTGGCTTCGCAGTAACCTCCAGCGTCTGCGGAATCGGTCAGTGGCATATCCCATCAGACAGTATTCTGTAACCCAAGTTTTGGAAGGGGTGTGGGACTCACATTATACAGAGTAGATTTCACTTCATACTGTCCAGTGGGGTTCACAACCGGTTCGCCACTCTCGTTAAGCTTGTTTTCTCCCAATCCCACTTTGACAAAATCATACTGTCTCACCACCGACGCCAGAATGACCCGTGCCTCAATATTAGCCAGCTCCTGCCCAATGCAATTCCGAGGACCACGTTCAAATGGTCGCCAGGCGCTATGTGGGATTTGTCCGTCAGACCCTTTGGAGCCACTCTCCAAGCTTGGATCTTCGTTCGTCTGTATTCTGGTGTCGGTGTTGCCGAGCCAGCGCTCAGGCATGAACGTATTCCGAGTTTCGCCAAACACCCTCTCGTCTCGCTGTACAATGGTCTCGCAGTTGTATAACACCACGCCGCCAAGGCATAATTCATCCCCACCAGGTAACTTGATTGTAAAGCCTGATCCAGGCTCACAGTAGCGGGCAGTACCCGACGGCGGGTATAAACGAAGGATCTCCTTAATGACTGCCGAGATATACGACATGCGGGAGAGAAGTCTGTCGCCTTGTTCCAATAAAAGCATTTCATGCACATTTTCTGGACTCGAATTCGGTCCGAAGATTTCGTCCAGTTCACGTCGAACGATGTTCATTGCACGCGGGGTGCGGCTGAGCTCGTACAGTGCCCACTGAAGTAAGACACTGGTCGTGTCATGGCCGGCAAAGAGGAAGGTCTTGAGCTGATCACAGATCTGATCGAGGATGTCAGGGGTCAGTTCGTCGATATCGCGCAGACTCAGCGAGAGGATACTCCGAGATTCAGTATCCGGTTTGCATCCTGCACCAGACTGTTCGGTCTTCTCTGCATACGTCTGTTGGATGTGATTCTTGATCAGCACGTCCAATCTGCGAACTAAACTTTGTCGATATCGAGTCGTCCAGGGATTAATCCAGATGCCTCCGTTATCGCCGCGGCCACGATAAGTTGAACCCAAATCACGGAAGAGACGGATGATCTCATTCTGGTCGCATCTGCCCAGTTGCGCACAGAGATCAATGTCCATGGTCACGGCACCTGGTTGTGTTCTGTTAGGTTTCTTCAATAGAAATAAAGGACGAGATTCTTACCAATAATATCGAAGGTAAGGTTCGTGCACAGCTCATGCATTTTGAATTCCTCGCCAGTGGTAGCGTAGTGCTCGAGGATATCGACAAACCGCCGTGTTTTGTCGATGATACAGGGCAAGAGGCGGACCAGATGTCTCGAGGCAAACCCAGGATTGAATCTTTTACGGAGTGACTTCCATTCTTCGCCCTATGTTGGTCAAAATTAGCGTTTCACGGGCCTAGTGCAATCTCATCTTGGGTTCGGTTTAGATGTACCTCCGCGGTGATGATCGATCTGGGACCGAACAAGTCCTCGAACGCTCTTGTTGTTGGTGCCTTGGGGAGACTGTACGGAAAAGCCTTGGAAGCCTTGGTGACCTGTTCAGCGATATCATGACTGCAAACCACACACAAGACCGGTGCCACTGGATGGAGATCCAATATGAACATTGGTACGTTGCCCAGCGTTTTGCAGATCTCGGAGAAGACAATATCTGCGTCCAGTGTCAGCGACTTTTAACTACACGACGTTCTCCGTTGCTCCCACATAGGCTTAGGACTTACCGATATGCCTCTTTTTGTCACCGTTGGAGACGACATCACTCAAAGCTTTGAGATGGCCCAATAGCAATGACGAATGGAGCTGAGGCAAGCTGGCATAGCGACGACGATGTTGGCGAAGTCGATGGAAGAGATAGACTGACAGTAGCGAGATGCCGGCCAGGACGGAATTTTGCAGCACTTTCATCATCGTATAAAATAATAAAAATGAGACTCTATTGACGATGCAGTCTCAGAAATACCTTCTTTAAATATTCGTCTGGCCTCTCCTTTCCATTCTGCTCTTCTAAAAATTACGAGACTACGTCACGGTAACCGCTCGTAATAAATCCCAAATGTGGTTTAGTGCCTCGTAAACTATATCCATCGCATCTTGGGTTGTCCAAACTTTACGAGACAGAGCTACCGAAGTTTAACCGTGACGTTAATGACTAGTTAGTCCAATCATGCGTCAGCAATGGCAATCAACCAACCTGCTGGTACCCGTTGGAAACCCACCTACTACCTAGAACGTGATTGGTCATCCGGTACATCGTCTGTGTCCACGGCACATGCACCTTTACAGAAGGCTAGTGAACATGGCTTGACTGGTCAATGCTCCGAAGGATGGTACCGACATGTCTGCTGTCCCAATAAGCAAATGCCCAGCAACTGCCAATGGAATGTAAGTTTGCTTCACCCGGTTATCTGAAATAACACTACAACCGGTTCAAATCACAATCCTGCGAGACAGTTATTGACAATCTCTAGGGTGAACCGATTCGCAGTGAAATAGGCTGTTCAGGTCAATGCGGCGATACTCAATTTGAGTTGGCGACGGACACCTTCACCGATGCCATGGGAGAAGGCCAGTGTTTCCAAGGCCAGCGATCTTTATGCTGTGACTCGATCGAGCTTCTCGATCAATGTGTCTGGAGTAGTTGTCAAGGGCCCCTAATGCCATATCAAGAAATTGGTGAACTTGAATCTGAGGGATGTGCTGATGGCTATGAGAGCGTGGCCTCTCGATATGACATAGATAGTGGTGGTTGGTGCTCGCGTGAGTTCAACAGTGACTTACATGACCGATTTAAGCGAGGCCTTTGTTGTCCGAAGTCTAAAAAGTTTGAAAACTGCAAGTGGACGACCCAGGACGCTGTCAGTGAGCTGGATGATAGGGCCTGTCTGCCACGTCAATGTCCGAAGACCAAGACTCAGATTGCGGAGGCATATGAGCCTCAGATTAGCCTTTATGTCAACAAGTATTGTCTTGGGGATTGTACTGTTGGGGACTAATGCACCGCGCATCCGATTTTGCCCGAGTTTGATCCTGCCTTCTACCTCTGCTGTGATCCACCCTCTCAGTATAATGAAGATTGGCCCGTCCCACCTTCATGGCTTTGGGAGAGCGCCTACGAGGATGATGGGGATGATGTTGCTTGGGCTTTTGCCGACAACGAGGAAAACAACAATGAGGAAGCGAGCGATGATCCGATCGAAGAGGATCCTGCAGGTAAGATAATTCCCCGTTTGATATCTGCATAGATTGACTAAACGTACGAAACAGATCATGCATATGGCTTCCTAATGTTGGATGGCCCCCCAGAATCCATCGATAGTGCCTTTGGGGATTCATATACTGTCGCCCGTCGCAGCAGTAAAATACCCAATCGAAGACGCTCTATGATCACTACTAACACCACTATCCTGGACTCAACCTTTGATCACGCGGAGGAGACTGTGTTTGTGTACTGCAACTACCCTAAAGGATCTCCCTAGTGTGAAAAGATTTTCCGCAAAGGTGCTGAAGATACGATCATCAAGCTGCCAGATCATGTCGGAGAAGGTCCATTCGCCCGCGTTGTGTCCATGACACCCGCTTCCCACACCTATGAGCTTCCTCATCACCACATCCGGTCTCGTTCGTTGGAGAACAACGAAAATGACGTTTATGAGCTCAAGATCGACTACAACTCCCATCTCATCAAGCGAGACGATGGTCCGATTAACATGCGCATTGATTACACTAATCTTCTTCCATACTGGGATGAAGTAACAGACTCAAAGCCATCGAAGAGATCCGTTCACGAGAAGATTACCAAAGATGATTGAAAGTCCCTCATTCAGGATGTGAAAAAGAGAACTGCCTCTAAGAACACCTCGGTTAAGCTTGGGTCCGGCAGTACTGACATGACGGAAACATCTGAAAGTGGCCTAGTCAAGCGTTGGTTTGGTAAATTCGGGGACTGGCTGAAGAAGATGAACAAAGTTGAAGCTGGAAATGATGGTTTTCTCAACATGGCATTCCAGAAGAGTTTCCTTCTGTATCGAGCTGTTAAAGGGTGAGCTATCCTTAGTGACTAGACACGGTGCTCGGATTTTCATTACTGACCATAACGCACAGATGCGCTCGTCGAACCTTCTATGCAGAGATGAGAATGTACCTCGATGCTGATGTTCAGATGGATGCGACTTATGCATACTATCTCTCTGGAACCATCGTGCCATTGAAGGTAATTGACACTTATGGGTATCTGGGGGTGGAGCCAAGCGCATACCTTGGACTGCGTCTTGAAGGAAACGCGATCATGACCTATACATCAGAGTGGAAGAAACTCATTGACACTCTTGCTTACCCTGGATTGAGTATCAAGGGTATAGCGACTGTTGGACCTAGCTTGGATATATATGGCCGAGTAAGTGTCCTCAAACATGGCACATTCTGTAAAAGAGCTATACTAACGCATCAAAAATTTCAAGATTCGCGGTAGTGTTACTCTGAGTGGTCAGGCCAAGGCTGGTGCCCGAGTACACTTTGGCCGTGCAGAGCTCTACTTCCCACAGGATGAAGAGGGCACCAAAGGTGATACAGACTATGACAAGATCGACGACATCAAATCTCAGCAAGAGCGACCGAAGACTGGCCTAGAGCCACAATTCTTTGCATCCGCACAAGCATCCGCAAACCTTGCCATTGATGTTTCCCCCAATGCTCGCATTGGTATCGAGGTGGGTCCGTCCGTTCTGGGCAAGGGAAACCTGGTAAATGCGCAGATCATTGCTTTCATGAACAGCACCCTTGATTTCTCCGCCATTGTGACTGGGTCGGCTGGGACCGACTCTAGCCCCACGTACAGTTACAAATACGGTGCCTATCTCTACTATAATCTAGGCTATGGAGGATTCGCCAACATTCTCGGTGATACTTGGAATTGGCACTATACACCGGTCTACCTCTACAGCCTCCCAGGTCAGAAATACACGATCTACGAGAACAGCAACGTTGAATCGGACGCGACGCTCAATTCAAAGAGAGATATCAAGATACTGCCAGACGGTGATGAGAAGGGATTGTTCCATGATGATGACGATGAGGACGCAATTTGGAATGATAATGGCCTGGAGCCATATGTTCCACCTGCTAGCCATGTTCACCGCCGCAGGACTCATATGCACCTTCATCACAAAGCACATCACTCTTATCATGATAAGTCCAATGCTACATCACATATTCCCAATGTCGGCTCGGTGATATTCAAAAGAGCGGACGTTGATGACGACGGTGAACAGCCAGACACGGCGGATAGCTCCCAGTTTACCGGCTCCCAGAACTTTGATTGCCCTAAAAATGGGAACAAGCAACCGACCCTCCCAGAATTGCGCTGTATGTACCGATACTCCCATTCTGTGTGAAGGGTTTACTGACTTTCATAAATAACTGCCGAACCTTTTCCACCATTCAGGTTGTTGCTCAAAACGGCCCGTCTAAATCAGTCAGAGGTATATGCGACGGTATCTTCGGATGGTTTGCTTCAGATGGCGCCAGCAGCGACGGCGTCACACTCACTTGGGATCCTAACCGTCGTGACGCAAGAGACGTGTACACATGCAACGGGTGGACAGACTACGATGACGAAAATAAAAGGAACTCATACTGCACCAGTCAGAAGAAGGCTCTCAATGAAGCTGCTGGTCTTCCTGAGAAGAAAATGACGATCAGCTGCGATGAGTTTCCTTTTGGTGGGACTGAGGAGGGCGGAGACTGGGGTGCCAAATATAAGCCACATCGAGTCCCCCCGACTGCTAATTGCGTGCCTCAGTGGCAACAGTCGTTGCAAGGAAACTGCAACAGTAAGTCTTTCTATCTGCATGTGTTCTGTCTGAATGAATAGACTGACAACCTCAGAACTTCTGAGTTCTTTGTACACTAACGTGGCATACTTCGACCGTGATGTCGATTCGGATAAGGAGGACTGGAAATGGTGGTCCAAGACTAAAGATGACGAGAGATGGACCCCGGGCGGAAGTGAGAGTGATACAAACCCGCCAGTCTTTGGACGTCTGACGCGATATCCCGAGCCCGTCCCTCTCGCCCATGGCATTGATAGAACTGTGAGTTCAATGCATTATTCAATGCCAATGTTTATTATTTTATTTATTGACAACCTTCTAGGAATGGGAGAACTCCGGCCGAACACTTGGATACAACTTTAAACGCAACTTTACCATGGCCCTTGCGTACGCGACGAGTCTTTCAGATACGCCCGATCAATGGGGCAAGATGGCGTTAAATAGTTCCCAGATAAAAGGCGCCAGCTCAGATACAGACCCGACCCACGTCTTTTGCGCGGTGAATCTATTCAATCAACCAGACGTCTATCGATATGGAAGTGGCAACGGATTTTGTTTGGATACGCGCAAGGGAACGAACGGAATGAAGAAAGAATCTGGTAAGGCCAACACTCTGCAGTCTTATCGACACGAAACATGAGGAGAGCTGACTCGTTTTTGTTTGAAGGCTTTGGACAGTCACCAGGATACACTATGTGCAAGGTCAACTACATCGGGAGTACCTTTAGTGACCAAACGGCTCCTGCGTCATACAGCAAACGTGACCAAAATGAGTTGACGGGAGAGAATAATGAATGGGAGATCGAAAGTAAGTCCCCAAGCCTTCTGATTTTGGATCCGGCTAACCGTATCTTTTTTTTTTTTTTTCTTTTTGCAGGTATTGAGCTGCACCCGGATGAGAATGTCTGGTGGCCTCTGCCGGACGACGTGGATTGGGAGGACACATTGAACCCCGGAGACACAAACCTTGGGTATGGAGCGGATTCAAATTAAACGTCTTGTGTCTACAGGCTAGGCATACTGGCTTGAATACAAGTGCACTTTTTCATCTGAGCTTTCTTGCAATTCCGGTTCAAATAATTTCAATGTTTCTTCCTATAGCACTGGGAATATTTTGGAGCGATTGTCCTAAACAGATGGCAGTGAACCATGCACAGCGTTCGACAAGGACTACCTAACAGCCCCAGGACTTCAAAGAGTGTAGGGGGGCCCTCGGCTTCCACCCTCATGATATGCAGGGCCAATTTCTCCACAATCATCTCTAATGGCCTCTTTCCAAAGACGCTCATGCCAAGCGCCATCGTAATTATCCTCTGATCCATCATCCTCCACCCGCCACTGCCTCACCACATTCCGACAATCATCTAAAAATACATGTAACAAGCCTCCTCCGTTGACCGCCACCTCATCCTCCACAAAGATATGAGTAACAACGCAATCGGCCTGATAGAAAGCATACCTCCCAAGAGGGTTCTCCTCAGAGGGGTAATTTTCAGCACCATCTACAGCCTCCCTGAGGCTCTCCTCTCTGAGACCAAGATTGACACGCTCATCTGTGACACGCTCAGGAAATAGTTCCAGGGCGGCTGCCAGATCCAGGCCACTGAATAAACTTTCATCGTCGAGCACTGCTCCCCCGTAAGTCACCCATTCTGCAATTTCATTGGCAGACCATAGAGCCTCATGGCCCTCGTCATTGGTGTAGCAGAGACGAAGCCAGCAGCCAACTTCAGCACCAGTATTATGAGCGCAAGTGCGCAGTGCCTCAGGCCGTATCGGCCGAAGAATCTCATCTATTTGGGCTTCAGTAGGAGAGGGTGGTGAATTGCCTGGCTTGTAAGGCTAATAGGTTGATATTTGGTTAGTTCAAGGTTGTGAATTTTTTTAAGGGTTATAGAATATATTCACCAGTCTGCCTTCGTATCCCAACGCGAGAAATTGGCGTAGAAGCCTTTGGCGACGGTCGGCGTGGGACTCGGACTGTGAGGGGTCTGGGTGAGACTTATCCCATTCGGAGAGGAAATAGACTTCCAATGCAATGCTTCCCCAAGCAGGTATTTCGGGATTTTCGTTCTCAATGATATGGACAGGCATTTTGTCTTTCGCGCCGTAATTTGGAAGATGTGGGATGGAGAAGGAGAAACACTTAATATAGTCCAAGACTTGGTCATTTTATACTTGGCAGTGATCGCTGCGCCCACTTCATCGGGTTTAGCGTCAGTTTAGCATCGCCACGCTTAGGTTGGTGGAGCAGACAGACTCGTTTTGCTGCACGTCTCCATATGCATGTGGGCCACGGTGTGAAAGTCTGATACTTTTAGTATTGCCCAGGTGGAGCAGGTACTTCGCGGTAATATATGAAAAATACGTTAGACGAGGTACTAGAACTAATCGATAAATACAGTCAGCAATGCGCAACTTCTTTAACTTACCGACAACCAGCCATTGGCCCGTTTTTGCGACCCCTTTTTGGTACTGCGACACGCTGCGACTGTTTTTTCTAGACGCAGGTTACTTCTCGCGCTGACGCAGCAATACCGAAAATCCTGTCGGCCAATGGCGATCCCCAAACCCAATAACCCTCTGTGGAAGAAGGCTGAGAGAGCCGAAGACTCTTTCTGCCTAGCGGGATAAACCTCTTCCAGTGTCAGTGCCCGCTCGTAATTATTTTACCCATTTCCTCTTGTCTTCGACTTACAATTGATGATGCATTGAAAATATCGTCACTGTTTTTGCGCAGTATCTCCTAGTAGAGAGACAATAATCATCTTCGAAATTTAAAGGACCATCCCCAACCTTGTACATTTAAACGCAAATATTGTCCAATTTACTCATCCATAGTATCCACCAAACATCCCGATTAGCGCGCCTCGTGGTTCGGATGCGAGAGAACTGCTTGGTTTTTTTTTTTTTTTTTTTTTACTACGGCGCCCGCTAGGGCCCAGACTGGGACTTCACGTTTATGATTGCGTCTCAGTCCAACAGATGATACAATCGAGTCTGGAAGACGTTAATCTGTGAGTGGAAAGTACTCTGTACCACAGACATGTGCCACTATCTGCTATCAAAAAACCGCCCCGTGCACTACTACAACGGGTGGATCCAAGTCCCTTCTTGTAATTTTCCGCGCATTACATTATTCGAGGGCAATGGTGAGGAAATGACTAATATCGTCCTCGTGGATAGGAGATGGGGGCGAAATCAAACGGACGCACTATACAACCCGAATACTAGACCAGAAACATGGTTATAAGAAGTACCGTGTATCTTCTAATTCTTGAATAGGTTAAACTTTTTAGAGTTATGTTTCCTCTTCCCTCCCCTCGCTCCTCGCCTCGTCTGTTTGCTATGCACGGGCAACTAAGGCATGGCCTGGCGGTTATTGCTACCCTTAGAAGTTGCGCCCTTGCAAATCCTCTCGCTTATTAGAATGCTGTAGGAAATGCAAGCTTGAACTCCGAGCAATTGCTGGCAAGAGATACCGCTGAATTTGACGCAGAAGATCTTTCTTTTATCACAAGAATGGCAGCTATCGGCGATTCCTACTCGGCAGGAATTGGCGCTGGGGGTAGTATTGGTCTGCCAATATATCCCGTACTCGGGAACGAAGCATGTTGACTGATGGGTATTTCCCCCTCTAGCAGACTTCTGGTGTAGTCGCTATGATAACTAGTACCCTTATCTTATTTATACCGATGAACGACTAGGCGATCAATCAGCCCGTACATTTCAGTTCGTGTTATGTTCTGGTGCAGTCACAGAGGATGTCATCAAAAAGGAGATCCCTAGTATTGATAATAACCAGCAGGTTATATTGATATCAGCCGGTACGTTTAAGCCTAAACTTTGCAATATATTGAACAGAAGCGAGGTCTTAGGTGGCAATGATGTTTAGCTTACAAGCATCATAAACCAGTGTATTTTCTAGCGGGCCGTGCCTGCCTCCAATTAGGCAGCTATATTGAAGGCAGCCCTTCTTGAACATCCCGAGTATTCATAGGTGCTAGACTTTGACTAGGATACATTAGATCGTGGCTGCGATAGGCAGTTAGCTTACTCAAAAAGTCTCATCGCAGGGGATGCCTTCAGCAAGAGCCTCGATTCTGTTATCACGGCGGCAAAAAAACTAGCATCAGAGTTAGTACCAAAACTTTATTATTTAGGTGTGGATGCTAACCAAAGGCAGTGGGATAATCTACTACACGGGGTATATGCCATTTCGCTTCTTTATTTTGGCAGTGTTTATAGTGATTATAAAGTTATGCCAAATTCTTTGCCGAGGACCTATCACCCGCATATAATAAAGTTAGCTAGACCACTTGGCTTTATATAAGTAGCCTTGAAATGACATTTAGCGTGGTACTAATTGTCTACTAGAAACCATATAACGGTCTTTAGGAACAGGGGAAACTTACGAAAGATCATCGGAAAACTATGAATGAACTTGTTAATGCTATTAATACGCAAATTGTTCGTTTTGATTCTCTTACCTTCGTTAGGCGAACCTGTTACTAACTTTAGCTGCTCTACAGTCGGCTGCAGTTAAGAGAGCGGGTGACCAAGTTAAGTTTGTAAACTACGACTATTACGTAGGCCACTTCAATAGCCGTTTCTGTGAGGATAGTGTCGACGAATCAACGAAGGAAAGCAACACAAGGTAAGTGCTCTAATCTCATTTATATAGCATGCTAATAGTTATGAAAGAACCGGTCTAATGTTCTACGAGCTGAATACTTAGGATATCTTCGGCTCCAATCCCTAGAAAAGAAGCGAGAATAGCCACCCGGAAGACACCTTCGAGGGCTCCGTAAACCAATTGGCGCAAATTACACTCCTAATAGATCCCGACGCCAAGCTCGTAGATAAGGCCATGGTTTCCGACGAACATAGTGCTTCTACAGTTTCTATAGCTTCTTTTGCCGCCTCTAAGATAGTATCACTCAAAACAACGGACGTAGCTAAGAGAGTGTTCCTAAACATCCTGCCCGACGGGTAAGAAAACTGTTCGACCTATCGCAACTAACGACAGAGTATCGCTAACAAACGATTGATTAATAGATACGGGCGTGTATTCTATCCCTAGCCCTTACTTTATCAGATCATTGCCTCACTAGTCATCTATGAAATAGCTAATAAGAACGAGCAGGATAATAGGCTTGTAGCAACCCCGGAGAGGTTAACCTTCGACTCGTACCCTAATTATCCTTCATCAGGCATTAGATCAGGCTCAAATGCTTCAGACGGCCGTAGGTGTTATTGGCATTTAATGTAGCAACCACTTCAAAGAAGGCAAAGCTAATATTATGTATCCACGTTTAGAATAAATCGCGGTGGCGTTATACATTAATCCCACCTCAGGCGTGACGGACTAGGATCGTCTGATCAACAGTTATGCTTATGACAAGATGCCTATCCTGGTTGCCAACGTGGTGAATGGTCTAGATTCTGCCTCCGACCATACATAGGCTGAAGTCATCTAGGTAGGTAAAGCTTCTAGTAAAATAGTCCTTGGGTATATGCGAACCGGATACCTTGGCGTGAGCGATTAGACATTCAAAACACGGCTAGGCTTAGGCGATTTAGTAGATTGGACCGCTTAGATCGAAGAAGATATCGATATATGGTACACCCTTTATGGAAGCGATATTGGCGGCATCTTTTTCGATGAGGGTTGGCCTAAATGTGGGGGCAACAATTAGTATGTCGACCTCTCCAAGTACATCAACGGCTATACAAAGCGGAAGTACCCCGGCGCGTACACAGTCCTAAATCTAGGGTTACCTATGGCGTCTTGTTTCGAGGATACGATAGACACACTGCTAACCTTCGAGCTGAGTTACGACGCGTACGTTAACTCCTACACACCTAACACGTGGGTCCTAAAAGACCCGCGGAAACTGTGGCACTATATATACGACGTCCCGGAAAGCGCTATTAACGAGGTTATCAAATTATCTAAGGAGCGCGGAGCTAGTTTCGTTTAACTCATAAACGACGTTATGCCGAATCTATACGACGAGCTACCTAACGACTCCTACATAAAGAAGATGCTAGGCGCAATCGATGGTAGCTCTTTGTTAAAAAACGATGTATCACCTTAGGATTCTAGAAATATAGCGGGAGCAGTTATTGGACTGACAGTTACAGCCTCAGAATATACTTCTGCTTAGTTATCTTAGTACCCGGCCATAAATGCTCTTAGATATTATATATATTTAGGCGATACTATTGTTGTAAGCATTCTAAACGCAATAACCTAGATCACACTTAGGGGTCTCGCACTAGGGGCAAGCCACGTTTTTAGCGTGCGTGCTATAGGAGGAGGTAGCAAAATGGGGTCCTCTTCCGACACGGTTTAGGTCGTCACTGACTTTTTGCCTGGCAGAAAGACCGTCACTAACTAGCACTCCACTCCTTAGGAAGGCTCGACTATCATTAAGGCTAACATTCTTGTTCCTTACGCTTTTGTCCGCCTCTATCTCTAGGACTCGTAGGATGTGACTTCGATACCGATCCGGGATAGAGTGTTAACTTTAGAGTCGACAAATACGTCTATACCCACTACATAGTCGAGGGAACGACGCTATATAAGTATAGTGGCACGCTTCCTAAAGGCTCCACCGCTCCACCTTAGGCTTAGACGTCAATGTCGAGCATTATACTTATATCACGGACTACACTTACGCGTAGACATTACCCCTAGGAACTTTGACTACCGACACGAGCAAATTCGTGATCTAGACACAAGGCTATAATGTCTAGGGAAACTTTGTGGAGCCGGACGCCAGCGACTAAGGCTGCGAGGGCTCGACCATGTGCTCGACCCTGGATTTATTGAAGTGGTGCGACCACGCTGTCAATTACCTACAGCGATAAGACGACCCCTTTTACAATACCAAGTAAGTTGATCACACCACCTCTTCTGTATTCTGTATTGTGCTCTATTAGCATACGAATATCTTCTTACTGCTCGTAAGCTCGATCTCATTACTAATTTCATCTTAGTAGTGGTGCGGCTAGTCAAACGGGAAACTGCTGGGAGATTAGACCCGGGGCTGTGGTGTCTTTATCCAGGGTACAAACTGCAGTATCAGTGGCAATGATATGTGGAATGACTACCAAAACATCCGCAAAATTAGTGGATGCGGCAAATGTGGCACGTACCACAGGGGGAATGGTTGTTTAGCTACTATTGACTATGTCTATCAATGTAACAACCACGGCTAGACTGGGGTGGCCGGCTCAGGACGCTACGACGTCGGGTCTGGATTAGACACTTTACCCCAAGGGCCACTAGAAATCAAAGTAATACAATTCACAATCAATCAACCAATCAATCAATCAATCAATCAAGGTTCTATTAACCTGTTGGGGCCTAACTAGTATCGTGACGGCTATGCAGGCGCTTCTTCCGAATGAAGCAAGGACTCGTAATCCATACGCCTGATCACGCTCCAATACAAACAGGTAGGCCCGTCCTCAAAAGAGTGGAAGAACCAGCCCGATACTTGGAATCCAAATATCAAACCCCATCAAAATCCTCAATGGGAATGTCCAATACAAATGAAATGCAATGAATGCGTGGAATGCACCTCAACCTCCCCAGGATCCATCGCCATGATTACAGTTACCGGGATTTGAGGGCATAATCGTTGAATTAGTCGGTGATGAGACGGATACGACATATCGCGCAAACGCAAAAGAACAGAAACGAAGGAGCCATTTTCTTTAGGACTAAATCCTCACAGGACATTCTTCCTTAACTAATAATGGACTAGGATAACGCTTTTGAGGAGCTCTGAGAGCAGTTGGCCGTAAATTACAACTGCTACAAGAGGAATGCTTCGAGATGAACTTCGCCAGGCGAGGGAGACGCACCAAAAGAAGCAAATAGAACTTTGCCAGCAAAGAAAATGGCGTATCTCAGACTGCAAGATCTGCTACACGCAGCCAGATTGCTGGGTGACGATTCTATGTGGGCACTCGAATAGTTAAGGCCCATCCAAACTCAGATACCATGTCCTCCTACGAGTCATTTTCCAACAGGCTGGCATTTCCAGCTAGCGGAGAGGGTCATATTACCCTGACCGTACCACTTGCTCACACTGGGGTATGGGCAATGCGCTAGTTCATTGTCAGCGTATCCTCATGAGTGGGGACAAGTCAGCTTACTTCTCTGAGCTTGAATGGGGCCGCCGATCACATTGTCTTGATACTTTGTGCCGACGAAATTGGCAGGTGCAGTTCCGTTCTCGACCCAATCGACCAAAGCTAGAATCACGTTGTTCTTCGGGTCAAGTTTGCTCGAGTCCAGATTCGAGTACTGTCCGATACTCCAAGCCCCCGGCCACCGTAACAATAATGAAGGTCCGGGATAAGGAACAGTCTGTAGAATGAGTGCATCTATTCCAGGGTAAAGTTTCCAGACTGTTGTACGCCAGTGAAATACTGCATCGATAGCATCGAAGTAACGGTCTAGTCGTTCCGACCTTGGCAGGATATTATCTTGCCTCGGCACCTGTGGAAGGCGGACAAATTTGTCTCGCCCCTGTTCACTTCACCAGTATTGATTTTGATAGCGACATCCATGTTGTAACGAAGAAATTGTGAAAGAGCATCTTGGGCGTTGATGACTTACGGCCCGGTTGGGCTCTGTGAGCTGCTCGGCGAAGGCGACTATAAATGGATTGGCTGACAATTTATGGGTGTCTGGAGCATCTCCTCCTTTATATGCAGATGACTGGAGACACGGTACACTATGTTATGCCTCAATCCACAATACTATTTGTTCAGAACCATGCCTGTAATCACAGGAACCATCGGTGCGGACCACCGAAAACTCCAGGTCGGAGGAGCCATGTCATCGTCATCAGCCAGTTGAAGTCTCCCGGCGGATTTCAGGGGCTAGGCCCATCACCTCGATGAGTTAATTCGACGTGCAATCTCACCCTCGAACGTTGTCTGGCGGATAACTGCAGTGGTATGCGGCTATGGACACAATGAGAAGGAAATTTCAGCATGTATGAAACTGACATAATGTCCTGAAGTGTCGACAAGTTATACCGTTCTCCGCGACAAATAACCGGCGAGCGGGTCAAGTACCCATATGGTCTGTGCCAACGTAGGGAGGCAGCGTTAATTGCCACTGGTGAGCAATCGACCAAGTTCCACCGACATTCAAAACGAACCTTACCAAGCCACTTTTCTGGAGATATCCATCGGAGTGAGGTCTGTCATCTGAGCCAATAGCACACGAGTTGGCAACCAATCATGCACCTTCGGCTTGACCATGCCGAGGTCGGCACATGGCCACCGAGCGGTCACCTCTTCGGGTCAAAGTGCGCCACAGCGGAAGGTCAGGTAAGTGACTAGGTAGTTGCTGTTACAGTATGTCTCGAAACTGGTGTCACCACCTACACCCATTCGTTCTTTCTCGAACCCCAATTGCCAAGATACTTGGAATTTTTCCGAGCAATTTCTGTCGTTGAATGTTGTATTCGGTCATACAGAAGGGAATCAAACTTCCACCTCATTCTGTAACATGGATATTTTGACGCCTCGACGCCCTTCACCTTTGAAAATCGACACCCTTTAGTACTAAGGGTATTGACAATCAATCAGAAGTGATCCCACTAGAATGACAGGAGCTGTTTTAGTCCCATGGGCCCTTCAGAGGCCAAGTCCCACCGATGAGTCTAAAATATGGCAGTAGTCTAGAATCACATAAAGGCGAAGCATCCCACTTACATCTAAATGGTCAACGGTGTGTATGACGCCAAGATGAGATTCACAATCTCAACTCACCCGTTCGCTCACAGGTTTGGCCGAGATATGATCATGGTGATGTGTACAGGAGACATAAGAATGATGTCAGGAATCCTGAAGACGCCTCACTAATCCGGCTGAGATAAATACCCTTTCTCTATGCGCTTCCTGCATGAAGGCGTCGTGTCGAAAATCAATTAACAAAACGCAGATAAACCACTACTTTCGGAAATCAACACGACCAGAAACTCTCGGTGGAAATAAACTATGTCTGCCTCGATCACCACAGACGTCAGCAACTATGAGGTTCTGGGACACGGCGACCTAAGCCATACGATGAAAGCCTTGACCTGGCAAGGGAAGAATACGGTTAAAGTTGATCAGTCGTTCTGCATATCAGGGCCTTCACTTCACTTTGACCATCTCAAAATAATTCGACGTTCCTGTTTATACAGTTTTTTATAGTGGAGACGGCTCGCCCGAAGATCATTGATGAAGGCGATGTCATACTGAAGGTGACGGGCAGCACCATTTGTGGGAGTGACTTGCACCTATTCCACGGTATGTCGCGACTTTTTAACAGTTAATGAAGTGTTAGTGGATCTGCTAATGCGATGTCTGTTACCGATTTGTAGAGGCCATCCCAGATCTCCAGAAAGGTGACATTCTCGGCCACGAGTTTTGCGGTCTTATCGCAAGCGTGGGGCCGGCAGTCAAGAGGGTTAAAGTAGGTGACCGCGTTGTGGCGTCCTTCCAAATTGCCTGTGGGGAGTGTTATTATCGCAAAAAGAAGTTGATCTCAATGTGTGAGCGAACGAATTCGAACAACGAAGCCTCTAAACTATATGGGCGTCGCACAGCCGGTATGTTTCCTGCTCTAAACACCTATGTTGATGTTAGTGTGGCTGTTATACTAAGGCCCGTCTTAGGCATGTTTGGATACTCCCACTTCACGGGTGGTTTTGCAGGCGGGCAAGCGGAATACGTTCGCGTCCCATACGGGGACGTAAACCTTCTTCAGCTGCCTGACGACGTCCCCGACGAAAAAGGTCTTTACCTTTCTGATGTGCTGGGAACATCTTGGAACGCCGTTGTTGACACTGGGGTTGAGGAGGGTGACACTGTAGCAATCTGGGGAGCTGGCCCAGTTGGACAAATGGCAGCGGAATTCAGCTTCTTCAATAATGCTCACAGGGTCATCCTTATTGACGGCGGCGACGGAAAATGGCGACTAGAACTTGTCAAGAAGATTCTACCTAGACTTGAGATGATTGAGTATACGAACCTCCTAAAGGGCGAGACTGTTGCCTCAACCCTGAAGAAAATGTGCAACGGCCGCGGACCTGATGTGGCAATTGAGTGCGCCGCAGGCGAGTATACGAAAGGATGGGCTCATTACTTTGAAAGATTACTGGGCATGGAAACGGACACATCTGAACTCATCAATGAGATGATTATCTCTGTCCCTGGGTTCGGTCGTTGTTCTTCCCTGCCTATCAAGAGTTAGTCACCCGGCCGCTCTGAGCTGCCCACCGAGCAACCCTAAGCTGCTTATTGAGCGGCCCTAAGTTAAAACGTTAACGCGGAGATTAAGTTTATCGATAGTTCAAACTAAGTGGAAACGGCGGGAGACGCTATTAGGAGCACATAATAAAGAAAGTGGTCTGTGACTAAAAAGTTGAACGAATTTAACATAAGAGTATAGTGATATTTGATTCCAAAAGAGAGATACAGAAAGCTAAAGCTAATCATGAATATTCTTAAGGCCATGTGACTGTTACAGAAAGGAGGACAGTTGAAAAACCTAACCTGTAACTGCGACCGCGATAATTGCTTCCCCGATTATGCAATTAGTATCCCCATGGTTTGTTCTCAGTGTTAAGGGATTTCGCCCGTAGTCGTCCTTGCTTCTCTGTAGGACATTGCTTCTTTTGGGTCGGATGTTTTGTCGACATTTGAGGGTAATAGTGAGAGGCCGCTCACTATATTTTGCTTTTCTAGAGGACGTTGCTTCTCTAGAGACTTCTGGGAATCGGGTGTTTCGTTGGTATTCGAGGGCAGTAGTGAGAGGCCGCTCACTACAAGAAGGTCTTCGATATCGGTGCTTCCACTTGGGGCAAGCCCACCACAGTCTTCAAAATCTTTTAGGACCTTATCGATTATCTCCGCCTGGCCGCTCATATCTAGGAAGTTTCCAATACAAGCGTGGATTCCGAGAAGTTTGGGATCTGGAAGTTCCCAACTTCCTTTGTGAACTTTGAACTTGACATGCCGATTTTTAGGTAAATTTCGTATCGGCCCTGTGGCAGTATCTGGAAAGGTCTTGATCCGATACTGGTGAGCAACTCCGGTGGCTTCGAAAATGAGTCTGAATTGACCGAATTCCGTGTGGAGTTGGGAGTCTAGCATTAGGACGTTCTTTTCCGAGTTGATCCGTTCTGAGGTAAAGGACATATTGCGGAGAACTGGAAAGTAGCGCCTTAGGTTGACCCAAATCTTTGCATTTCTATCCACTGCCTCGCCGTCATTGGCCTGAAAGGATCCAAGTGCAAATGGAATGATGTGGGCCGCTTCAAGATGGGTCGTGATTGCGTTCTGTGGATGGGCGTGATTGTGACTGTACTGCCCTGTTGCAAGACATTTGTTTCCATCTCTTTCTAAGCAGCGGTGCCGGAGTTGGGACTGACAGCTTCTGCTGATTGGCTCGATGTTTTGGCTCTTAAGATTCTTGATTGAATCTTCAACACCAGAACGCGAAGACGGAGTGATTTCGGTAGGTGCTTTGCCGCCCTTTGCTTTCATGGGGATCAATAGACCATCTCGGATGCTTTGGACTAGTTGTCGAAGCTTCTCATCGTCTGCACACCCTAAAACGTCCCCCGCCAGATTTTGTTTTCCGTCAGGAGGAAGGCTTGTAAAGAAGTCACGGAGGAAGTTCTTGGTTTTGTCTGTCGGTTCAAGTGGTGTGTAGGTATTCAGCTTTCGATCGAGCTTCTAGTTTGATTATAAGTATCGAAAAGTCTAGAAGACATAGAAGGACTCACCGTTTTTGAGGATGATGGCATTCTGCCAACGACCCAGGGTTAGGGTGAGCTTGGGGCGAGCTTGGGGCCAGTCTGGAGGGTATGGCAGTTCTAGTCAAAGCAAAGCGGCCGAATTAGCTGTGACAGTTGAGAAGGCGGTTGATGATGGATGATGCGATTGGTTGAAGGAAAGTTAGGTGGGGGCGGGGGTGGGGTGCCAGGCTATAGAAATATCGGATTATTGAACATCCGAGGAAAGTACAGAAGTTACCGCCTTCTACTTTCAGTCTAGCCCCATCCCCCAGCCTCTGATAAGCCCACCGCCTCCGCAATTCTGCAACTCAGCTCTTTTGCGGACTTGTATTTCAGATCGCACACCTTTCTTTCGCCGAGAGAATAATTGTACTTTTACAGCTCCCAAGTCTACTCCACCGACATGCTCTACACCGTCTTCAAGGACGACCCTATGAATAAGGCCGCTGGCCGTCGCTACCGCTGCCAGGTTCTAGAGAAGGGTGGTAGTGTCAAGACCCCGACCTGCCAGGTGCCTGATGGATGTTTGAAGGTATACAGCGAGCCTTGGCCCTCGCAATGCGAGGGCAGCTGATCGCACGCATGGGCTTGTAGACTTCAGAGCGCTATAAAATTAAACGAAGGCAGATAGACGTGAATATTTGCGTAGGCATCCAATTGAACAGCATTCAAGAGGTTTCTTCGTCTTAGACGATAACGTAGACTCGAACTCTTGGCGCCTCTCAAGTTGGAACTTCATCAGTGGCATAGAAGGTATGATCCGTTGTTCTTTTTCTGTAACCAATGCCGTAGAATATATACAGCAGCGCCTGACTTCGCCTTCCAAGTCGGAAAGATGGAAATGCTCTTTCAAACCCTAATCATATGATACAGGAAAATAACACGGTTTATACCTACCCGTACTAATACCAGCCCCTTTTCACGATACTGGTAAGGCGATACAATAGTCTATAGTTTAATTTATTTCTTCCTCAGGCTTTTCACGACCTTAGGTCTTTCATCAATAACTAGAAGCCTAGGGTGACCGGCTCGACCGTGTGACTCGCTCGGCCGTGGATTACGTTGCCTGTACTTCTAATTTCTGTAGCTGAATTGCCTTATATTGGGAATACCAAGAAATGAGTCAATGCACTTGGCATTCTCCTGCTGATTTGTAAAATACGAGATATATCCGCAGTGATTTCAAAGCAAGCCTTGGCTGCCAAGCATACAGGTACCAACATGGAAATACATTGAACGGACCTCACATATAAATTAAGTCGGGTTTCCCTGAGCGCATTCAGCAGCCAAGTCAGCCTTCCCTCTGAAAGTCTTATTAGAATGTCATCTGTTAGCATACTTGGTCTTGGGGCCATGGGAACAGCCCTGGCCGCTCGGTTCCTCGAAAATAAATACAAAGTCGCTGTATGGAATCGATCCCCAGAAAAAGCAAGCCCTTTGCTCGACAAGGGCGCAAATCTTGCCCAAACAGCGGTGGACGGTATCAATGCAAGTGACCTGATCATTATCTGCCTCCTCGACAACGCCGCTGTCCAAACAACCCTCGCCGGCGCTCTTGACCAACTACAAGGCAAGACAATCGTCAACCTAACAAATGGAACACCTGACCAAGCTCGCAAGATGTCAGACCTGATCATTGGTCACGGTGCTCGATACGTCCACGGCGGAATCATGGCTACTCCTTCCATGATTGGTTCACCTCATGCTCTGGTTCTGTACAGCGGGTCACAACAAGCATTCAAGGCCAACGAGCCTGATATGTTAGTGCTAGCTAAGTGTGTCTTTGTCAGTGAGGATGCGGGCGCTGCATCCCTGCATGATCTGGCTCTACTTAGCGGCATGTATGGTCTCTTCTCGGGCTTCCTGCATGCAACTGCGCTCGTGAGGTCCAGCACACCCGCCGTTAAGTTCATGGACCTCTTGGTTCCCTGGCTGGGAGCAATGACCGAGTACACTAAACAGATGGCGAAGCAGATTGACGAGGGAAACTATGCCAGTGAAGGATCAAATATCGCTATGCAATTGGTTGCTATCCAGAACATTATTGACACCAGTGCGGCCCAGGAAGTCTCAGCTGATTTCATTCGTCCTATGAAGCAATTTATGGAGAAGGCAGTGGCGGCTGGTCATAGCGGTGATGATATTTCTGCTTTGATTCATTTCGCGAAGCCATCATGACTTGATCCTGTAAGGTTTCTTGACCGTGGCGGAGAATTGGAACCGAACAACCGCATGTTCTTGCGTATGTTAGTGATAGAACGCTCGCTACAAGTTGCCAGTTTGGCCATTTGTGGTGTATTCAGTCTTTTCTTCCTGATTATCGTATATACAATCATGTTACGCTGCCAGAAACCTAGGGTTCGCGCCATTTTACAACGGTTTAAGTGTTGATTCTTTGCCTGGGTTGGGACGTTTGAGTTGGGACGACGATATGGCAGGCATGGTTATTCTTGGATCGGTAATAATACATAACATTACAGATCTCGTCTACTTGAATTTTACCGTTTAAAAAAGAAACATGATCTAAAGTACGGGAGTAACCATATCTGGATTTATAGGATCATGTGATTAGGGTTTGAAAGAGCATCTCTATGTTTCTGACATAGAAGGCGATGTCGGGCACGACTATACAGTACATATCAGATAGCACACACAATGACATTAGCAATAAATGCTTAAGCTCCGTAATAGACAAACTGTGCCTAATATAACGGCCGATTTCGATATTCAACCCTCCTCGTAACGCTGAAAACCGCCTTCTAAAGTGCTATCACTATAACTCTATTAGTGAACTCTAGAACTCCGTCCGAAAAAGCTCAGCATAGAATAAGCTCGTAACCTCCACGCACGCACTATTATTAGATGGCCATAAATTCCAGATGACGTGTATACAGTTTAACGTAAGTCGGGACCAGCACCCGTCCGAGTGCTTCCAGCAGTTCCTTGTATGCTACGATTTATGCTAAAATTGGGTCAAACTGGGTGCTTTCTAGGTTGTCTAGGGCTCTAGTGGTTGGATTCTAGGTCGTGAGCTCGACCAAATTGGGTTATGCGGAAGTCTAATTAGAACCTGAACGAGGCTTAACTTTGTTCTTTTTAGGACTTTAGACAAGATATCCTAGTAGACCGAAAGGGAATAAAGAAGAAGGATGATAATTAATTCTAGGGGGCTAAGCTTTATAGCTTATAGCTAACTAGGGCCAGCAAATATGTCTAACAAATAAGTCCTGAAACCTAAGGCACCTAGGGTGCTTGACATAAGTTATATATATCTAGAAGCTAACCCCGAACATCAGTCCACTACCTTTTCACTAGAGCTTCTAGTACTAGAGTTCCGAATGCTGATAGTCTAGACGGACCATCCTTACGGTTAGAAAGTCCGAACATGTATGAATATGTACGTGGAGAGAATTGATGTCTAGGTGAGGCTAGAGCTCCGAATACTCGTGGTCCGGACGGATCAGCCGTAGCAGAAAGAGACGGTCCCTTTTTCTTTTGTGGTGCCTTCGGCGTACGGTATTTTTTTTCCGCGCCTCCTTTCTAAGCTAGGACTGGTTTTAGCGATATGCATAACAACCAAAGGTTCTATTAACGTACGCATGATCACATTGAATAATCCTATTGTAAAATTTGCACGGGTTGAAATATTATCCGACGAAAGAAATAGCTTTAGTAGATAAGAACTAACGTAAGAAGTTTACTATATAATAGTAAATGTGTAAATAATAAGAAAGCCGTGGTAACAAGTAGACAACCTCTTTATAATAGTTTGTGTGGAAATATTTGCAATACTATTTTCGGCATAGAGAGTAGGGATCATGGCGCAGTAGTATAGTATCGCAACACAAGTTGTTAGTTCACACGTACAGTAAGATTTGCTGTTATCACCGATGACGTGCTCTACAACACTCTTTCTGGCACCCTATATCTACAGACGATGATGATGATGATGATTTCATTTACCCCGACCCCTCGCGAACGATATGCAGGCTACAACAACTATATATATCCGTGTACGTACACTATATCTACAGACGCGCTCGAAATCAGTTTCACGTCTTTACTCTCTTCAATTATTTCTCGAACTTTATTTTGCATGACGCCATACCCATTAGGGTTAGCCTACCCCTGACCCACACTATTGAATGAGAAATTGATGTTATCTAACTAATGTAGAATGACTTGCAGGTTGTACAAACGTATGATATGTGACGCATGACTTGGACCATTAGGGAAGTTTGCTAGATAGCTGAAGAAGGCGGCGATACCAGGGGTCCGGCATGATTGGACAGAGGAGGTAGATAGACTAGCTTCCCAGAGCCTTTCCAGTTCTCTTTCTCTTCTTCTCTCTAGCTTAGTGTCTTCGATGAATGGACTATTTTTGATGAAGACTCGCCGACTCACATGATAGAGACACCAGTTCACGATTATATATTGCGCTTCTCATAGGAACGTCTTGAAAGTTTCTCCAACTTCGGACCTCTATATTTATGTCTTTTCGTTCTCTCCTCTTCTCCTCTTTACCCCTTCACACTTTCATGCTTTCACGTTTTCACACCTTCAACTTCCTTTCTAGTCTTACAAGACACGAGATTGATCAACAACAAACGTCACTTAATCGTGTCGCAGTTCGATTATCAGATATCAATCAGTCAATGGTCGTCTGTACGTTCGGACATTTCTCACATACAGGCACATTAACCATACGAGATTGACTAATGATTCTGACGAGGAAGTTATCACCGAAAGAATACACCAGGTCTGAACTGTTTGCACTTGATCCTCGGAACTGGGTACCAGCATTCCAAGTTTCCAAGCGTGAGGGTTCTGTCCAAGGGACTTGAAATTTTTCGCAGCTTTCCACGACACAACATCAAAGGCACCTCACATGACAATGGTGTAACCAGGAACAAGAAGACTCTGAGATTGATCTTTCATACGTCTACGGTGGACTTTTTACCTTCATTTTATGCTAGGAACCAAAGGGAATGAAAAATACAGGAATGTGG